GCGGTGTTCAAGCCAGTAACCCCTAAGCCTACATCTGCCCTTGCCGACATGATACCACCCGACCTCTCGATTCCCACCATGGCTTCACCTAACATGCTCATCCCTTCTTCTCCATCCACAGTAGCCTCTCCACCGCCATTCTGTTCTGGATTCACACTCTGCTGCCATCTTTCAAGCTGTATGGCCGGCTCACCCAAAGTCATAACTTCCCAATCCCCATCACCAATGGTCTGCTCTTCAGTCCTAAGCTGGTCTTCAGTTCCTCTCTCCGACCCGCTTGAACTGCTATCCCCCCCGTCATCAGAATTCCCGCTATCGGAAGTGTCATCAGCCGTAATCTCATCTTCAGCCTCAGGTTCCTCTGAGCATGATGAATCACTGTCCACATCCGCGCCCTCTGGAAGATCTCTAATGTGTACAATCCACTCATGTGGCGGTGTATTTCCACGTTGTGATGCATGCTGACCCTGCTGCCGTACATGGCTTTCTCTTTGAGGCTGCTCAACATGCCCATGCCGCTGAGGCTCTTGAAACTGCCCTTCCCTATGAGGCTCATGAACTTGTATCTGCCTCTGTTGCCCCTGCACTTCTACATGCAGTTGCTGTTCATGATGATGAACTTGCGTCTGCAGTTCCACAAGATGCCCGTGTCTCAACTGCCTGTTCCAACCTTGCATCTCGTCCTGTTGCATGCGCGGGCCCCCTTCCCAATGCTCCCAAACGTGCTCAATGTTTAAGCGTTGCTCCTGCAACTGAACCCTGGTACGTCGCCCAGATGCCTGCCGCCCACTCCGTTGAGATTGTTGATGCCTCAGTCCATCCGGTTGCATTTGCTGCCGCTCATCCCCTTCATGGGCCCTATCCTCTTCCTCCCCCCCGTCCAACTGCCGCTCCCCTTGCCCCTGGTGGTGCCCATCTCCTCGATGCTGCCTCTGCCCTTCTTGCTGCCCAGTCCCTTCCTGCTGCCAAGAATCTTGCAGCTGCTGAGTCCCTTGGTGCCTATTCCCTCCCTGCCGCCCAATCCATTGCTGCTGCCCAGTCCCTAGCTGTTCCTCAGTCCCTAGCTGCTGCCCAGTCCTTTCCTGTCGCCCAATCCCATCCTGCTGACCTCGGTTTTGGTGTCGCCCAGTCCCTAGCTGCTGCCCAATCCCTTGCTGCGGCCCAGTCCCTTGCTGCTGCCGAAAATCTTGCATCTGCCAAGCCCCTTGCTGCCTCCTCCCTCTCTGCTGCCCAATCCGTTGCTGCTGCCCAATATCTAGCTGCTGCCCAATCCGTTGCTGCTGCCCAATTCGTTGCTCCTGCCCAGCCCCTTGCTGCTGCTCACTCCCTTCATGCCACCCTGTCCCTTGATGCTGCCCAGTCCCTTGATGCTGCTCAGTCCCTTGCTGCTGCCCAGTCCCTTGCTGCTGCCCAGTCCCTTGCTGCTGCCCAGTCCCTTGCTGCTGCCCAGTCCCTTGCTGCCTATTCCCTCCCTGCTGCCCAGTCCCTTGCTGCTGCCCAATCCCTTGCTGCTGTTGTAGTTGTCCTTGCTGCTGCCACTGCTCTTGCTGCTGCCAATGTCCTTGCTGCTCCCCTTCCCCTTGTTGCTGTCTCTGTCCTTGCTGCTCCCCTTCCCCTTGTTGCTGCCCTTGTCCCTGCCAGTGCCCATCCTCTCGCTGTTGCGGCCGTCCTTGGTGCTGTACATGCCCATGCTCCCCACGGCAAGCTCCCCCCAGCCTATGTCGAGTTTGACATCCCTCACAGTGAACATAGTTGATGGAGATCCGAGAAAGTGTTGTGGTTTGGAAACTAAGATGCTCCTGGGGTGTTCTTTGAAACCCTTGCTCGAGTCGCTCTTCCTCTCTATCCTCGCACGTGCTAATGTTGTGGCCCTTTAACCTACACCTGCTGCACCTCCGCATCCGTTGTGGATCGGTTTCACCACCCGATCGCATCCGTTTGTTCTTTCTTCTTCCAGGTCGTCGCTTGTACTTAGGTGGAAGAGTAACCCCATCTCGCACGATGGATGTTGGGTCAATGTGCTTCATGTCCTCGCCATACATGGCCTTCATGGTATCGAGATGAAACACGCGATGAACCATGTCAAAAGGCAAGCGGTTGTTCTCCCCTGCTGCGGCAAAAATGTGAACACATGGCAGCCCGTACTCCCTGCAGTAGCAAGGAGATGGTAGAGGGGTGACGGGGAAGGCCGAAGGGGGAGAAGGAAGGGTTAGGACAAAGGCGAAGGTGGAAGGGGGAAGGAGGAGGGGGAAGGAGGAGGGGGAAGTTGAGCTTGATGGGGGCTGAGGGACAAGGAAGGATACTTCAAACATGTTCAGATTTCTGCCAGTTTGCACAAACATTCCCAAGCTTTCAAATTTGGTGCATGCACGTAATACAATAATGGAGGTTGGCAAGATCTCGACCATATACACATGATAACACATGTACGTACTTCGTGTAGTTGCAGCTGCATTCTCGCTCCCCGAGATCCACCACACGGGATTCCCGACGTCCGGTGTGGGTAACCGCAAAGGTCGTTGTCCCGGTGCTTTCCACATCGTAGCTTAACGCGTCATCCTTGTTGGCTGAGATTACCACCGTTGCATTCTTGGTCCACGTGCCAGGCATTTGAGAGTATTCTATGAACCGACGACGCCTAATCTTTGGTAGAGTCTCGATCCATCCAAGAAGCACTTGTGCAATGGTTCTATCGCGCAAATGATGCATAGATGCATGTTGTGACTCCACGGGGTTTGATGTGAGGACCCCGAACCTAGACCTAGGGAAATGGACGGTTGCCCACTTTGAGAGCAACTCACCTCTTTCCCCCGCAAGATAAGCCCTACCACCGGGACACGCATTCTCTATTTTATCCATTCGAAACTCAAACAGCTCGATGTTCAGTGTTTCAGCGGCCTCCTTAATGGACGAACTCAGGTCCTTCCCAAATTTCTTGGTGAAGTTTCGCCCAATGTGGGTAATGCAGTAAGACTCGTGTGCATGCTGAAGCAACTCTGCACACGAACTCCATCCAGAACCACGGTCATGCTTTATGACCCACTCCGGGGAATTGAGCTCGGGAAACACCTTCAAAAGCTGCCGAATTGGAAGGGCGCAACTTTCATTGCTCTCGGACTCGACGAACGCAATTCCAACTGAAACATAGTGACCGTCACCATCCAAAACAACAAGGTTGATCGTCTGACCCCCCCACACCGTTTTGTTGTGGCACCCGTCGATGATTAGTATCGGCATGGCGCTCAACATTGTTGAACGGGCTACACTCGGGATAGCGCATGCACTGTAGAAACGACTATCGCGCTTGGATAGCGACACAATACTTCCAGGATTGTCTCGCACAAAAACCTCAAGAATACTCCTCACATACTGAAATGAAGTATCATTCTGCTGAGGGTCCGCGATTTTGATGTCGTGTATTGCTCTTCGTGAAGTCGTGTAGGACGACCTCTGACCCGTACGTTGCTGGACTTCCTTGACCAACGTTTTAGGATCTAAGGCCACATTGGGAATAGTATTTGCGAAACCAATTAGATCTGCTCGTGTAGCTCCTTTGGGATGTACCGTGCAGTACGCACCATGTTGCAGGTTTGCCGTGACAACTCGAAGCGAGCCATCTATACACAACCTAGCACTGATCATGAAAGGGCAAGGCTCTTCCGTTTCTGGTTCATTACTGACAGCAGCCCTTCCTTTCTTCCTATACGCAAAAGATGGACACCGTGCCTCCACCCTATGAGGTTTGTTTGCAACGAACTTGAAAGCGCACCTTGTCGCCCCGCATTGCGACCTTATGTCATGTTTCGCATCTTCCGATGAAGCATACCGCTTCCCCACAGGGAAGTCCAAAGCAACCGAGGAGTTGTTCATCTTGACATGATTCATGAAGAAGAGAAAATAAGAGGATTGAACAATCAACCAAACAAAAAAAAGGAAAGAACGAGGAGTTGGGGAACTTCGGACTGTGTTGTCGTTTGTAGAATGGTCTAGAAACAGCTGATAAGGAGTTACAGTACTATCAATGCCACGTGACACAAAAAGAACTAATCATGGGCGGAAGAATGATCGATTTCGCAAGAGCATTGAGGCGGTATGACAAATACTAACTAAATAATCTAAAAAAGGAGGAAATCGTCGCGAATACATCGATGCATAGGAATCTGAGCTCACCTTAGACTAGAATGTGACGCCTCTCTCTCTCCAGCAAGATGCAGACACTAAAGCGTGACGGTCTAGGGGTTGTGAGGGAGGTCCCATAAGTCAAACTCTCGATGTGCGAATTGCTCTTAGCGAAAACACCAGGGTTTGGCGAACTTTAGAAAGCAGAAACACTTCGTGTTGGTTTGACGGATTGTTGTGCTTCCAGCGGTGTGGGGTGCTAGCGATTTCCGTCAAACCCAAGGCAGTAGGTGGTGACCTGGCGAGTTTGCCAGGTTCGGACCTGCTGCCCAGTCTTGTGATTTGCTTCGGGCCTATTTCGTAGGGTCGCGACTCACGAGGCCCCAAGTTGGCACTGTTTCTGCTAACCCGGGGCCCCAGTCTGATCAATTCCCAATATTCATTGGTGAATCAACAAACCTCGCGCGAATGGGGTATGCAGTGCCCAACTCCTTTCAAGTACAAAAATCACCTCTTGTTGTACAATAACTCGATATAAAAGACCCTTCTCCTTGGTTGGCTCCATTGGAACTGTCTTTTGGGACATCCATTACATAGGGGATTATGGGATTTGTTGGGCTGAGATTTTACAGCATTACCGGCAAGATCAGACCACTGGAACTTAATCAGAAGAATCAATTGAACCCTTCGAGCCGAGGGCCTGCGATGCCCCCCGCATGCTGCAGCCAGCCGGCAATGGGCTACAAAGAGGACTTGCGTTGCGCTAACCAATTATGGGATAGTCACCCAAAATTGTGTAATAAAGTGCCTTGACCTACCATCACACCACACCATCCCTTGCCACAACCACCACCACCACGAGCCACACACCAACCGCCGCCCTACACATGCTTGAGCTGCTCCACCTTGGCCAGAACCTTCCTGGAAATCTCTTTGAGCAGCCGCTCAACGGCCTTGGGGTCCCTGGCCCGCAGCGCCACCTCCCCGGCCTTGCCGGGCTTGGGCTTGCCCTTGCTGTCCACGGGCTCACTGAACGCCAGGTAGTAGTCGATGTCGCAAACGTCGGCCAGCAGGTGGAACACGGGGTCGGGGTCGTCCACGGGCCGGATCTCCAGCACGGCGGCGCCGGGCGGCATGAAGACGAGGTCGGCCAGCAGGTTGTCGTGCGGCGCCACGAGCAGGTGCGCGCGGTTGAGCAGGTCCTTGCGCCGCGGGATGCTGTGCGCGCCCTCGCGGTACACCACCACGCGGTCGGCGGGGAAGAGCTCCTCCAGCTGCTCCTTGAGGCGCAGCGACCGCAGTAGCTCCTCACGCGAGTTCTTCCACCCCAGCAGCACCACCCAGTCGTTGCGCGGCATGAACGAGTCCTTGGGAGGGGGGTTCTCCGCCACTGCTGTGGGCCGGTAGTCTGGGGGGAGAACGGGGAGGGCAGAGGGGGGAGAGGGGGGCAATAGAAGAGAGCGGCGTGGACATGAGGGGTGGGTTGAGAGAGTGACATGTGCGGTGCATGCGAGCAGGGGCGTGGGCACTCGATTGAGTGTAGAGTAGAGTGGGCCCATCTGGACCCGAGGAGAGAGGTGCTCGCCCGAGGGGGACTAGCCAGAGAGGAGGGGGGCCCACCAGAGGGGAGGGAGAGGCTCACCAGAGTAGAACATGGGGAGGCCGTTCTTAGGGAGGAAGTGGTGGTTGCGGATGTACTGCCACATGGCACGCGATGGTTGGCCGCAGCGCTGGTGCAGTGGCTGTGGTGATGAGAATGAGACGAGTTGAGATGACAAGCAAAGAGAGGATAGGAAGGGTGCAAGGCGGTGAGCCGAGAGCAGGCGCGAGAATAAGCAGAGACGCATACAGAGGTGGGGGGGCCATGCCGGGGTGGGGACATGCAGGGGTGGGCATGGGTGGCAGTGGAGTGGCGCATTGGATGAGTGCTTGCACCTACGCACACACATGCACTGCCCTTGCTCGTCCCTCCACACCTGCCACACCTCCTCCCAAACGCCACTGCCACCACACACACCACACCACACCACACCACACCACACCACACCACACCACACCACACCACACCACACCAGGATGCCACCCCCTCTGCACACCACCCCACCTCACAGCACTTCACGAGCCCCAGGGCACAACCTCCGCTCCCCCTTCCCTCCCCCTCCAACCCCCCTCATGAGCGCACAAGAATGAGCTTTTCCGCAAAGAAGAGGTCGGCGCCCTGCAGCACGTGCACGTTCATGCGGGACAGCTGCACGCCCAGGATGTCCTCCGCGCCCAGCGCCACCATCTGCTGCATCTGGTTGCGCCTGTGCGTCAGCCGGTGCCCCACCGCCACCGCCACGCCCCTCATCGCTGGCATCACCTGCTTGTGCGCGGGCGCGGGGTGAGGAGAGGTAAGGAGAAGGGATCCGAGGGAAGGAAGGGAGGCAGGAGAGCAGAGGGCAGAGGAGGTTGGAGAGAGGGTCGGATGAGGAGTGGGGAAATGAGGTGGGAGCACACAGGTTTCAGAAAGGGAGAGTGAGGGCATGAGGTAGAGCAGGGCGGCTTGAGTGGCTGTAGGAGCAACTCGCGGTGGAGGCGAGGCTCAGACTGCTGCACTCGCGTGCCGACAGATGAACAGTGAGAGTGGCCCGTGGCGAGGGTGGCAATGTCGAGCCGCGCACACCTGTCTGAGTGGCTCGCACGCACCTTGCGGAGTGAGACGAAGAGCGGGATGAGTTCGAGCAGGTAGGCACGCGCGGACCAGGCGAACCAGTCCACGAGCGACACGAGCTCCTTGAAGCGCCTCACACGCGTGCGCCCCGACGCGTACCGGAAGTTGGCGGCAGCCAGCGTGACGGCACAGGCGTTGTGGTCGAAGAGGTGTGTCTCGTTGAACACCTGCCCCGCCAGGTTCACATACACGTTGTGTAACACCAGCACCTGGTGAGGGGGGGGAGAGGGGAGGGGGACATAGGAGAGGGGAAGAGGGAGGGGTTAGGTGCGGCAGTTGTGACTCGTTGAACGCCTGCCCCCCCAGGTTCACATACACGTTGTGTAACACCAGCACCTGGGGGGGGAAGTAACAGGGGTGAGGGGGGTGGAATGGGGGCGTGGGGTCATAGGAGAGGGTAAGTGGGAGGGGTTGAGTGCGGTTGTGTGTCATTGAACACCTGCCCTGCCAGGTTCACGTACATGTGTGCAGCACCAACACAACACCTGCCCGGCCACAGGGGTGTGGGGGGAGAGGTGGGGAGGGGGTTTGGGTGTCCTCCGCCGCATTGACGTGTGGTGGAATGGAATGGAGGACACTGGCAGGTGGAATGGAGGACACTGGCAAGTGCACGTGGAGCGGAGCAGCAGTGCAGTGCACTCAGGGGTAGTGGGTGGGATGAGCACGTGTGTGGGGGGGGGGGGGGATGGGGCTACGGGGGAGGAGGGGGGGGGGAGGGGGGGGAGGGGTTGTGGAGAAGCACAAGGCAAGCGGGACGAGGGAGGGCAAGGGGAGCAGCGACCAATTGTAACAAGGAGCGCTACAGTGTTTGTGAAAGGAGTGGAGGGAGGGGAGGGAGGGGAGGGAGGGGAGGGAGGGGAGGGAGGGGAGGGAGGGGAGGGAGGGGAGGGAGGGGAGGGAGTGGAGGGAGGGGAGGGAGGGAGGGGAGGGAGTGGAGGGAGGGGAGGGAGGGGAGGGAGGGGAGGGAGGGGAGGGAGTGGAGGGAGGGGAGGGAGGGGAGGGAGTGGAGGGAGGGAGGGAGGGAGGAGTGGAGGGAGTGGAGGGAGTGGAGGGAGTGGAGGGAGTGGAGGGAGTGGAGGGAGTGGAGGGAGTGGAGGGAGTGGAGGGAGTGGAGGGAGTGGAGGGAGTGGAGGGAGTGGAGGGGAGTGGAGGGAGTGGAGGGAGTGGAGGGAGTGGAGGGAGTGGAGGGAGTGGAGGGAGTGGAGGGAGTGGAGGGAGTGGAGGGAGTGGAGGGAGTGGAGGGAGTGGAGGGAGTGGAGGGAGTGGAGGGAGTGGAGGGAGTGGAGGGAGTGGAGGGAGTGGAGGGAGTGGAGGGAGTGGAGGGAGTGGAGGGAGTGTCCATTCCCACCCTTACCTCCCCCCTCCCTTCAGCACCCTCTCCCATGTTCCTCGTATTCGTCCCCACCTGAGCGGCCCATTTGGGGTGGGGTTGGAAGTCCGTTTCCTGGATGCAGCTCTCGTCCAGCGACGGGCAGTTGGCGGCGGGGTACCGCGTGGGCGTGCGGCTGCTGTCCGCCAGGGGCGCCTCCCAGCACGACCCCACGCCGGGCAGCCGCTCGTACGCAAACTCAAAGTCGGGGCAGGGGGGGCCGAGCGAGGCACGCGGAGGGGGGGCGCCCTTGGGTTTGGGCTTGGCGTCGTCGGAGAAGCGCGTGGCGTCGAGGTGCACGCGCTTGAGCAGCGCGCGCGAGATGTCCACCGTCAGGTACGACCGCTGGGGTGTGCCGCCCTCCAGGGGGAACTGCCCGTCCACCGGCTTCCAGTGCGCGTGTGGCGCGCTCAGGAACGCACTCTCCCCTGATCCCCTCCCCCCCCGCTGCGCCCCCTCCCCCTCCCCGGCCCCTGCCCCTCCGCCTGCTGCTGCAGCTGTGCCCGAGGTGGCGCCCTCCGCGCCCCATTGCTGCCGGGGGAGAGCCTGGGCTGCTGCGCCGCTGCCCCACCCGCTGCTCTCCCCGCCCCCTGCACCCCCCACTGCCCGCCCTGCGCGCCCTGTCCGCCCTGTCCACCGTGCTGCATGGGCAGTGCCCCCTGGGGCATCGTCTGCTGGGGCTCACCCATCCCGCCCGCCGCCCCCCCTCTCAACCCGCCCCACCCGCCCCCCCAGTACCCATTCCCCCAGCTCCTCCGCCTATCCGGCCCGCTCCCTCCCCGCCTGGCATTTGAATCCCCCCGCCTGCTCCCCATCCGCCCCCCTGTTGCGGAAACCCGTTCCCTCCTCTCCCCGCGTCCCAACCCCCTCCAGCCCCTTGCTGCCCCCATCCCCCTCCCTGCGGCCCCCCCATCCTATCCCCACCCGCCAGCTGCCGCGGCCCTCCCCCGTCGTTCCGCCAGTCCCCCCGCCAGCGCCCTGCCACCCACCCGCCGCGCCCTCAAACCCGCGCCGATCCCCAAACTGCCCCCCGGCGCCTCCCCACTCCGCCCTCCCCATTGCGCCCCCGCGCGCTCCCCACTGGTCCTCCCCGCCCATCCAGCGCTCGTCCATTCCGCCCGCGCCACCCCGCGCCATGCGCCCATGGGTCCGCCGTGGCGGTACCCCGCGGAATAGTCGGAGCGCGCGAGGAGGAAATAGAAGAGCATTCCCGCGCCGCCCAGGAGCAGCAGCGAGCGCATCGACGCCCACCGCGCCGCGTGGTGCGCCGCGTGCGAGTCGGCCGCCGAGCTGCTGGCGCGATCGGAGGCGCGCAGCACCGCCTTCTTCTTCGGGCGCGGCGCCATCGCGCGCTGTTCGCGGGGGTAGGGGGAGGGGAAGGGATGGGAGAAGAGATGGGGGCATGCGAAAGAGGGAGGGGAGAATCCAGGGTACGATGATTGGAGAGTGAAACGGGATCATTCGAGAGATGGAAGATACCAAGCGAATCGGAATGTCGGACAACAGGACGTGACGCGATGATCTTGACACGCGTGAAGACTGTGTGCGACAATGCTTGCTGTCGCACTGAATCGCACTCGCCTGATTTGTCGGAATGCGCGACAGGCGCACCCGGGGCGAGCAGTAGGAGACGAGAATAAGTTAGTCCGGCTAGGTCAAGTGAACGGCTTGAGAGACAGGCAATGCGCGAAAGAATATGGCGGCGGAATATGTCGTTTCTAGGGCGCCTCAAGATACGCGCTGATGCTAAATGTGACAGGAAAATCCGCCGAATAGCGCGCCAATGGGGATCAGGGCGAGCAGTGAAGGACGGCGAAACGAGCTAATCAGCGACGATGGCGTGATGGGTGTGTCGGAAAGCCGTGCGTTGGAATCCGTGGTGGTTGGGGGGTGAATTTCGCTGTACGCGCTATCACATGCACTATTAACGAATCCAGCGTGGAATGCTGACATTTCCATATGAAAGCCTCCGCAACAACCTTGACGTTGACAAATATCTTCTCCAAATTGCATCCCAGCATTTTCACTTGCTGAGAAAAACTAGCCTTAGTGTGAGCTGCACTCTCACATGCATCACATCGACACGACCGGCTTCAAATCAAAGGCATGACTAGTTAGGCTGAGCAAACCCTAGTGTGCATGTAGTGTCGTCAGCATTTGTTCATTCCTACCTAAGAGGCTGCTCTGACTGAGCATTTAGAGCTTGTTCCTACGGCCTCATATCAGGCAACCTCGTACCATCATGCCCCGGATATACCCCCAGGCCTATGTTACACCCATGCGGTTATAATCGTACCAGTGGGCTTATAGCCGGGTGCCGATTATAACCCCACCCTAAATTTGGATCATCTTCGTATAACCGCACCCTATGAAATTTTACTCAAATCTGTGTTTTTCTAGTGAATTCGCCACTAACGCGTCAGGAGCAATCGTCGCTGACGTGCCTGGCGAAGTCTTCCCTGGCCCACCTGGCGAAATTGCCACAGGCGCGCACGTGTTAGCAACATTTCAGCACGTCATGGTAGGGATTTTCACCAGGGTGGCAGATTCTCGGTGAATTTCGAAGCAAACTGTTTGTGCTAGTTTCTATTGGAACCGCAAAACTGAGATCTACATTTCTGTGTTTAAAAATCATAATTCTCTAACTGTCATTTATTTCCCCCATGGGATCATAAAAAAAGCCACATTATAAGCCCACCCACCATTTTCCTGAGTTTTATTACACCCCCATATGGGGGTATATCCGGGGCATGACGGTATCAGATTCGTGTTGAACCGCACTAAAACGCATCCAACCGCATTCGAACACACTGAAATGTATGTCACCGCGCGCAGCTGATACGAGGTGTTTCTGATACGAGGTGTAGGAACACGCCCTTATTCATTATTTACTGCGTCCCAGAGCACCATGAGAGCATGGGCACCATGCTCTAAGCCATTTGCAAACGGCGAGTGGGCTGCCTCTCCCCCGATAAGATGCTTCGAGCTTGCAGGCACACAATGCTCAAGTCCCTGTAGAGTGCACCACGATCGCGAGCCATGCTCTACGCCGCCTGCACGCGCAGAGAGGGCTGCCTCTCCCCTGCCTGGGGGCGCACGATGGTGAAGTCCACGCGCGTGCAGAACAGATCTCGCCCGTTGCTGTCGCGCGCCTTGAGCCACAGCATGTACGCACCCTGTGGCCACCGGCAGGGAGGCGAGGAGGGATGCGAGCAGCACAATGGGTGTTACAGAAGGCATGATGGTGGCCACAGCGAGGAGGGAGGCGAGGAGGGGTATGACCAGCACGATAGGTGTGAAATAATGCATGATAATGCTCACAGCAAGATAATGCTCACAGCAAGATAATGCTCACAGCAAGTGGGATACAGCAGGGGTGAGGAAGGGCAGTGCTCACAGCGGGGGTGAGGAAGGGCAGGGGCTGCTCATTGGAGAAGGTGAAGGTGCCCGGCAGCACGGGGCAGGGCGTCTTGTTGCACAGCTGCACCGTTGACGTGTAGACCGGCCACCCGTAGTACGCCACACTCACGCGCACCACGCCCGCGTCGATGCGCGTATCTGGTGGGGGGAGGGGCGGAGAGCGACCAAGGGAGTGGCAGAGCGTGGGAGTTGGGTAGAGCAGTGGTGGTGGAGGCTGGACGCGCCCATGGCGCACCATGGCACGCCGCTGTGAGCGCCACTGCTGCTGCTGCTGCTGCTGCTGTGGGCGGGGAAAGAAGGAGGTGTGGCTGAATGGGGAGGGGTGAGGAGGGAAGCAGCAAGGAGATGAGTCGAGGATGCGAGGGGCGGTGGGGAGCAGAGAAAGGGAGGAGGAAATGGGAAGTAATTAGTATGTATTTATGATGATTTATTTTGTACGCACGTAGCTTGCAACCCACAGGCAGCAACCCCCTGCCGCACACACACACCTGTGACGGCGGGCAGCACAACGGTGAAATCCGAGCCAGCGACTGGAGGATCCGGCAGCATCGTGACGTTACTCACAGTGACGGGCACATGCTTGGAGCCTGGGGGCAGAACGCGCGGTGGGGAATGGCGGGCGGTTGAGGACAGGGAAGAAGCACAGGTGCGTGAAGGCCTGATGATGATACCTGGTCTCATCATGACTCCTGACCTCATCATCACAGCTGGCCTCGCCTCATCATGACACCTGACAGTGATTTACTGAGAAGAGGATGGAAGTAAGCAAAAACGAACAGAGGAGAGAGGTGATTGAAGGAGGGGGGTCGGAGAGGTGAGTTGCAAGTGGGAGAGGCGAGGGCGAGGAGGCGAGATGGGGAGGAGGTGCACGCAAGGAAGGAGGGGAGTCTTGGGCACACGCGCATGGGGGCAGGGCAACGGCACTGGGGTTTGACAGCAAGACGAAGGGGTGTGCGGCGAGAAGGGCTGCTCTCGGGAAAAGTCTCACCGCAATCTTGCCACCGAGCTGCGTCCACGTGGCAGGTGAGTGACAAGAGGAGCGAGAGGAAGCACGGCACGAGGAGGAGCAGCGCCATGGCTGGTTGGGCGGACGTCAGTGCAGCACAAGACGCAGGGGGGAAGGGGAGGGAACAACAAACAAGGAATCCCGCATCGCTCAGATTTAAGGCTCAGAATTTCAAGAGAGCGTCTACATTCGCAATTCCCAATTTCCTGAAGCCCTCGTACCAGAGGCGAAGTAATATTCTCCAACACCTCTCATCAGTGGTGGCCCTCTCACAAATATATTCAAAAGTGCACTCAACATGTCGGTACACTCGCTCCTTATTCCGTAAACGAGCACATCTAGACTCGCAAACCGGCAGCGTGAAAAGGAAGATGTCGAGAAGCAAGTGCCTGAAATAAGGCTACGGTGTTTACGCGCGTACGCCAAGGCCTCGCCCGCCCTCTCACTCTCGCCTAGGTCACGCCACCGTAACACACACGTTACGCTCGTGAAACAACACTAGCCACGCCCACCCGCTGTCAACCACAGGGCACAGCACCTCTGACACCCGTCTCGCCACCTCTCGCGGCCTCGCCTCTCGGAGGGCCTCGTCTCTCCCTTGCCTCGCAGGTTTCAGGCGCACAACCCCCGCCCCCCTTCCTTTCCTTCTCATCTTCCCGACCTTCCTTTCTATCACACCTCTCTTCCTTCCCATCTCCAATACCTACCTTCCCGTCCTCCCCCCCCCCGCCCCCCCTCCCCCCCCCCCTCCTTCTCATCTCCCCACCCTGCCTTCCCATCTCCCGTCCCTTGCTTCCCATCACCCCTTTCTTCCTTGCCAGCTCACCTTCCTTGGTTACAGTTAAAAGAAATGCCAAAGAGGGGATGCGCGACGATGGGAAGGGAGGCTTGATGAGAGAGGGTAAGCTCGACAAAAGCAGGGGAGCCGCGTCGAGGCGGGGAGGCGCGACGAAAGGAGGGGAGACGCGACGAAAGGAGGGGAGGCGCGACGACCGGAGGGGAGGCGCGACGACCGGAGGGGAGGCGCGACGACCGGAGGGGAGGCGCGACGACCGGAGGGGAGGCGCGACGAACGGAGGGGAGGCGCGACGAGGCGGGGCGAGACTAGGGGAGGCGCGACAATTGCACGGGAGAGAAGAGGGTTCCGAACCCTCGAGTCGAGGTGCTTCGACGAGTTGAGGCACCGCGAGTTGCGAGGGATCTTGATCCTGCCTAGCAGTGGCGAATTCGTAATTCGGGATGATCCTAAAAGCCCGCGCCTAGAATGGCAAGGGTTCAAAAATACTGAACTTGAAAAGGGTTGCGCGAAGGTTGACGAGAGAAAAATTCGCAGGAGGGAGGATTTTTGAATCTTGACTGATCGCTCCTGCTGCCCACAGTTCAAGGAGTGAGGGCTTTGCTGATCGGGAGTTCATAGGTCTGATTCGTCAGACTAATCAGACTATTTAGTCTTATGGCGTCGCGAGGACCTCGTGACGTGCGTGGTCGGAACTGTCACGATTGGTGCGGGGCGAATCGGAGCTGGTTCGGCGCGAAAATGTAGGCCGAGCCACACTGACACGAAGTCCTCGGGGCTGTCCTCGCTAAGGGCAGCTCTACAGTTATGAATTGTATATTCATTACAGTTCCATTGCACCCGTAACAAACCTAGAGTATTTACCCAAGGTGTGGAATTATCGAGGACAAAATGTACGCGTTGTGTCAGAAAATTTCTTTAGAAGTCGCCTGTTATCACATCCTGCTTGTGCTTCTCTCGCCTTCCATCATCCGCGTACGGTCACCAACCGCAGCCACTCGCTCCTTTCTGTGCATCGCCGTCTTTCTTCGTCGCGTATCTCAGATCGGGTTGAGAAGCAGGCTGCTGCCAATCTATCATGTCGGACGATACTCCGGTTGCCACGTCAGCCGTGCTGATGTCAGCATCGAGACACATTGCTAAGAGCTGCGCCGCTGAGAATCGCGCGTTCCTGGAGTGCAAACGCGCTGACGAGAATCCCGAGAAGTGTTTGCAGCAGGGCGCGCAGGTCACGGGATGCGTGCTCAACCTGTGAGTGCACCGCGCGCCGCCTCCGCCTCTCTGTTCAATCCGCTCTGCGTGCCGATCAACTCCGCTGCACCGCGATAGGTCTATCAATCAGCGTGAGGCATCCGCCGTCGTGCACCGTACGCCTCGGCGTGCTGCTGTCACTCCTCGCTTTGAAAAAAAACTTTCATTCCCACTTAGTTGTATCTACTTGGGTTAGGGTTTGCTGGATGTCGAGTACGGTTCGTTGAGCCGGTCTAAATGCGGACCAGCGGGTTCAGGAATTGCGATCTGTGGCTGAACGAGCCGCCCGTGGCTCGTGCTTGTGCTCGTCCAGCGATCATGCTGTCGCGTGGTCCGCTTCGGCCTCGCCTCCCTCACACCATGTCACATGCTGCTGCTCCACTTCTATCGGTTTCCCGTGTCTTCCTCCCTCTTGCCCTCTCGCCCTCTTGCCCTCTTGCCCTCTTGCCCTCTTGCCCTCTTGCCCTCTTGCCCTCTTGCCCTCTTGCCCTCTTGCCCTCTTGCCCTCTTGCCCTCTTGCCCTCTCGCCCTCTTGCCCTCTCGCCCTCTTGCCCTCTTGCCCTCTTGCCCTCTTGCCCTCTTGCCCTCTTGCCCTCTTGCCCTCTTGCCCTCTTGCCCTCTTGCCCTCTTGCCCTCTTGCCCTCTTGCCCTCTTGCCCTCTTGCCCTTTTGCCCTCTTGCCTCCTGCCACCTTCTCTCAGTCAATCTGCCTCAGCGCCGTGCTGTACGCGCGCGGTGGCGCATCACTGGTTCACTGTCCGTGCACTGAAATGCATCCGCACTCCATGCCCATGTGCTGTGCTCCCTCGGCCCATGAACGTACATGTACCATTTCGACCCCAGTACCGACTTCACAATCTCATACCCCACTTCTTCCACCCGCCTTCCTCTCCCCAACCTACCCCTTCTCCCCCTTTCGTTTTCTCCCATGTGTTGTGCAGGCTGAAGTCGTTGCAAGGGCAGTGTCCAAAGAGCATGGATGCGTATGTCAAGTGCATGGATTACTACAGCAGCGAGTTCAGCATGTGTCGCCAGCAGCAGGAGAAATTCCTTGCGGATTGTCCCCTTTGACTTGCATGAAGAACTGGTCAACATGTCACCATCCAATGATGCACCAAAAATTTAGACTGACTATACTGTAGAAGGCTCGGACATGACATATACCCCCCTTGTATGTCCTCTTCTAGTGATTCTTCAGTTCGCGGTACTTCCCTCGCTTCCACCCCCACTGAGTACCAGCCAGCCGATTACCACTTGAAGCGCAAACACACGAATGAAAGAAGGCCTCTGAGCCCTTGATTCACGCTGAGAGAGCAAGCAAGACCCGTGTGGCTGCATAATCAGTTATCATGTCGTCAGTCCCGCGTGGCATGGTCCCACCCCGTGTAAACAAACTCCTTGGCAAACTCCTGCGCCTTCCACGCTGCCGCAGCAGCTGCCAGGGCCAGCACAGCAAGCGGCAGGCGAGCACGCAGGGAGTTGGAGGCTACAGCAGCACCAGCGGAGAGCAGCGAGGCGGCTGGCAGCAGCAGCTGCAGGCGCTGCACGTTGGTGAGGGCGCCGGAGCAGGCGGTGCAGTTGGCGGTGTGCGAGGCCATGCGCTCCAACACCACCTCCTTGGGCGCCGGCTGGGGGGGCAGCGACACGCCTGTGAAGGGCGGCGGGTACACGACGGCTCCACCTGGTGCACGGGTTGAAAGAGGTGGTGTGGTGGTCACATGCACAACATGCACAGGTCAGGTTGATGGTGGACGAAAGCATCAACACGCGAGGCGAGGAGGGATGGCACACAGCAGCGGGGTTGGGAGCTCACATCCATTCCATACAACTCGTACAGGATAGCAGGAGACCCAGGATAGCAGGAGACCCAGGATAGCAGGAGACCCAGGATAGCAGGAGAGCCAGGATAGCAGGAGACCCAGGATAGCAGGAGACCCAGGATAGCAGGAGACCCCATATTTCACCTACACCCCGATTTCCACAACTCAGGGGATATGCAACATGGATGACAGGGGCCTTGCACACACTCGGATCCGTGCAGAACATACTCGAGAGGAAGGGGTACTTGAGCCCTCCCTTACCTCTGCTGAAATACAAAACAGGCAAGTGAGATAGTTGGCCCACAAGCAAGCTGTGGTGAGTTGGTCATCTCCGACTCCGCTTGGCTTGCGCTCGCTCATGATCCCCACCAGCTGGGATACGTTTCATCCAGTCTACATCTGAGACTACTAGAAAACACAGGCACGTAATTGTTCCAAGCAAGAATGGCTCGAAAGAGATACCTTGTTTGATTATAAAGAGGATCGTTCAAAGACTTACAACCACTTTGTTCTTTTCATGAAGTAGCCACTGAGACAAGGCACACACCTGCATATTTGGAGAGCCACTGGCGGAAGGCGACGACGGGGAGGTCGCAGTTGGTGGGCATGTAGAACGCCCTCCACGCCGCCCCCCTCGCCCCCCCTCTGCCCTCCGCTGCACCTCCCCCCAGCTGTGCGTCGGCCTTGCCCGCCCGCGCCTCCTCCATGTTCTGCTCCCTGTCCTGCAGCACTCGCTCCTGGCAGTGCAGGAAGTAGGAATCGCCTGGTGGGCACGGGGACAGACACACATGGTACGGCCATGATGTGACAAGGAGCAGTGATGTGACAAGGAGCAGTGATGTGACAAGGAGCAGTGATGTGACAAGGAGCAGTGATGTGACAAGGGGCAGAGGGACAAGAGCGGCTGAGCAAGAAGGATGGGAAACCAAGGCAAAGACAGTGAGAGGGGCAGATGGGGCTGTGACAAACAACGACGGACTTTGAGGCTTTACAAGTGATAACTATTACTCTCTCAATATTAAAAAGGCGGAAGTGGCTGAATAGCGTAAAAGACTCCTCTCATCCCTCTTCCTCTCCCTTGTCCACTCACCATCAAACACCTGGTGCTGGCGGAGGTGCAGCACTCACCATCAAACACCTGGTGCTGGCGGAGGTGCAGCATTCACCATCAAACACCTGGTGCTGGCGGAGGTGCAGCACTCACCATCAAACACCTGGTGCTGGCGGAGGTGCAGCATTCACCATCAAACACCTGGTGCTGGCGGAGGTGCAGCACTCACCATCAAACACCTGGTGCTGGCGGAGGTGCAGCATTCACCATCAAACACCTGGTGCTGGCGGAGGTGCAGCATTCACCATCAAACACCTGGTGCTGGCGGAGGTGCAGCACTCACCATCAAACACCTGGTGCTGGCGGAGGTGCAGCATTCACCATCAAACACCTGGTGCTGGCGGAGGTGCAGCACTCACCATCAAACACCTGGTGCTGGCGGAGGTGCAGCACTCACCATCAAACACCTGGTGCTGGCGGAGGTGCAGCACTCACCATCAAACACCTGGTGCTGGCGGAGGTGCAGCACTCACCATCAAACACCTGGTGCTGGCGGAGGTGCAGCACTCACCATCAAACACCTGGTGCTGGCGGAGGTGCAGCACTCACCATCAAACACCTGGTGCTGGCGGAGGTGCAGCATTCACCATCAAACACCTGGTGCTGGCGGAGGTGCAGCATTCACCATCAAACACCTGGTGCTTGCGGAGGTGCAGCACTCACCATCAAACACCTGGTGCTGGCGGAGGTGCAGCATTCACCATCAAACACCTGGTGCTGGCGGAGGTGCAGCACTCACCATCAAACACCTGGTGCTGGCGGAGGTGCAGCACTCACCATCAAACACCTGGTGCTGGCGGAGGTGCAGCATTCACCATCAAACACCTGGTGCTGGCGGAGGTGCAGCACTCACCATCAAACACCTGGTGCTGGCGGAGGTGCAGCATTCACCATCAAACACCTGGTGCTGGCGGAGGTGCAGCACTCACCATCAAACACCTGGTGCAACACCTGGTGCTGGCGGAGGTGCAGCACTCACCATCAAACACCTGGTGCTGGCGGAGGTGCAGCACTCACCATCAAACACCTGGTGCTGGCGGAGGTGCAGCACTCACCATCAAACACCTGGTGCTGGCGGAGGTGCAGCACTCACCATCAAACACCTGGTGCTGGCGGAGGTGCAGCACTCACCATCAAACACCTGGTGCTGGCGGAGGTGCAGCATTCACCATCAAACACCTGGTGCTGGCGGAGGTGCAGCATTCACCATCAAACACCTGGTGCTGGCGGAGGTGCAGCACTCACCATCAAACACCTGGTGCTGGCGGAGGTGCAGCATTCACCATCAAACACCTGGTGCTGGCGGAGGTGCAGCACTCACCATCAAACACCTGGTGCTGGCGGAGGTGCAGCACTCACCATCAAACACCTGGTGCTGGCGGAGGTGCAGCACTCACCATCAAACACCTGGTGCTGGCGGAGGTGCAGCACTCACCATCAAACACCTGGTGCTGGCGGAGGTGCAGCATTCACCATCAAACACCTGGTGCTGGCGGAGGTGCAGCACTCACCATCAAACACCTGGTGCTGGCGGAGGTGCAGCATTCACCATCAAACACCTGGTGCTGGCGGAGGTGCAGCACTCACCATCAAACACCTGGTGCTGGCGGAGGTGCAGCACTCACCATCAAACACCTGGTGCTGGCGGAGGTGCAGCACTCACCATCAAACACCTGGTGCTGGCGGAGGTGCAGCACTCACCATCAAACACCTGGTGCTGGCGGAGGTGCAGCACTCACCATCAAACACCTGGTGCTGGCGGAGGTGCAGCATTCACCATCAAACACCTGGTGCTGGCGGAGGTGCAGCACTCACCATCAAACACCTGGTGCTGGCGGAGGTGCAGCATTCACCATCAAACACCTGGTGCTGGCGGAGGTGCAGCACTCACCATCAAACACCTGGTGCTGGCGGAGGTGCAGCACTCACCATCAAACACCTGGTGCTGGCGGAGGTGCAGCACTCACCATCAAACACCTGGTGCTGGCGGAGGTGCAGCACTCACCACCAAACACCTGGTGCTGGCGGAGGTGCAGCACTCACCATCAAACACCTGGTGCTGGCGGAGGTGCAGCACTCACCATCAAACACCTGGTGCTGGCGGAGGTGCAGCACTCACCATCAAACACCTGGTGCTGGCGGAGGTGCAGCACCCAGCGCGGCACGGAGGGCAGTTTCTTGCCGTCGCCGCGCTTCACCAGCTGCACCTGCACGGCCAGGCTGCTGCCGGGCGCACAGGGCGTGATGTAGAGCAGCAGCAGGTACGTGTTGGGCGCGAGCGTGCTGGGATCCTTCCTGGGCAGCACGGAGAACTTGGGGGGCCGTGGCCTGAGGGGCCGAATGGGGGAAAAGGGGAAGTTAGGAGGGGGAAGGGGGAAAGGGTGAAGAAAAGAAGGGAAGGGAGAATACGAGGGAGGGATAAAGGCAGGGAGGGGGGGTTTAATCAGTACGCTAAAAGTGATTTCACTTTGGTAACCGTTCCTTGCACCTCATGTCCTTGCACCTCATGTCCTTGCACCTCAAGCTGTTGTACCCCATTCTGTGGCACCTCATGCTGTTGTGCGGAACCTTATGGTGTTGTGCGGTACCTTATGGTGTTGTGCGGTACCTTATGGTGTTGTGGTAGTAGACGAGTTGAGGTGCCTGGAAGCGGAGGTACGTGGGGAAGCCAAACACGTGGATGGGCCCCTCAAAGCCCTTCACGCCCTGCTGCCGAACAGCGCATAGGCAGTAGAGGGCAGGTGGGAGCAGTGCAGTGCGGGCAGGGTGAGAAGGGCGGCAGGCAGCACGAGCATGGGCATGAGTGGTGATGGAAGGTCATGAGTGGTGATGGAAGGGCATATGTTTTTTTTATGAAGCGCAAGTGCATGTGAGTATGGATGAGTGCGTGGCTGCATGATGTGTGTCGCCCTGCATTTGTGTCGCTCTGCATTTGTGTGGCCCTCTGCATTTGTGTGGCCCTCTGCATTTGTGTGGCCCTCTGCATTTGTGTGGCCCTCTGCATTTGTGTGGCCCTCTGCATTTGTGTGGCCCTCTGCATTTGTGTGGCCCTCTGCACGTGCAAACCAAATTCCCCATGCCACACATCCCCATGCCACACATCCCCATGCCACACATCCCCATGCCACACATCCCCATGCCACACATCCCCATGCCACACATCCCCATGCCACACATCCCCATGCCACACATCCCCATGCCACACATCCCCATGCCACACATCCCCATGCCACACATCCCCATGCCACACATCCCCATGCCACACATCCCCATGCCACACATCCCCATGCCACACATCCCCATGCCACACATCCCCATGCCACACATCCCCATGCCACACATCCCCATGCCACACATCCCCATGCCACATAGGGTGCTGCCTGCCCCCCCCCCCCTCCCCCCCCACGGCACGCACGAGTTGCTGCATGGCGAGGTCGCTGACGGGCCCCCCCTGGTCACGAGTGGCCATGCCGACGCCGTGGTGGGCGAAGGGGAAGTGGGAGAGGTCCACCACGTTCTCCGCCAGCACCTCGTAGCCGTACTGCAACCGCCGCGTGTAGTGCGGCAGCACCGAATACTCACTCCAATCCACCCCCTCCGGCAGCGGCAGCGGCGTGGCCTCCGCCTGCTGTGCTGAGTGCTCGTCAGGCCACACGAACAGCACTCCCTGAGGGGTGGGGTGGGTGGGGGGGGAAGGGGGGGGGAGGGTGGGCGTGCGTGGAGGAGAATGTGGTGAATGGGGGGCGAGTGGCTTGCGTGCGACAGCACGTTAGATGGACTGCTGTGAAGCACTGCACCTCCTCATGGGTGGCCATGTGACCCCCTCTGCCTTGCCTTGCCACAACAAGGAGCGGCACAGGTGGGTGCCTTGCCTTGCCACAACAAGGAGCGGCACAGGTGGGTGCCTTGCCTTGCCACAACAAGGAGCGGCACAGGTGGGTGCCTTGCCTTGCCACAACAAGGAGCGGCACAGGTGGGTGCCTTGCCTTGCCACAACAAGGAGCGGCACAGGTGGGTGCCTTGCCTTGCCACAACAAGGAGCGGCACAGGTGGGTGCCTTGCCTTGCCACAACAAGGCACAGGTGGGTGCCTTTTGCCTTGCCACAACAAGGAGCGGCACAGCTGCGTGCTGTTCCTTCCTCCACCGCCCGCATAGATGCACGCGAGCAAGCAGAGCAGCCGCCCACCAGCATTGGCGGGGCGGCAGTGGATGTGACTCTGCCACTCCCCGCCTTGCGGGTGGCCTCAACATCTCGCACCTCTCATTCTCTTGCCGCGCGTGCTTGGGGGATCCCAAACCCTAAACTCAACACCTGGCGGCCGTCTCTTTGCCTTACCCCGCCATGCCTCTCCGCCAGTGCGCCTGGTACACGCAGGCTGCACCACGGCCACCCGCCGTGCATGCCTCTGGTCGTCAGATGAGCGTCCCAAGGCCAAGGGCAACCAAGAGTCGCTCAAGCCTCGCCCATGGGCACTCACGTGGAACTCCCTCACGGGGAACGCAGTGGCGCACGCGCGCGGGGAGCACACGGCGCGGGGGGGCTGCCCCGGCTGCTCTGGCGCGGCCTGCGGGATGAGCTCGCATGCGCCACTGCCTGCAAACGCCCACCCGTGGTACGAACACGCCAGCCGCCCCTCCGCGTCTATGCGCCCCTGTGGCCGTTGGGCGGGGGGCGGGGTGAGAGTAGGTGGGTGAGCTGGGAACACATGCCATGGGAATTGTAACGCATGCTGCCTTACGCCAACGGGTGAGGCCATAACACCTCCGCTGCGCCTATAACACCTCCGTTTTGACGCAGTGGTAGCGGGGTGTTAAAAGAATTGTTGAGATGCGAAAGGGTCCGATGGGAATACATGCCATGGGAAAAGGTGAGATGGGAGGCGGGGTGGTGGCGCAGGCAGGGCTTGCCTCGGAGAGCGGCACGAGGCGGTGCGGGCACTGGTCGAGGAAGCAGCGCCACGACCCCGCGGCGTCGCGCCAGAACACGAGCGGGCGGCCCACGACGGTGACGGCGTGCGGGCGAGCCGCGTCCATGTCGGCCGCCACGCCCACGGCGTACCACGCGCGGCTCCACTCGAACGTCCCGCCCTCCTCCGCGCCCCCGTCTGCCGCTGACGCTCTCAGCTGCGCCTCTGCATCGCCCGTTACAGTCACATTGTCTCTGCTCTCCTCGCTGGAAGCGGACTCCGCGACGAGCGCCGCTCTGGGGGCGCGGGACGGCGGGCGATGGGGCAGGCGCTGGTCGGCGGACACGTGCGGACGCACGCCGATCTGCGGCAGGCGCAAGCTGTTCGCACCGAGCAGGTGGCGACGCGGCTGCAGCGGATGCAATGCGGCGCGAGCAGACCGGGCCGACGGTCGACGACGGGCCGCCAGTGGCGCACTGCCGACCGCAGCGCGCGGACGGACGCGACAGCCCAGCGCTGCCTCCATGGGGGGGGGGGGGGGGGATTCTTCTGTGGGAAGGACGAGGGTGTGCTCGACAGGTGTGGTGTGGATTTGGAACGCCTGCTCGCACTGCTCCCCCGATCACCACTGAAGCGGCTCTTTTCTGCGCGCCCCTGGAGCAGTGGGCCTGGGGGAAGTGTGAGTCGTGCGTGACTGACTGGCTAGCCAGTGTGCCAGGTTCCGCCTGTTGGGGGTGTCAAGCTGGGATGGTCGGCCGGCCATCGTGATTGGTGCAACTAAAGGCGGATAGATGCTTGCGCCAATCGCTGGAGGATGGCGAGATCCAACACGGCTCGGCGCAATAATGCAGGCTCAGCCTCGTTTCCTCAACACCGACCCCAAGCTAACGGTATGAAGTTTTCGATATCTGGATTAAAATCTTCTATTACGAACCTGTATTATTCTAGCTAGGCTAAGGAACAAAAGAGAGCTAAGGGAGGGGGTGATAATGGAGAGTGAGTGCGTGATAGAATGGGATGGCACAGGAACATGCGAGAGCAAAAAACGTAGGGACACCCCACGACTAGCCTACTTAGATTCCTTAGCAGCACCCTACCCGGCCTCTACACCCACATATCCACCAGGTAGGGTGCATCCACCCATGCAGCGTCCCACCCACCCAACATCCTGGTCCATGTCCGATCCACCCAAACTTCCGCCAAGCCCCTCATCATTGATGCCGGGCGCACCTGGGCTCATTGCTAAGCCACCACCATGGCAACCTTCCGCTTTTTTCAGGGCAAGGGGGAAAGGACATCCTGATTTTCCAGGGCATTGGAAGACTTCACCCTGTGGTTGCAGGGCATTCTCTTGTTGCAAGACTTCACCCAGTGCATTATTGGTGGCCAGCAGGTTGGGCGGGGGGAAAGGGGTGGATAAGGTGCAGGAGAGATGTCACTTGGTGGATGCGGGCAGGAGCTTCAGCAGCTGCACGGCCCAGGAGAGAAGGTTCTGCAGGGCGTGAGCACGGGCAGTGCGGTGAGAGGGGAGGCAGTGTGGTGAGAGGGGAGGGCAATGCGGTGAGGAGTAAGGGGAGACAATTATTGGAACAGTAGGGAAGGTGGCGCAATAAGAGGAAGAGGCAGCCAGGCAGTCCCGCAGGCAGTGAGGTGAGGGAGTGGCGGCATGCAAGCACACGCACATGCACACGCACGCACTCATGTGCGCTCACCCTCACACACGCACATGCACACACACGGACGCACACGCACACTCAGCACATGCGCATGCACACACGCACACGCGCACAGACACACACACACACACACACACACACACACACACCCACACGAACGCGCGTGCGAGCACACACACACACAAACTCTCATGAACACAGAGGGCAGGCAACAAGAAGCATGGCATGCAAGCAGAGGCACTCACCAGGGCAGCAGAGGCACTCACCAGGGCAGCGGAGCCGGGCTTGAAGGTTGGCTCGGGTATGTCCCTCACGAACCTGGTGGTGGAGGGATGGGCCGTGCGAGGTGCAGCGGATGAGAGGTTGCAATACACATGGAAATGCATCAGCAGGACTGGTGCTCGCCAGCGCATGGGTCGTGTGTACATGTGTGGATGGGTGCTCATGCTGCATGCATATGCCATGCCCGGATCCATGCAAACAGCTGCGCAAGTGTGTGGCTCGGATGTATGCACGTAAGGGCGGGTAACATTGCAATGAACATTGCAAATGTTCGGACCTATGCGTGGGTTGGACGATTTGCAAAGGCTGTGTAACGCATTGACGAACCCCGCCACACATTTTGAACATTATGTCCATTTTCTTCGCCAGCACGACTGGTTTCCTGGAAAACCGCCCCTATAAGTCTAAACATTAAGTTTGACCACCCTTTAAGCGCTGGAGTGGGGCAGAGAATCAGGTGGGGGCTGGTTCCGAAGAGTGTTTAGCTTATACAATAAATATGCAAACACATTCGGGGGCAGATACATAAAGCCAACATTGACGTCCCCGCTGGGGATGGGTCTAGAAGTAAAGTTCAAGATGATGGGGCGCAGGTTCTTTTGGGAGGTACCCTTGATTTTTGTTCAACTCAGGGTGAGTACCCTGTAATGACCATCTTTGCGCATTACCCTATATTCTTCGCAAATCGTCCAACCCGCACATATGTGCGAACATTTGCAATGTTCGTTGCAATGTTACACGCCCTAAGTGACTCTGACGCTGTGCATGCATGCGTGCGTGTGGCAGTGTGCACTCACACAATGCGCAGAGCACCGTTTTCTGGTTGGCAGCGAATGAAGGAGCAGCCGCGGCTGAATGGGAGCGGGCGACCGTTCACCTCTGACGAGGGGGGTGGGAGGGAGGAAGGGATTGGCAGCGGGGCAATGAGGTGACGATGTGCACAAGGAAGGGGGACGAGTAGCATGACAGGAATGGCCCACCTGCATGCCACCTCACCCCACCTGCGTGGCACATCACCCCACCTGCATGCCACCTCACCCCACCTGCATGCCACGTCACCCCGCAGGCACGGGCATCCCCCGTGGAGATGTCATCAATAACGAACGCCACTCCCGCCGGCATGGCATGCAGCACGCGCCTCAGGTGCTGCTCCACCGCCTGGGGGCACGTGGGGTGTGTGGTCGGTGGTGTGGGCGGCAGAGCAGGGCGACATGGGAGGGTGGCGTATGTGGTAGGGGAGAAGGAGGTTTGGGGGGTTTCATACAACACACCCAAGCATTGGCAGCTTGCATGGCAGGTGGGGCAGCGGCGCACCTCTTTACCGAGGAGGGCATCCGGGTAGATCATATCTTGGTATTCACACCCCTCCGCCATGCACGCCACTGCGCCCGCCACGTCCCGTGCGTTCACCGCCGCGTACATCCGCCGCGCCACCTGCCACGCCTCGCAGCCATCATACTGCCCCTCGCACCCACCCCTTTTCCCCTCCGCCTCTCCCTCCCCGTCCCCGTTCTCACCGCCCCGTCCTTCCGCGCCCCCCACCGTCGCTCGCACTGCGCACCACCTCCGCGCCCCCTGATGCGCGCGCGCGCCCACCATCGTCTCTCCGCGCAGCCTCCTTGCTCCGCGCGGCGGAACCGCGAGAGCGACAGAACCACCGCCGTTGCTGCCGGAGGCGACGGCGGTGGAGGCAGTGCGGTCGATGGGGGCGGGCAGGCGGAGTGAGAATGCGGTAGATGCCGTCATGAGTGCGCACGCTGCCTGCTGTCCGCCGCTGTTAGTCGCGCGCTGGTGCTCTGCCAAGTGTGCTCAACGTCCGCCGCCTGCGCTGCTGGCGCGCTTTACAGTCGTTCCAGCGCGATTCTCTGGTTTGTCGTCACATGCGCACATTCGCAGGTTCCTCGTGACGCGCGACCGCAATTCCCGTTCGTCACCTGGCTGTTGCGCTGGTAAGGCACAAGCTTCAATTGGAAATGCGTGTTTGCTTATAATTTTGAGAGAAAAAAAAATAAAAATGTTATGAATGGACTAACTGAGTGCATGAGTTAATATCGAGGTTATGATTGCGAAAGACTGACGATAAATAAGGGGGAAATCCCTGCTAGGCGAGGGCCACGGAAAAACTAGGCTCGGAAGGTTGGCGAAAACTGCGGGGCGGCTCGGTGTGGTTTGGGGCGAGGTTGCAGGCCGAACCAGCTGACACGGAGCCCTCGGAACTGTACCGCTAATATGTGACTAACTCCTTACAGGAACTATCACTAATCCACAATATATCAACCCTTCAATATTAGATTCTTTTCTAATTAGGCTTGCATGTCACTTACATGATTACATACTGTGTCGGATAATTAGTATATTCAGTGTACATACTAATTTGGGGTTATTAGGTTGTCCCAAATCACTGTATGAAGAAATCGTTGTTTCTGTGCGGTTTCAATTCGTTTCGGTTCGGTTGGTCACCCTAAAATGAACAAACTGCAAACTGTATTTTTTATTGCAAGACGATCCTTGGTTGGGAAGATATCGGCCGAATCCCTCCACGAAAACCCGTTCGCCCCTGCGGGTTTTCCTCGGAGGGATTTTCGTTTTCCCGCCGTCGCGTTGCGGGGCACGCGAGGGGCGGGAGCCAGCCAAACCGCCCGCCCGAAACGAGCCTCGCCAGCTCGGAGTGACGCGAGGTGGTCCCCGCTCGAGCTGGCGTTGACCCCACATGCTCCCCCCGTCTGCACCAACCCCTCTGTCCGTCGAGTAAATCCGCCTCCGTCGACGGATTCCGTCTCGAATCGACGGAAAGTGGTGCAGACAAAAGCGTGGCAGAAACGCGCCACAGAGCAGTTCGATACAGAACACGGCCGCAACTGAAATAAAAGCGTATACGTGAACAGATAAATATACAAACTGCAATGGCCAAACTTGATTAGGAATAGGAGGCACAAAAAAAAAGGGGCATTCCCTATAATTCTCATTAATACGTCTATCATCAATTCTAATCTTATTCATGTGCAGGTGCCAGGTAGAACACCTGTCGACGGTTCCGCTACCCGTGAGCCGTTTAGCAAGTGAATATGAACTTTATGAACATGCATTCTCGTACCACCGCCTTTCTAGCACGCTGCGGGGACCGACTCAACCGAGTAAGAAGACGATGGGTCAGGCGTTACTTTCACCGATCAGCTCGACGCCGCTCGGTCGAACAGCATTTGTTGAGACCAGCTCGTCGAGCAAAGCACACCGAGCAGTGCCCATCGAAGGTTCCCGTCGACCACTAATGTGCAATAGCAATGCCCGTCGACGTCGTCGACTAGATCCCGTCGAGCAGAGCCTGCGATGGCAATTTCGTCGTCGACCGTCCGGTCGTCGACCGGATCCCGTCCTGCACCAGTTTTCTCCTGCGTTTTAAAGCGCACCGATGTGAAAATAAGTCTTTCGTTGATACGACATAAAACGAAGTGTCGTCGAACAGAGTTTGAAAACGAATCAGTGCCATGTATGAATTACCGACCTTTTCATGTAGTGTAAAAGTCGTACAATTTGGAAAGCTAGAATTTCTTGAATATAATGTCTTTTATGTATTTCCTACTTGGAAAATATGGTATGTTCTACGGAATAATAAAATGCAGCTGCCAAACTCTACTGCAACATTAACATTGCTTGTGTTGATTGTCCACATTCACGACATGTATTAACGTATAGTAAAACTAGAGCATTGTTGATTGGTTATGTGATTGTGAGTCTCGTTGCTACAAAGAGAAGTGAAACTGGGGTGCTGGCGGCGATAGATATGCTTGGTCGAGTGAAATAAACTTCTCGACCATTTTGCTCTGTCTGTCGAAATCTTTCGTTTTGACCAATGGGGATAATGCGCAGCTCGACAACTTCCGCGTCGAATGCAGATGCTGACATGTCAAAATCTAGAAACGGCTTCTCCTGTCGAGAATCAATTCCATCGAACAACGTCTCGGTAATTCTGTTTTCTCGAGTGTGAAATCGGAACCTTATCGAATGAGTTTCCCTGTTTGACAGAAAGTAATGCAGTACTGTTTCGACATAAATGTGAAAGTGTACGGGCAAAGTTTTTCAACATGCTTGTCGAACTGTCACTTACCGCAACACAGACAAAAAGAAATTCACGGAAACGTTTAGCAAGATCCCTAAGTATTGTCGAACATCCTGAAAGCACCTCATGTCGAACAGCACATTTGATTTCTCGTCGAAGATTTTTTTTTTTGCCGCAAATTTGAAATGTTGTCGAATGCAATACACCCTTTTAGAGCCAACTAGGGCTCTGTCGAAGTCAGAAAAACGCAGATATTAAGTATAAACGCCCTTCCGTCGAGAATTGACACATTTTCGACGGGAATACCCCTTCCGTCGAGAACAAAATGTCTGCACAAATAGTAACAAAAGTATATTAATTTTAGGGCCTTGGCTGATATTTTGAGATACAAAACACTTTTTTTTTTAATTATACAATAGTATATCGAGTTGTCTCCCGTCGAGCTCCATCAATTTCCACTGTTACGGCTGACATATATATTGTCATAAGAATACGACATTGAACCCGCGGGTTTTGGAGGGTTTTTTGGCCTGGTCAGCCGGGAATTTCTGGGGGACCGGAGGGATTCCGCGGGTTTTTCGTTTTGCCTCGAATGTCATTTGTGCCAGGGCGGGCGGGGCGGCATGTGATGACGTCACCCGTGTGTATATAATAGGGTTTGCATGCGATCGCGGCTTGCACGCAAATTGCGCTGTCAATCAGCCCTCGTTGTCACTGGGTAGGCGCAGGAGAAAGCAACCTGCACCATGTGCCCGTCAGTGCGCCCCCTTTGCTCGCAATCTAGCACCTTACCTTGGCGGTCGACTAGAGCTGATCGTTATAGCAATTGCTCTTCTTGAGGCTGGAAGAGGAGATTCTCGTTGGTATCAAATATCTTCATATCGCGTACGCATCGATGGACGACGACGGCGAGGATTGCGTGTATTTCGGGCGCGCGTTGGAGCGCGCGGAGGGCGCGGGGGGGCGCAAGATGCACCTAGCGCTGGCGGAGGGGCGCGCGAAGCAGGCGGTGCCGCCGTGGCAGCAGGAGGCGCGCGACGAGGAGGGCCGGCGGCGGTTTCACGGCGCGTTCACGGGGGGATTTTCCGCGGGGTACTTCAACACCGTGGGGTCCAAGGAAGGTACTTCAACACCGTGGGGTCCAAGGAAGGTACTGCCGCCGCTTGCCGCGTGTGGTCTGGCACACGGAGGATGGTTCCCAAGGAATTTTCCCGTTGTCGGATTCCCGCGCGCTCAGGCGTCGTTGCGCTCGTCTGGGTGCTTCCGTTGTGGCGCGCTCGATTAAAGGAGGGGGTTAGGTGAAGCCACGGCTGAGGGGGCGACTGCAGCGTCACTCATCCCACTGATCCCTGCTTTCACCATCTTCCCCACCTACTCACCACCCCCACCCCCCCCCCCTCCCCACCATCGCCCCTCTCTCCCGCTCCCCCACCACCTCTTCAACCCCCCACCCCCCTGCACTCCAATCCCCCATTTCTTCACCCAGGGTGGCACCCTTCATCGTTCCGGTCGTCGCGCTCTGCGCGCGCGGAGGTGCGGCAGCAGAGCGTGGAGGCGCTGATGGACGCCGACGAGCGACACGACGCGCAGCGCAGCGCCGTGGCGGCTCACAGCGCGTTCGACACGTTCGGGTTCACCGCCGCTGAGCGCGCCCGCCACCTCGCCTCCACCGCGGACCGGCGCCCCTCCGCCATTCCCGGGGGAGCCGTGGCGGAGCTGCTGGCCCCTGCCGCTGACTCCATCGGTGAGATCGGGGGGAATGAAGGGGAGAGAAGGGGGCAGTTGGCTATGGTGGGTGGTGGCAGTGCAGTGAGGGAATGCTGTTGCGGGCTGGCACATGGTGACTTCGTGCCTGCGTGCACCACGGAGGGCTAGCAGGGCACTGAGGGTTCCCTGCCTCCACTTGCTGCCCACCCCACCCCTCGCCCACCACCACCCATTGGTACTTGACTACTCTGCTCTTCACGTCTTTACCCCCTGCCCTGCCATTTCCAACCGTCTAGTGCCCCAGTACACACCATCTCTCCGGCCCCCCTTTCTTTCCACCCCTCCCCTCTTCCGACCCATCTCCCCAACGCATCGCCCCAACGCATCGCCCCAACGCATCGCCCCAACGCATCTCCCCAACGCATCGCCCCAACGCATCGCCCCAACGCATCTCCCCAACGCATCTCCCCAACGCATCTCCCCCCACCCCTCCCTCCCCCCCCCCCCCCCGGCAGGCAAGGCGCTGCTGCGCAGGATGGGGTGGAGGGAGGGCAGGGGGCTGGGGCCCGACGAGGTGGCAGCTTCCAGGAAGGTGCAGCGCGAGGGCAGGCGGGCAATGCTGGCGCTGGCAGCGGGAGGGCGAGGGCGCGGGGAGGGGAGAGGAGACGACGAGGAGGGGGGGGAGGTAGAGGGGGAGGAGGACGACGAGGAAGGGGAAGCTTGGGGGGGTGGAGGGGGAATGGTGAGGAAGGAGAGGGGGGCGAGGGGCGGCAAGGAGGGGGGGGCGTTGGCATCAGCAGCGGCAGCAGAGGCGGCGGTGGCGGCCGCGCTGATGGCGCCCAAGCGGGACACCAGGGGGGTGGGGTTCAACGCCTTCCAGGGCGCTGAGGATGTGCGAGGTCAGGCTTGCAGAGAGGTGGTGGGGCGTGCAGAGAGGTGGTGGGGCATGCAGAGAGGTGGTGGGTCGTGCAGAGAGGTGGTGGGGAGTGCAGGGGGGTGGTGGGGCGCGCAAGGGGGTGGTGGGGCATGCAGAGAGAGTTTTTGTGCTATCAAGGAAACAAGGCAAAGAGAGGAGGAGGAGAGTATGAGAGGGAGAGAGAGTGGGCTCGTCCGATGAGTGCCATTCTTGCAGTGACCGCTTTTCAAACTTGACTGCCGTGTTCACAAGGTCCGCTGAAGCTCCACTTCCTCTCTGCTTCACTCACACTGCTTATTGCAACTCCCTCATCTCATCCCTGCTTCCCGCCTTCTCTCCCCCCTCCCTTGTCCCCCTCTCTGTTCTCTGGGGAGTGGGAGCAGAGCACAGGCAAAGGACGGCAGGGGGAGTGAGAGGAGGGGAGAGGGTTGGAGAGAGGGGCCTGGGTGGGCGGCGCAGGGCAGGCGGCATGCAGTCGCTGTTTGCGGCAGGGAGCGGGCGGGTGGCGGGGGGGTTTGGCATCGGGGCGCTGGAGGAGGCTGGGGCTGAGGACGAGGATATCTACGACTCCGGTGAGATGGTGGAGTGCGATGGAGTGCGGTGGTGGTGTTGGTGGTGGGTAATTTGGTGTGAGAGCGTGTGGTGGTGTGGGATGGGATCAGGTGACGGAGCAAAGAAATGGTTGATTGCGCATGGTGGCATGGCACATTACCATGTGAGAGCTTTCGTGTTCTCCTTCACTGCGCCCTCCTCGCCGCTCGCAGTGTGTCACCTCACCCCGTCGCCCTCGCCCTCGCCCCTTTCCCCCCATTTGCGCTGTGTGCCAGAGATACCGGCGGGGGAGCTGCACGAGGTGGATGAGGACGAGGACGAGGGGGAGGGCGAGGGGCCACGCGTGCAGGGTGGAGGGGCCTTCATGCTTGAGGGCAGGCGGGGGCAGCAGGGGGCGCAGGGGTTGGCGCAGCAAGGCGTGCCGTGGATGGGAGGGGCGGGGCAGCACCATGGGAGCGGCGCCGCTGTGCTGCGGGGCTTCTGTGAGGGGCGCGTGGCGCTGGAGGAATCCAAATGGTACCCCCGCCCGCATGTTCTGCCCTTGCCTCGCCCCGCATGTTCTGCCCTTGCTTCGCCTGCACTTCCTGCATCCGAAAGTGTGCTGCTGCTGCGTGCCTTCCTGCCCACCACATGAATTGCTCCCTGCCCAGCCCACCGCGCTGCTTCTCTCCTTACATGCTTGTCCCCGTTCACTTCCACTCACGCTGCTTCACCTTTTCACACATGTGCTGCTGTCCTCCCTCACACCCTTCCAACCCCCCTCCAGGTACCCGCCCCCCCACGTGCCCTCCTCCTTCACGCCCCACCACGTCTTCCCCTCCTCCGCACCCCCCTCCGCCTCACCAGCGCCCTCCCCACTCGCCCCGCCACCAGCCCCTCCGCCTGCGGACGAGGCGGTGCGGGCAGCGGTGGAGGGCGTGGCGGCCATGGTGGCGCGCTGTGGGGCGCACGTGGAGGCGCTGCTCACGCAACAGGCGGGGGGAGGGGCGGCGCACGGCCAAGGGGCGAGGGAGGAAGGGGTAGGAGAGCGCAGTGAGCTTGCCCCGGCGCGGCTGGCGTTCCTGGTGGGCGGGGAGGGCAGTGCTTACTACAGGCGCCGCGTGTGGGAGCTGGCGGAGAGGCACAGGGCGGCGGAAGGCAGGGCAGCAGCGGGCAAGGCGGTGGAGAGCAGTGGGGGGGTGCGGCTGGGGCCTGATGCTCGGGGTGCGCTGCTGGGCGAGCAGCCGTTGCCTTCCTCCCAGCCTTCCCCTGCCCTGCCTCCATCATCTCACCCCACATCCACCTCTGCTGCTCCTCCTGCTGCACCTTCTGCCTCTCCTGCCGCTCCTTCCCCTCCCACCGCGCCGGCCTTCCAGCAGCATGGGGCGGCGGCTGAGCTGGCAGCAATGATGGCGGCGCGCTTCCACAGCAGCGGGCACGAGGACAGGGCTGGCAAGGCCGGCATGAGCAGTGAGGGGGCGGCGCTTCCTGCTGCGCCCAGGGAAGACACGGCGCTGGTAGGGGCGGCAGTGGTGGTGGCGAGGCGGAGGGAGGAGGCGTGGAGGCCGCTGCCTCTGCTGTGCAGGCGGTTCAACCTGGCCGACCCGTTCGCGGGGAAGGTGAGATGGGCGTGTCACCCTGTGAGATGGGCGTGTCACCCTGTGAGATGGGCGTGTCACCCTGTGAGATGGGCGTGTCACCCTGTGAGATGGGCGTGTCACCCTGTGAGATGGGCGTGTCACCCTGTGAGATGGGCGTGTCACCCTGTGAGCTGCGTTAGGCATCTCACCTGTTTGCTGAAAGTATGTATGCTGCATATCATGTGAAAATACACAAAGAATGAAACAGAGAAAGAAACATCTTGCGACGTTGATGTTGCAAATATCTTCCAACTAAGCGTGTGATGCAGCCCACGGACACATCACATATTTTGGAAGGCGGGAAATGAGCCTTGTGTTGTCGTTTTGTGGCAACAAGTTTCTTGATGCACCCAGCGGCCGGGCAGCGGTGGTGGGGGAGCGGTGGTGGGGCAGCGGTGGTGGGGCAGCAGGGCTGTGTTTGGGTGCCACCGGCATTCTCCTCTGCTCCCTGCCCTTTTCGACACATCCACTCCCCTTCTTCCTCCCTCTCTGTATTCTGCCCCGCTGGTCATGCCAGCCTGCCACTTGTTCACCCGCCCAAATGCTTCAATCTGCTTGCGCGCTGCACTGCTGCATTGCAGTCATTCGTTTTCACCAATTCACACTGCTTTTCTCACTCTCCTTTCTCTTCTACTTTCGCCTCGTCCCTCCACCACAGGCCCCTCCCCCTCCTCTCCACCGCCCCTCTCAGCTCGACACCCTCACCTCCTTCCCCCAAACCCTCCCCTCCGCCGCACCAGCTCCCACTGCTGCCCCCTCGTCTCCCCTCTCCCTCCCCGCTCCCCCTCCCGCTGCGCCTGCCATGGCTCCTGGGCGTGATGGGCGGATGGAGGGGCGCGAGGAGGGACACACGAGGGAAGCGATTGGGGGAGGGAAGGATGATACAGGGCGAGAGAGAGAGGAGAGCAAGGAAGCGTGGGAGGAGGAGGAGGAGGGGCAGGCAGCAGCGGAGGCGGTGGAGAACCGCCCCATGGATCTCTTCAAGGTAAGCTGCCCCTCGCCTGCTCTCCCCTCGCCTGCTCTCCCCTCGCCTGCTCTCCCCTCGCCTGCTCTCCCTCGCCTGCTCTCCCCTCGCCTGCTCTCCCCTCGCCTGCTCTCCCCTCGCCTGCTCTCCCCTCGCCTGCTCTCCCCTCGCCTGCTCTCTCCCCTCGCCTGCTCTCCCCTCGCCTGCTCTCCCCTCGCCTGCTCTCCCCTCGCCTGCTCTCCCCTCGCCTGCTCTCCCCTCGCCTGCTCTCCCCTCGCCTGCTCTCCCCTCGCCTGCTCTCCCCTCGCCTGCTCTCCCCTCGCCTGCTCTCCCCTCGCCTTCTCTCCCCTCGCCTTCTCTCCCCTCGCCTGCTCTCCCCTCGCCTGCTCTCCGCTCGCCTGCTCTCCCCTCGCCTGCTCTCCCCTCGCCTTCTCTCCCCTCGCCTTCTCTCCTCTCGCCTGTGCTCGCCCCTCGCCTGTGTTCTCATCTCCCGCTCTCCCATCTCCCGCACTCCCATCTCCCGCTCTCCCATCTCCTGCTGTTGCCTGTTCCTCTCGCTCTTTTGTCAATCTGGGTTGTCATGAATGTTTGACAATTGTGTTCCGTTCAACCCTCATCTCATCTCCCCCGCCGCTCAGGCCATCTTCTCAGACGATGAAGACAGCGACGGCGATCCTCGTGCCATGTCAGCAGCGCCAGGTGGCATTGATGACGTGGCAGCAGCAGAAGCTGCCACGCGGGCGCTGGCCCGGCTGGAAGCAGGTGACTTCCTGGAGGGGCTGGGCGAGGAGCTGGGCTTGCAGGTGGACCCGGGGGAGGTGCGACGCGGGGCAGGGGGCGAAGGGCGGCGAGGGGAGAGGGAGGGTGGCAAGGGTGCGGAGGGGGAGAGTAAGGTGGGGAAGGGGAGGGCAGGGAAGGAGCAGGAGGGTGGTGTGTGGGGCCAGGGGGGTAACGGTTCTGGCTTGGCAGGCAGTGCAGGGGGTGCGGTTGCAGCAGAGCGGGTAGAACAAGCAGGAGAAGGCAGGGAGAACATGACAGGCGGAAGGGGGGGGAGTGAAGCACACGTGAGGGAGGGGCAGCAGGGTGACCAGGGAGGCAGTGCAGGTGGTATGGGTGATGCAGATAGAGGCACGAGAGGTGCTGCCATGGGGGAAGGATGGGGCGCTCCTTCTGCTGCTGCTGCTGCTCCAGGTGCCGCGGGGGAGGCAGCAGGTGCTGTGAAGCGGAAGAAGCGCGTGCTGACGTCATCGTCATCATCATCATCTGCAACGTCGCGGTCTGACTCGGACAGTGCAGGCTCTTTGTCAGGTGGGGGGGAGGGGAGGAGGAGGAGGAAGGAGGGTGAGAAGAAGAGGAGCAAGAAACGGTCACGAGAGACTGATGGGGGGAAAAAGCGAAGGAAGCGAAGGAAGAAACGAGACAGTGGGAGTTCAGGAAGTGAGGAATCCGATGATGCAGGGAGGAGGAGGAAGAAGAAGCACAAGAAGAAGGCATCACGGAGAAAGCACCACAGGGGAAGGCATGAGAGCAGCAGTGAGAGCGATGGGAGCAGCAGTGAGGGGGACTACTGTGGGAGCGACAGCAGCAGCGAGAGGAGGCACATCAAGAGCAAACGGCGGCGGCGTGGTGACAAAGGGGGGCGCAAGAGGCACAAGTAGTGACATGATGGGTGAAACCGATGTGTTGTGACGTTTCAGAAGCTATGTGGTATATACGGTGATGAAGTTTTGCTAGTAGTTGTCAGAATGGTCAATGTGACATGCCATAGTATTGAAGCCCTCGGCCCAAGTTGCCAACTTCGATGTTGAGGGCTCTGCACCAGCGTGTTGCGATTTGAGACGTCACAAACTTGAAAAAGGTGTACTCTTATAGAAACATGGATGTACTGGTATGAACTGGTACAGACAGCATGAACTGGTATGCACTGTTATAGTATGTGCGCGCGACATGCAAGGGAGCAATTAATTCCGTAGTGCTGGTAGATGGAAAATGAATTAATCACCTGTACATAACCTAGCAGCGAGATGGACAGAGATAGGGTATGCATTGTGCCACAAGAATCTTGAATCAAGTGTGTAGATGCCCCGTGGTTTCACCATAACATTTCCTCTGCAATGCTGCATTTTGCGAGTGCAACTGCCGCACCATCACTGCTCCGTGCCCCGTGTGTCTCGCTTGCAGATGGGGCACACCGCGCGGCGCCTCAACCACTCGTCAATGCACTGCCGGGAAAGGGAGGGGCAGCAGCCAACAGAAGAAGGGATGGCGGAGGGAGGACAGGCAGAATGATGAGAAAGGTGTTCCAAACATGGTTCACGTGCACAGAGGATGCTCGTGCAGGTGATAAGCAGTTCCATGTTTCATGGTACATTCCCAGCTCTGGACAGGGGTTCCGATGATCAGGGGCAACACCACCGCATCATATAGTCCCCTCCGTGTGCTCCCATATAGTTGTGTCATAGCAGTGGTAAGATTTGTCCATGACAGGCACGGATCGTGGTAGCAGCTGCAGTCAATCACGGTTCACTAGTTGACTTATAACGCGGTGGAAGGCGTTGACTCTGGTTGACTCACATCGTGGTGGAAGGCATTGACTCTGGTTGCCTCACATCGCGGTGGAAGGCGTTGACTCTGGTTGACTCACATCGCGGTGAAAGGCGTTGACTCTGGTTGACTCACATCGCGGTGGAAGGCGTGGGCGCAGGGCAGGCGGCGGATCACTTCAGGCGGTGAGGGCACCTCGATGCAAATGGCACATGGGTCCAAATCGCTGTCCTGTGCCTGGCAGGGGGGAGGTGGGCGATGGATGCGTGGCATGAGGGCGGTGAGGGCACCTCGATGCAAATGGCACATGGGTCCAAATCGCTGTCCTGTGCCTGGCAGGGGGGAGGTGGGCGATGGATGCGTGGCATGAGGGCGGTGAGGGCACCTCGATGCAAATGGCACATGGGTCCAAATCGCTGTCCTGTGCCTGGCAGGGGGAGGTGGGCGATGGATGCGTGGCATGAGGGCGGTGAGGGCACCTCGATGCAAATGGCACATGGGTCCAAATCGCTGTCCTGTGCCTGGCAGGGGGGAGGTGGGCGATGGATGCGTGGCATGAGGGCGGTGAGGGCACCTCGATGCAAATGGCACATGGGTCCAAATCGCTGTCCTGTGCCTGGCAGAGGGGAGGTGGGCGATGGATGCGTGGCATGAGGGCGGTGGAGGCACCTCGATGCAAATGGCACATGGGTCCAAATCGCTGTCCTCTGCCTGACAGAGGGGAGGTGGGCGATGGATGCGTGGCATGAGGGAAGAGGCGGAGTTGCCCTTGACAATGCTGCTACCCATGTTGCTGTGGTATGGCGGAATGTGGAAAAATACCACATGCATGGCAAGGGCAGCGTGCACTGCTGATGGTACATGCATCCCCAGAGCAGGGGGAACAGGCTGTTGCAATGCGGAGCAACAGGTGGAGAGCAGAGCAGGTACCGACCGTGACAACGGCGGTGGGCAGGGTGTTGATCTCCTCGGGGGTGGCACCGGGCCGCACGACGGGCGCTGAGATTTCGTCCAAAGCCAGCAGCATCTCGTAGTCCGACCTGTGGGAGGAGCGCAAGCAGCGTGGGGAGGGGAGCAAGTGACAGAAGCAAGGACTGCGAATCTGTGCGGTTAAGTGAGCGGTTGAGTGGGCGGTCTATGTTTGAGGCGCTAAATGAGATGTCGTCCAGCGCAAGGAGCATCTTGTTGTCCGACCTGTGCTCCCCACGGCAGGTAACAGCACAGGGAGAAGATCAGGTAAGAGAACCATGGGCAGGGGATGTGTGGGGTTAGGTGGGGGAGCGGAATGCGGAGAAGGCAGGAAGGAGAGTGAGGGAGTCGTGAGCACACAATGAATGGCAGAGCGGCTGGATTGCAATGAGTGGTTTGACCACCCAGCGTGGTTGAAGTGAAGGTTGACGTTTGCACAAGGCCAGTCAGAGCCAAGTCATGGGTAATTAGGAACTGAAAAAACTAGGCGCTAAGCTAAAGCAAAACACATCAGAGCAGCGCGGGGAGGGGGGGGGGGGGGGGAGGGGGGGGGGGGAGGGGGCGGGGAGGGGGCGGGGGGGGGGGGGGGGGGAGGGGGGGGCGCGGGAGGGGGGCGGGGGAGGGGGGGCGGGGACACACTCATTGAAGTCGCGGTCGATGGCGGCGAGGCGAAAGGCGAGGGGGAAGTTGCGCACGAGGGGGGGGGGGGGCGGGGGAAGGGGGCAATGCGGTGGAAGGCGGCGTCCACCCCTCCCATGCCCACCTCCAACGCCTGCCACAACCGCCAGACGCTGATGGGGGGAGGGGGAGGGATGTGTGCACAAAGAAGGGCGGAAAGCCAATTGAGCGGGCGGGCAGACGCCAAAAAGGTCAAGGAAGTGAGGGAGAGAAAGAAAAATGTGAGGCAACGAAGTATGGTGTTAGGAGAAGAAAGAAGGCTGTGGGGTCATGAACAGCGTAGCGACAGGATACAGGATGCAAGGGGAAGGGCCTCTCATACCACGTGCATGTGCGTGAGAGGGGAGATGAGTCTAAGAAATGCCAGCATTATAGTGGGAAATTTCGTGAGACGGGACTGTTAAAGTTGAGAGGTAAAAGGAGGAGAGGGCGAGAACTGAAGGAAGACGAGGGCAAGGAAAGGGCGAGGGTGAGGGTGAGGGTGAGGGTGAGGGTGAGAATGAGAATGAGGGGGCAAGGGCGCACGTCGGAGATGATTTCAGCGGCGGAGCGGAAGGACCTGCCCGCCCTGTCCCGCCTCCACGCCCCCATCACTTGCCGCCTCCTCTCCGCCTCCCCTCCCCTCCTGCTGGCCCCACCCTCCCCGCCCACTCCGACCTCCGCACCAGCAGCAGCCCCATCACCATCGCCATCAGCAGCAGCAGCAGCAGCAGCAGCAGCAGCTGCCCCAGCTGATTGCACATCACCCCCGGCATCATGCGCAGCAGCAGGCGCGTCCCCCCCAGCAGGGGCAGGTAGCACGTGGCGGGTGGCAGCGTGGTCGCGCAGCATGAGGCGGGTGAGCGCGGAGAACCGCTGCTGCAGCCGCGACCGACTCCCTCCACTGTCTCCCCTCGCCCACCCGCCACCCACGCCCCTCTCCGTGCCCCTCCCGCACCTTCAGCAGCCGCAGCCTCCCTCGCAGCCTCCCTCACAGCCTCTCCCACAGAAGCCACAACACTCGCCAGCGCAGAGCCACCGTCCTCGTCCCTGTCCTCGTTATTAGCAGCCCCACGACTGCCTTCAGGAGCCCCAGGCACCAGCCCCGTCTCCCCAACCACCCTCTCCACCGCCTGCCTCGCTCGCCGCTCCACCGCCTCCCGAGCCTCCCTCAGCCGCCGCTCCAGAGCTTCCCGAGCCTCCCGTGCCCGCCGATCCACCGCCTCCCGTTCCTGCTGCGCCCGAGCCTCCACGAGCAGCTGGGCGGCGTGGGCCCGAGCCTCCACGACGTGGCGGGCCACCCGGGCGCGCTCCTCCACCAGCCGCTGCAGCCGCCGCCGCCTCTCCCTCGCCTCCTCCTGTGCCACCCCCAGTGCCGCTGCTGCTGGTGCTGCTGCTGCTGCCGCTGCTGCTGCTGCTCCTTCCGTGATGGCTACACCTACTGTTGCGTCGGTGCTGCTGCTGCTGCTGCTGCTGCTGAGCGGTGAGTGGCAGAGAGCGCAGCAGAGGCCAGGGCGGGGTGGACACCTGCTGCTTCTGTACCCACGTCTGCTGCATTTCCTGCATCTGCTGCAATTGCTGTGTCTCCTTCAGCTGCAGCTCGTGCTTCCTCACTCATCGGCCATCCACCAAACCCAGCAGTCGCACTCCTTCCCACTCATCCGCTTGCGCAGCAAGCTCGCCTTGCCTCCCCTCACCCTCCCCTCCCACTGGCCTCGCAACTCCCACCCATGCAGCCCCTGTCTCCTCCGCCCCTCCCACCACCTCCCCGCTGGACTCATCTGCAGCTCCTGCGGCGCCTGCAGCACCCATGCCCCGCACACTCGCCCACTCGCGCCACCTCCTCCGCTCGCCCCCATCCCCCGCGCCCATGCCCCTCCTCCGCTCCCTCCATGCTTCCAACCCCAACGCCCTTCTTCGCGCCTCCTGCCAGGCCGCCTGAGGAGGCGCGGGTGGGGAGAGCGCGGAGGGAAGGAGGAGGGGGCTCCAGTGCGGGGCGAGAGGCAGGTCCGCCGTGGCAAGCGGGGCAGAGGGGGAGGGGTCATGTGGTGCTGCTGCTGCAGGGGAGGCATGGGGTGGTGGTGGCGCAGCAAGGGCGTCATGTGGTGGCATGGCGTGTGCATGTGTTGCGGTAGCATGGCCCATGGCGGCTGTGACAGCAGAGTGCGGAGGAGGACCCACGGCATGGGGTGCACTAGCATTGGCGATCCCCTCACCACGGTTCAACCCCTCAGCAGAACCCTCACTCATCCCAACACCGTCGTCCACAGCAGCGGCAGCAGCAGCAGCAGTGGCACCGTCCCTTTCAACCCGACGCCCCATGTGCCACGAGAACCCTGTCTCCCCACCCTCTCCGCTCTCCCCTCCCCCCTCGCCCCCCCCCTGCCCACCCTCACCGCCCGCGCCGGCGCCACCATACGTGCCACTGCCAGCAGGGCGCCAGGCGTGCAGCCCTCTGTGGTGGGCGGCAAAGGACGGCAGCAGCAGGGGCTGAGCACCCACGGGCGGCAGGGCATCAGACGGCCGGGATGACAGAGCCACAGCGCCACGCCTGCTCTGCTCACCTGTGCCATGCCCTCCACCCTCCCCACCCACTCCCATGCCCCGCTCGCCCGCACCAACCACACCCACCAGTCGCCTGTCAACCCTCACTGCATCACTCCTGTCAGCCCCTGCCTCCCACTCTCCAACCCCCCTGCCCCTGCCCGTCCTCTCAACCCGGCCCTCCCTGCCTTCCCTGCCCGCCCTGCCCGCCCTGCCATCCAGCCTTGCGTGCACCCTTGCAGCAAAAGCCCTCCCCCGGGCATCATCCTCCTCGCGGCCTTGCGCTGCTGCCCTGTGCCTGGCCTCGCCACGCCACGGCCGCCCATGCCGCGACCTGCCATGGGGTGCTCGCGGGGGAGCGCTGCTGCCATCTGATTCCGCCATCTCCGCGCTCCCCCCGCCAAATCCGCCCTCCCCTCTGCCCTCCCCCCTGCCGCCCACCCTGCCCTCCCCATCCCCTCGGCCCTCATCCCCCCCATAAGCCTCATCTCCAGTGTGAGCGCATCCCTCCTCCCCACTTTCCCCTCTCGCCTTTCCCTCTCTCGCCTGCCCCCTGTCCCCTCTCGCCTGCCCCCTGTCCCCTCTCGCCTCCCCCCTGTCCCCTCTCGCCTGCCCCCTGTCCCCTCTCGCCTCCCCCCTGTCCCCTCTCGCCTCCCCCCTGTCCCCTCTCGCCTCCCCCCTGTCCCCTCTCGCCTCCCCCCTGTCCCCTCTCGCCTCCCCCCTGTCCCCTCTCGCCTCCCCCCTGTCCCCTCTCGCCTCCCCCCTGTCCCCTCTCGCCTCCCCCCTGTCCCCTCTCGCCCCCCCCTGTCCCCTCTCGCCTCCCCCCTGTCCCCCTCTCGCCTCCCCCCTGTCCCCTCTCGCCTCCCCCCTGTCCCCTCTCGCCTCCCCCCTGTGTGCGGCCCTCTCATCCACGCCCAACACATCCTGCTCCACTCCCCCTCCACCTCTCAGCCGCTCTTCACCTACTCCTACCGCACTGCCAGCAACTGCTGCTGCAACTGCTGCAAGTGCTGTTTCTGCTGCACCTCCTGCCACGCCTGCTGCTGCTGCTGCTGCCGCGCCGACTGCTGCAAAGGGAGCTCCACTCCACGCACCGTGCTGCAGCACGGCAGTGTGGAGGGCGCTCACACGCGCTGCCTGCTCCCACTGCTGCCCCATGCCGAACTCCCCCACTGCTTCGGCCGTGGCAGTACCCATGGGCGGTGGTGCAATGGCATGAGGTGTGACAGCATGCGGTGAGAGGAGAGTGGCGGCAGGCGCGGGTGTGACTGTGGCAGCAGACAGGGTGGCGGCAGGGGCAAGGGCGGCAGGTCTGGTGCTGCCCACGCTGCCCGAGTTGCCGCCCGAATCGCCACCTGCTCCCATGATAGCGGAGCGCGATGAGGGGCGCAGGGGTACTCTGGTGGGGGGAGAGGCGAGGGGTGTGAAGGACATGGGGGGGGAACAGGAGAGAGATGCGGATGGAGGCAGAGGAAGGAGGAGATGAGCAGCCTCGGCATGGCAAAGAGAGAGACAGGCTGATCCCCAAATTCACACAGCACAGCACAGCACATACCTCTCATGTAATGCACTCCCTTGGCCACAGCTGGCCTTGACATCCCCAGTCAACCCGAAGGCCACTGCATACCTGGCACGTGCGCGGGCGGGCAGGCGCCCCTCACCCACGCGGGCGCGCATGCCGAGCGCCCAGGGGGAGTCTGCTGGCAGGGGCAGCACCGCGTGGGGCGAGGCGATGACAGCAGCCCGGGCAGGGGGGTGGGGCTGTGGTGGAGCTGTGGCAGGGGGGTCAGCAGAAGGAGGAGGAGCAGGAGGAGGAGGAGGTGAAGAGGCGGGGCGCGTGGTGCGCAGTTGGGATGCGCGCAGAAACCCCCCCCGGTGCATGCGCATGGCCACAGAGGCAGAGGAGTCGGCAGGCGTGCCGAAGGAGAATGCACTGGTGGCGGGAGACGCGGATGCAGAAGCAGCCCTGCCCGTGGTACGCGCATGAGGCGCGTGCATCTCGGATCCCCCGCGGTGCAGCGGGCCATGCGTGGAGGGCGAGTGCGGAGGGGAAGGCAGATTGCGGAAGGAGGGCGAGGTGGGGGAGGAGGGGAGGTTGCGGAGGGAGGGAGAGGCAGGGGAGGAGGGGAGATTGCGGAGGGAGGGAGAGGCAGGGGAGGAGGGGAGATTGCGGAGGGAGGGAGAGGCAGGGGAGGAGGGGAGATTGCGGAGAGAGGGCGAGGAAGGGGCAGCAGCGTGATCAGCCGATGGAGACGACAGCTCAGAGGCTGTCGACATCACACCAGTGCCTGCCTCTGCCTCTGCCTCTGCCTCTGCCTCGTGCCACGGCCCCAGACTCACAGCGCCCATCCCCGGCATCCCAGCGCCCTCTCCTCCCCCTCTGCCAGCACCAACCCCCATAGGCTGCCCCTCAGCCCCAGCCGGCCCCCCTGCATGCCCCCACCGCCGTGCCACGCGCGCCTGCCACTGCCCAGCCTCCTCCTCAAGGCTGCCAGGGAACCACGGCACCCCTCTCCTGGCCTGCCCCCCCTCGCGCCCTCCATGCCCTCCGTGCCCCCTTTCCCCCCCATGCACCGCCACAGGCAGAGCGCCGTCACCGGCAGGCAAGGCGGCAGGAGGGGGCATGTCATGCAGGCGGGGGGCAGCGTCCCCCAGCGCGACGTCAAAGTCAAACGCGTCGTCCACCTCGTTCAGCGCGTCCTCGTCCACCTCATGCCCCGCATGGCCCTCATGGCCCCCGTCCATAATATCCTCCATATAAGCTTCCTCGCCTGCACCCCCTTCCAGCAACCCCATGTCCAGCCTCGAGCCGTCAAGCTCCAACATCTCAATCTCCTCATCCACTTCCTCGCCCTCATCCTCCTCCTCCTCTTCTTCTTCCACCTCCTCTGCCTCTCGCGCCTCCGCCTCCCAGGGTGCGACACCTTCATCTGTTGCCACACCTCCGTCCGCCGCTGCACCTGCCTCCGCAAGGGACCCTTCACGTCGTCTCCCCTCCTCGGGCGCTTGTTCAGGTGCTTGTCCTGGTATTTCTTCAGGTGCATGTTCAAGTGCCTGTTCAGGTGCTTGATCAGGTGCTTGATCAGGTGCTGATTGTTGTTCAGGTGCTTCTTGTGCAGCGGACTGCGGCCTAAAAGGCTGTAGGCGCCGAGCAGATTGTCTCTGCAGAGGGATGCAAGGGATGATGGGTGCGAGGGATGGAAGGACAGGTGCGCACGCAGAGATGGAGGGACAGAAAGAATGCAACAGTGAGAGCAAGGCACGATGCATTTTGAGTCGACTCAAAACACACCACATAGTGCACATCACATTACACGGTTCCATAGCATGACGCAATGCATCGCATTGCATTGCAGGGCAAGAGGGCCGAGAGGGAGAAGGGCGGCGGGCAAGCAGAGGGGGGGGAGGGGCAGAGCAGCAGGGAGGGGCAGAGCAGCAGGGAGGGGCAGAGCAGCAGGGAGGGGCAGAGCAGCAGGGAGGGGCAGAGCAGCAGGGAGGGGCAGAGCAGCAGGGAGGGGCAGAGCAGCAGGGAGGGGCAGAGCAGCAGGGACGGACAGGCAGGACGCCATCGAAGCGCAGCAGCGCCCTGAAGTCAGCCGCGTCTTGCAGCTCGTGCTGCATCTCCACCGCACTCATGCCCGCCCCCACTCCCCCACCCCGCTGCTGCTGGCTGCGCAGCACTGCTGCTGCTGCCACTGTCTCTGCCATCGCCTCTCTCCTCAACCACCGCCCGTAGCTCCTTCGTGCTGACGTGGCACGGCCAGCTGATGCTGACGTGGCGCGTTCTGCAGGTGCTGCCATGCCCACCCGTGCAAGACGGGCAGATTCCAGAGGTCTCAGGGGTGCAGGTGGCACTGCAGCCACGGGGGGGTTGCGAGCACCAGCAATACCACCATCGGCGCCGCCACTAGTGCCGCCACCAGTGCCGCCAGTCGCACCAATGCCAGCAGCCCTTGCAGATTCACCCCCTGCTGTTCCCACCTCCTCTCTCCCCGCCACATCCCTCTCCCCCTCCCCTATCCTCCTCTGCTCCACGCCACCGTCCGCGCCCCCTCCCACGCCCCTCCCTGCCAGAGCACTGGCAGCGCGAGCAGCCCCGCCCGACTGCCCAGCAAGCGTGCACAGAGCAGCGCGAGCAGAGGGAGCAGCGGGAGCAGAGGGAGCAGAGGCGCCAGACGGGCAAGGGAGGGGCGCTCGCCCGTGTGCTGTCCGCTGTGCCCGCCTGCTTGCTGCCCTGCGTCTTGCCCCCTGCCCTGCCGTGCAGTTTGCCCCTCGCCCTGCCCCCACCCTGCCGAGCATCCGGGCGGGCGTGCAGGCGAGCTGCCTGCCTGGCAGGGCCACGAGGGGCGAGGGAGGAGCGGAGCACGCGGCTGCGCAGGTGCTGCGTCTCCTCCGCCTGCAGCAGCATCGCCAGCTGGTAGTCCGTTGCCAGGCCCCGGCCCTGGGGAGGGGCAGTACGAAGCAAGGGGAGGGGGGGAAACAGCATGCACGGGGGGGGGGGAATGGCAGAGGAGAGCAGCGCGAGTCAGGGCAGGAGAGAGCAAAATGGGGGAGAGGAACGGTGGGCGTGTGCATTGTGATGCGGTAAATCAGGATAGTTGGGAATGGCAGTGGCCGCCGTGGAAGGAGGGAAGAGCGAGAGGTGCATTGTGAGTGGTGGCGCCATGCCCGGTGCGTGCAGCAGCAGAGGGCACATACCCAAGCAGATAGCACAATGCATGCGACACGGCTTAGAATGCACGCAGGCAACAGCGTGGTCAATCGACATGAGATGAACATGCCATGGCACACGACATGACACGATACAACAAGACACGACACGACACGACATGTCATGACACGACACGACACAACACGGCATGCCATGCCATGCCATGCCATGCCATGCATGCAGTGCACGCACGAACGGAATGCTGCTCTCCTCCTCGAACGCGCGCTGCAGCTCTCTCGCCAGCCGCTCGTCCTCCGCCAGCTGTGCCGCCCGCGCCACCTCCTCGTCCCCACCCGCTCCCCCACCCCCCTCCCCTCCGCTCCCCCCTGCTCCCTCCGCTCCTGCACTGGGCCCCCCTTGCGCAGCGCTCCCCTCTGCACGCTCGTGCGCTGCACTCCCTTGCAACGCGCCGCTGCTGCTCTCCACGCGCGCAGCCCTGCTTGCGGCGCCATCCACAGTCGCCGCTTCTTGCAGCGCCGGTCCTGCAGCAGCAGCAGCAGCAGCAGGAGTGGCAGCACCGGGTGCAGAAGGGAGAGCAGGGTCGGCAGAGTGGCGAGGAGCGCTAGGGCTGGCGTGTGCTGCCGTCTCAGCACAGGGGACGGCAGCGCCTTCACGCGCGCAGGCTGTAGCACGCCCCACTGCAGCGGCAGCAGCAGGGATGGAAGCGCCGGTGGATCCAGAAGCAGAGCCACTACCAGCAACTCCACCGCCCTCATCCGTCGTCCCAGCGGCGTGTGCAACAGCAGCAGCCGCCAGCGCGACGGCAGGGCGCGGGGGAGCACCCGCGGCAGAAACAGCCGCGACGGCTGTATCCATGTCTGCAGCGGTGCCCGCGGCATGACCGCCGGAGCCGCCTGCGTGCGTTGCCAGTCGAGCGCGCTCCTCGCAGCCCGCACCAGCTGCTGCCGAGCCTTCGCCACTGCCGTTGCTGACGCCGAGATTCGAACCCGCGAGGCCAGCTTGCCGAACCCCACTGCACGCGCCTGCTGCTGCGGCGTTAAGAGGCGTTTCGAAGGCGCCTCTGCGTCGCTTCATATGGCCGTCGTGACCCGCGCTCAGTGCACTCCCTGACGCGCTTGAACCTGACGCCATGACTGCGATGGAACCAAACGCTGTCGGCTGCGCTGCTGCTAGCGACGACGACGCTAGCGGCTGCTCGTTCGGTGAAAGAATTGTTAGACCGCTAGCGACGTCGCCATTCGGCATGTGGTTACCCGTCGCAGCAGCTGTGGCGAGCGACGCAGCGTCGCACGCGCCAGGCTGCCGGTCGCTGCGAGCGTCGCGGGAGTCGGAGTGGGCTCGCTTGACGCCTCTCGGCACCACCTCGTCCATCTCACGCCCCACCGCCTCTCCTCCTCCTACGCGTCTACCGTCTCCCCTACCCCTTCCTTGCTCCTCCCCCCACTCGTCTCGGCCTTGCTCCTCCCCCTGTGCCGTTCAACCTTTGCTTCCCTAATGCGTGTCGGACTTGCTGCACCCCTTACGTCGCTCTAACCGCGAAAGAGCATCATGTGCCTCATGGGTTAGGGGAGCTCATTAAGTAATCTGTCTGCAGCGTAAGGATTATGTACACGAAACGAATCGCATCGCGCTAGTTAACGTAAGGTAGTACGGCTTTTCATACAGAACTGGCCTGCAGGCAAACCCTTGAGATCATCGATGCTTTGCTCGCATAGCATGACGTGGATGGTAAAAACAATCCCATGCTGTCAAGCGGTGAAACGATCCTCACAGCGAGCGTGTCAGAGGGGTTGAGTTTGGTTTAAACGGTTGAGTACGACGATGTACAGTTAAAAGCGGTAGTTCTCTTCACCGCTTCAAACCGCCACTCATCCTGCTGAATACCGTCGCTTCCGTTATCCTTCCACTTCCAGCTCGTGTATGGTACTTCGCTGGGGGACCCTCTTGGTGAACAGGCATGTAAACAGCGCCGATTCGTTCTCGATCGTACCACTAGCAACTCACTCGCTCTATATACTTGATGCTCTTGTACCTTCGGTGAGCGTGTATAAGTTGTACTAAGCTAAGCAACGGAATGCAACCACCTATAAAATATTGATTTATGCTAATGAAGGGCAGTCTGGTATTGTGTTCCGTATGTTTTGTGAGCAATTCATACATCTTGAGAAGGTATAAGAACCTACTTCGCACTCAACGCAGCATCAAATGACAACAATTTAGACCTTTCTAATAAGAATATACAGCCGTTGATCAATATGAAAATCTTTTAGATTTGTGCTGTCCCCAGCCAAGCGCATGAGCAAACCACCAAATGAGACGTAGATTTCCCTGTTCCAGGCAGCAGCCGCAAGCAGGGGAGAATGCAAGCAGAAAGAAGATGATGAATCACCAAGTCAGATAAGGACGAGAAGTTGCACTGCACTGACAAGCGTAGGGACAGAATGGCTTCCGGGTAGCGTCCGATACCAGGCAGAACCAAATAGCAGGGCGCCATTACAGAAGAATATGCATGGCAGCAAATCTCATGCTTTCACCAAAACACACGCCAAGCCACCAGTACGACCAGAAGGAGTGTTCTGAACTACAGCGCCTCAAGTTCTTGTGGCGAGCACAAAGGTCAATGAGGGTACATTCAGCGCTCTGGTCAGAACCTCTGGTTAACACTGTAGCCAACCTTACAATTTGCACAATTGGTGAGAAATAGGTATGATTTCGGGGTAACCAGAGGTTTGACCAGAGCCCGGAATGTACCCTGAGTGAACCATTGAGATAGAGGAGGCAGCATGGAGAGGGACTCACGCGTCGGCGGCACTGCCGGTGGCGTCGCTGTACTTGTAGAGCTTGCCGTACATCACGTACTCGTAGCGGTCCATCAGCGACCGCCGCCCCGACTGCACGGATGACACGCAGTGGGGGGAAAGAAGGGGGGGGAGGGAGGAAGGGGGGGAAGAGGGGAGAGGGAAGGGGGCGGGGTGGAGGGGGTTTTGGCCGTACATCACATACTCGTAGCGGTCCATCAGTGACCCTCCCTGACTGCAGGGATGGCGTGCAGTGGAGGAGAGAATGGCATGGGGTTGATACTTGGCCATACATGACGCACTCATAACGGTCCATTAGGACCACCGGCCCCTCTGCATGCATGCCCTTGCCATGCAGGGAGGTGCACGTGGAAGAGGGGGTGTGGGGGGGAGACATGCAGGCACGGTGGGAAGAGGGTGGGGAAGAGGGTGGGGAAGAGGATGGGGAAGAGGGTGGGGAAGAGGGGGGAGGATGAAAGGCTCATAAGCCAAGGCACCATGTGCGAGAGGGCATGGAAAGATGCTGCTACCCTCTTTGTGGCTTCAGAGGCACTGCCTGTCTCGTGGACAGAAACACGGGCGCATTCTGCCCCTCTTCTCTTCTGCTCCTCTTCTCTTCTGCCCCTCTTCTCTTCTGCCCCTCTTCTCTTCTGCCCCTCTTCTCTTCTGCCCCTCACTATGCTTCCCATCACGCCTCGAGGACTGGGTGCGAGAGCACCAACGGAAAACCCATCATCACGCATGCACCATGAATCATGAGATTGATACCCCTTCTGGTCGGCGCCTCGAGTCAGTTCAAACCTCCAACCCTAAACCATGAACCTTAAATCTTGAACCTTATATTCTGAGCCTCACACCTTCAACCCTAAGCCTTGAACCCTCCATTTCTCCCTTAAACCCTGAAGTCGAACCCTGCATCAAATCAAATATCCAAGCTTGCCTTAATCCCCTTCACCTGCTGCCACCTGATTTTACAGCTCTTTCTGCCTCCTACCTGATTATACACCCATTCATCTGCCGCCCACCCACCTGATCATACACCCCTCCATCTGCCGCCCACCTGATCATACACCCCTCCATCTGCCGCCCACCTGATCATACACCCCTCCATCCACCACCCACCTGATCATACACTCCTCCATCCACCGCCCACCTGGTCGTACACGCCCTCGTCTGAGACGCCTTCGAGGCTGAGTGTAGGCGAGAGCGCGAGGGTGAACTTGTCGCCCACGGCCAGCGGGTACACCTCCGTGTTCACGTCCAGCGACAGCGCCATGTCAAACTGCTCGCTACGCGCCTCCACGCGCGACACTGCCACGGCGCAGGGAGGACGAGGGCGGGAAGGAGAAAAGGGTGGGGGAGAGAAATGCGGGGAAGGAAAAGCGGGGGAGGGGGGATCGGGGAAGGGAGGGCGACGGGGGGAGAAAGAAAGTAAGGAATTGGCGAGAAGAGGTTTGTGGCTTTCTACAGCACAGCCGCATGTCAAACTCGCAGTGCGCCCGTGGGGGAGGGAGAGTTCGGGGTGTGGGGGAATGAGGGGAGCGGAGAAGAAGGAAAGGAAGAGACTGGGAGGCTTGTGAAGGGGCCACTTATCTGCCGCCCACTTAAACACCCCTCCATCCACCACCCACCTCTCACGCGAGGGCGCGAGACGCGCAAACCGCAGGACGAGCAGCGGGAGAGCGAACGGACCTTTGTCGAACTTCTTCCCGCCGACGTCCATGTCGGTGAGCGTGAATATGTCCTCGAACAGAATGCTGTCCGCCATGGCGGCCCGCGCACCCTCACCCTCCGCGCATGAAAGAACTACACACTGCACGGGAATGACTCCGAATGGTTCTGGGAGAGTGTGATTGGGAATGCGGAGGTCTTACACGAAATTGCAAACGGAAATGGGAAAATTGATAAATGGTAACGAAAGAATGGAGTAGGCAGCGAGACAAGCGCGACGGTGCGGCAGCAGAGAGAGAGAGAGAGGGGAGGGATATGCGGGTAGGCAGCGAGACAAGCGCGACGGTGCAGCAGCGGCGAACAGGCTCGTGGGAGCTTAACGGCAGCATCGAGCGAGTCGCTACGCGCCCAGCGGCGGACCGGCCGCTGGGCGCCTAGCGGCGACAGCGAGAGAGTCGCACAGCTGGGAGCACAGCGGCGGCAGCGAGCGAGGCGCTACGTGCCCAGCGGCGGGCAGGCCGCTGAGCGCGAGAGCGGCGAAACAGGCGCGCCCGCCTCTGGTCGCGAGGCGGGTTCAGAACGCACCTTAGATGTATGTCAGTTGCACTTGATCCGAACCGTGGATGTGATGTGATGTCGGGTAACAAGACTTGGAATACGGCACGGGAATGTCTTAGCGAATGGTCCTGGGAGATTGTGGCAGTGGGGGTTTTACGGGCGGACGGGGTTGCAAACGGGACCAGAGGGCGTGTTTCGATTCTCAGAGGACTTTTTTTTCGTTCGGAAACTCAAGTCTCAAGCCTAACTGTTCAAATTCGTTCGCCAGAATCGAACACAGCGCAAATTAAAATGAGAGCTAGCGATTTTCTTGGCGACGTTTGCGAGGCCAAGTTACCAGAATAGTCGACTTTGCAGCTTTGAAAGTACGTCCCTAGCTGGAAATAGGAAACGTGTTGACGCTGTGACTGCCTCTCGCCAGCCGTTTCGCGCTTTCACGAATTCAACATTTCAAAATTCTGAAAGTTGGAAGCCTGAGGTCGCGGTCCTGGGGTGTCCTGGGACATGCTGACCTGGAAAGTCACCGTATTGGGATAGGCAACGCGTGCCACTCGTCGCAGGGGCAGACCCTGCCTACTGTACACATGTACTCGCGTACCAATGAAATTCGCGCAAGATCGAACTGCTGCGACAACCTGGGTGTGAAAGAAACACCAGGGCGCACCCCAGAAAATGCAATATCCGACTCGACAAAACTCGCGCGTTGGGGAATCCTGGAAAAATAAAACCTGAACATTATTGAAATCTATAGAGATTGTGTTTTTTTCCAGTGCACCAAATAATTTTGACAGCCCCAGGCTTCTCACGATTCCCTAAAAACCACCCCCTCGGCTGCAGGTTGCCCCGACAACACTTCGGAAGTAGGGTCGTGCAAAAATGTCGCAGGAGTGTACATTGGCAACCCTGCGACGTGTGTGTGGGCGGGCATGTTGCCAGCACGTGGTACCAACGTGCGGAGTGTCCAGAGTTCGGGTGTCCTGGACACCCCAGGACCGCGATCTGATGCTACTACTCACCCACGTACACAGCTTGCTCTCATTTCGCCACTAACGTCGCTGGTGCTCAGTAACTGCCTTAGCGCAACAGGCTCGCGCGCTGACCGACGCACACCTTAGGACTTTCGAAACACGCCGATGTGGAATAGGGAGAAGAGTGTTTTCAGAGAAGTGGTGAATGAATGTTTGTTCTCGTCGTGACGTAACCACGTCGCGCGGCGTCGATCAAGGCTCGTTTTTGTGCAGTGGCCGCGTCCTAGCCTCGCTCCCCCATCCACACGTTGCGTGATCTCCGATTCGCAAGATTGTGTAACCCTTGCGCACCTCCTCTCCGACCCAATCAAGAATGGGCAATATCCCACCCCGTTGATTGTTGCGTGCTATTTTTTCCGGAGTCCGGCGCGACACACCTTTGTGCTTCACTTCTGCTCTCCCGTGCGACGCACCTCCTCTCCTGTCTCTTTAACTGCCACAACCAGCCAGTCCATATCAAACGCCATCACTGCCATCGGCATCGCGGTACTAGCGGTTGGAGTGAGCGGGTACCGCAGCGGAGGCCGCCATGTTCGCGCGCAAGGCGGTGGAGCTCGTGCAGGAGGTTGCGCGATGCGACGCCGACCAAATCCTGCCCTTCGATGTACGCCCTTGTAGCCCGCCGCTGCATGCGTCCGACGGGGACGCGCTGTGTCCGCAGTGGTGGTTGTGAAGCCTTCCGCATCACCCGCTCTTACATCGCTCCTTCGTACTTACGCCTATTCTCTGCTTCCTATCCCCCACTCTCCCCTCTGTGCTGGCTGTCACGGTGTGGCAGGCGGACGGCGTGCAGCGAGTGCTGGAAGAGGCGCACGAGCACCACCAACACATGGTGCAAATTCTCCTGTGAGCACCACCAACACATGGTGCAGATTCTCCTGTGAGCACCACCAACACATGGTGCAAATTCTCCTGTGAGCACCACCAACACATGGTGCAAATTCTCCTGTGCGCGCCTCTTTCCTCCACCTCCCCTCTTCTACTCTCCGCCGTTCATGCTCCTCCGCCCGGCCCCTCCATTGCACCTGCTTCGCCTCATACGCCTCTCGAGCCAATCCTCATCTGCCCACCCTCTCTGCGCTCCGCATCCCTCGCCCTGGTCGCCTGCATCCCTCGCCCTGGTCGCCTGCATCCCTCGCCCTGGTCGCCTGCATCCCTCGCCCTGGTCGCCTGCATCCCTCGCCCTGGTCGCCTGCATCCCTCGCCCTGGTCGCCTGCATCCCTCGCCCTGGTCGCCTGCATCCCTCGCCCTGGTCGCCTGCATCCCTCGCCCTGGTCGCCTGCATCCCTCCCCCTGGACTCCTTCCCCTTCCTTCCCCTCCCTCAATTGTTTCTCTCCTCCTCTGCCGCCCTCCCCTCCGGCCTCCCTTCCCGCAAGTGAGTGGAGGGCGTGGGTGTTTTTTTAGGACATCTAAAACATATTTACCTCCCTCCCATTCCCGCCTGCCTCGTCCCTAAGTGCACAGCAAGCGGCAGGCGAGTGCAGTGGGGCGTGGAGTGGCAGGAGACGCGGCTAAAGTACGCCCTTCCTTCCTCTCCCTCGTTTCTTTCGCCACCCCCCGATTGTTTCTATCCTCTGCCGGCCCACCCCTCCCACCTCCCTCATTCCATGGTGCGCGGCGGGCGGCAGGCGAGTGCAGGGGTCGGGCGTGGAGTGGCAGGAGACGAGGCTGGAGGACGCCACGGCCGTGATGGTGCACCACCAGGCGCTGCTGCGCAACAAGCGCTGCCTCCTTGCCTACCTGTCAGTCCCTTGCCTCCTCGCCTACCTGTCAGTCCCTTCGAATTCATCGCGTCCATCATTGTGCTTTGTGCTCCATGCTCCATGCTCCATGCTCCATGCTCCATGCATCGTGCACCGTGATGTGCCATGCATCTCGAACCTGCCATGCATCTCGAACCTGCCATGCATCTCGAACCTGCCATGCATCTCAAACCTGCCATGCATCTCGAACCTGCCATGCATCTCGAAACTGCCATGCATCGTGCTATGCCCCATGTAATCTGCTCGGAGCATGCTGCCTACCGTTGCCACTGTCCACTCGCAGCAGCATCTCACTATCGCCCCCTCTCGCCTCCCCTCCCCTCCGCTCGCCACCCTCCTCTTATGAGTCGACTTAAATGCCACCTGCCGTCGCCACTGTCCACTCGCAGCAGCATGTCAATGCGGATCTCACTATTACCCTATCTCGCGGCCCCTCATCTCCCCGCGCTACCCTCTCTCCCTCCAGCAATGCGCGCATGGATCAGATCCGACGGCTGCGATGGCAGCTGGGTGCAACGCTGCCACGGGCGTTGCAGGAGCGGCTGAGTGCGGGGGAGGGCGAGTGGCTGGCGCAGTACTCACAGGCGCTGGGCGACTACATGGCGGACGCAGGGCTCGACCTCACTGTGGTGAGTCAGTGTCCCACCGTGCCCACTTACTGCCTCACCGTGCCCACTTACTGTCTCACTGTGCTCACTTACTGCCTCACTGTGCTCACTTACTGCCTCACTGTGCTGCCTCACTGTGCTCACTTACTGCCTCACTGTGCTCACTGGTCAGTGTGCCCCGCACTACTCACAATCGCTGGGCGACTACATGGCAGACGCAGGGCTGGACCTCACTGTGGTGAGAGTGGGCGCAACCACAGGGGCAAGCAGTGCTTAGTGCCTCACCATGGTCAGTGACCCTAAACCCTGCTGTGGTGGGGAGGAGCAGAGGCGATGCTGAGCCCATGGTTATGTGTGTGCTGGCACTGCGGTGTGTCTGGTGGCACTGCAGTGTGTGTGGTGACGAGCATGCACTGCAGAGTACGTGCAACTGCGCAGAGCCGTCCTCCTCTGAACACCAGCACGCTCTGCGGTTGCTGTACCATCCCTCTCCTTGCCCTCATCCTGCCCACCTCGTCTTCCATGTGACCTCGTGCGTGGCAGGACCTGCTACCCCCCAAGGACCCCTATTGCTGTACCACCGCCTTCCTGAATCCCGCAGCTCCTGCGGTTTGACCTGCTGTCCTGTGTGCTGCCCACCCTGTTTGTGTGCTCTTTCCATTGGCAGGACCTGCTACCCCCCAAGGACCCCTACATCGAGGTGCGCGTGCTCAAGGACGCCGGTGCAATGTATCTGGACGACAAAGTGGCCTACTTGGAGGCCAATACTCTGCACCTCGTCAGGAAGACTGACGCAGAACCACTTATCTTGAAGGTATGGAATGGATGCCCCTTTCACCGTCCTTCTCCTCCTCTTCCTCCTCCTCCTCCTCCTCCTCCTCCTCCTCCTCCTCCTCCTCCTCCTCCTCCTCCTCCTCCTCCTCCTCTTCCTCCTCTTCTCTTTCCCCTCTCTCTCCCCCTCTCTCACTCTGCCTTAACCCTCTCCCTCCACTGCACCAGTCTCATTTTCAGCTATTCTACATCATCCTCACTCCTTCCACATTCGCATGCCCTCATGCACATTATTTTGACACAGGGATCATTGGAACACAGAGAATACTGACAACTTGGCAGACCTGTTTGCCATACAAGAAATCTATACTGCGTCCAGCACATCAATAGTTGTGGTATTTTTAAAGCCAGGGTCTCATGTAAGGGTTGGCCGGGCAACTACATAGCACTTGGACGAAAAGTGGGCTCTTTTGAGAGTCTAGATTTGTCAAAACTTTGGCCCCAAATTTGTGAACCAATCAGTCAGGCCCGTTTTTCATCGACTGCAAAGCACTTGGTCACTTGAGACCCTGGCTTTAAGCTCTACTGTATGTGCTCATCAGTGACGCAGCTTGGAATGGTATTCACAGTCTGTAAATGGTACGGTCTGTACGAAAGTCAAGGCAAAGCAGAAATTGGGTAGAACGGAGGTAGGCAAGGGGGACCTCGGGATGAAGGAGGCTCGGATAGTTGGCAAATGGTGCAGCGCGGTGGCGACTCAGGAATAGTTAGGGGCAATTTGAATGCCAAACCCAACTGACGTAAGACCCTGCAATACTTTTACGGGTTATAGTTGTATGTACCGTACTGGAGCATGCCTGCCTAGACCTAAGGCAACGAGCAGTGCCAGCAAGTCTTCTCGATGCCTGCTCTCTGGCTTGCGTACACACATGCTATGTACATGCACTCAAATCATACGGTCATCAGCCCACTCTATGTACAAGTACGAATCTCCACCGGACGTTTCCCGCACAAACCCTCGTAGGGACCCTGCACCAGCTGTCCCCAACAACCCTTGCTTGCGATCCGCCTGCATGCTGTCCTGCACCACACGCCTTCGCCACGCCTTCCCGCACCTGATTGCCCACCCATCAACTCAAGTTTGGCTCTGTACCCGCCATACGGAACTTCGCTGCTCTTCCACGGTATCGTACACCTCGCTCCTGCTACACCGCTCTTGTTACGCTTATCGCTGAATCCATATTCCGTGAGAACTGTGACACAACGGGAGACGGAAGGATGTCAAGGGTGACAAATAAGCATCAAACGCGTTATAAGAGGACGCGGACACGTTCAGCTTAGACTCTTTTCAATCTTATTACTTTTTCCTTTCTGGGGGCGGGCGGGGAGGGGGAGGGGGGGGGGGGGGGGGGGAAAGAAGAGAGGGGGAGAAGAGGGGCTGGGGGGGATAGTAAGTTAGTTAATTTGCATTCTTTCAGCTGGAAACTCTTCAAATTTGAACCACTGCATGGATACTTTGGAACGGATGACCGATGTAGTTCGGAAAATGGGCGATGTCAAAACGTATTTAATACCTGGAACCTATATGTGGACGGGTCCTCCAAAACACGGCGAAGCTTCTTGGAAGGACGCCGACGAAGGATCGCCTGACGCATTCAAGGAGCAAGGCAAATAGAAGATAAAGGAATGACGATGATCATGACGTGACTACGGCGGGATCATGATAGAATTATGACAAAAATATGACGGGTTGATGGCGGATGATGACGGGGAATAATGGCGGGAAAATGACGGCGAACAAAGGAAACTATATGGGTGTACGTTTGCAAAACGAAAAGAAAAGCCTTTTGATAGAACAATGGCTAGCTTGAATGACGACAAACTGTAAAATCAAGGGGGAACAGCTTCTAGTCGCACCTCCACGTTCATTCATTGTCACGTTCATTGCATCCGCCCTCTGCGCGTTTAAGGCCTTCCGTATGTGCACTACCCCGCATGTCCTGCCTCCATTGCACCTTTGCGCTACCAGGGCAGTGCCATGGCCAGAAAGGCGGCCCTGAAAGACGACCCTGAAAAGCAGCTCTTGAATATTACTACGTAGCACGACCGTGAAAAGCGGCACTGAAACGCGATTTTGAAATGAGTTTCTGAAGCGATCCTGAGAATCGGCAAATGCTACTGGCGTGGCGAAGCTGTTAGCTCTGATATTGATGGCGGTGCGGCGGAAAAGTGCAAGCGACTGGAAACAGGCACCACCAAGAACATCGCAGGAGTATCCCCCGCTTCCAGTGGTGGGATACTTCAACAGGTTAGTAACGATTCTTTGAAATGAAGATACAAAAAAGAATGCCTAATCCTTCAGGCTAGCCTGTCCGCATACCGTATCAGATGGCTAGACCATATCGGTGAGTTGCAACTACATGCTACTGAACCCTTAATTACACTAATTGTGCCGCACATAACATCAGGACAATTCCACACTTGAATTGAATGCAACAGGCACACGAATGAGGCGGCGATTGGACGCCTGGTCGGCGACAGTGAGGAGCAGCTTTACCAGCACCCACCGCGGCTGTGCGCCTGCGTGTGCACGGACAGGCAGCTCCACAAGCACCTGCCAGTAATGGGCATATGCAGCGGCACACATCGGAAGGCACGGGCATGCGCAGACGTGAAAACATGCTGGTTTTGAGAAGTCTCAAAAGCAGCCACGAGGGCTCTGAGCCTGCGTGTGCACGGAGAGGCAGCTCCACTAGCACCTGGTGATAGTGGGCACATGTAAACAGTGGAGTTTATTTTTTACGCGCCTCAAAAACGGGCTGTGAGCGTGCATGTGCACTGAGAGGCAGCTCCACTAGCACCTGGCAACAGTGGGCACATGTGGTGGCAGGCATGTGAGGGCACAGGCAAACATACATGCACATACACACATGCGTACACGCACGCACGCAAGCACACACACAGAGAGGCACTCTCACATACACGCATGCATACACACACGCAATAGTGAACGTACATGCATATACCAAACAGTGGGACAAGAAGCAAACACAACACAGACTGCCACTGGTCAACCCTGTCCCCTGGTCAACCCTGTCACCTAACCAACCCTGTGCCCGGCCTCACCTCAGCGGTGCCATGGCTGGCGTCGAGCAACACTTGAAAGACGTCAGCAGCACCATCATCACTGTCACCTCTGCTAGTTGCCCCAACCGCACTCTCTCCCTCCTGCACTGCACTCCCTGCACTCCCATCTGCTTTGCTGTAGCCCCTGTCGCCACCCTCAACCCACCCCTGCCTCTCCCTCCCTGCCTCCTGCTGCTGTGCTCCAGTGAAGCTGAAAGCATGCATCCACGTGTCAGCTCGCAATTGGTCCACCCACTCCTGGCCCCAGCTGACCTGCCGAATGCGAAGGGAGAATGGAGACGTGCGGATGGAGACGTGCGGATGGAGACGTGCGGATGGAGACGTGCGGATGGAGACGTGCGGATGGAGACGTGCGGATGGAGACGTGCGGATGGAGACGTGCGGATGGAGACGTGCGGATGGAGACGTGCGGATGGAGACGTGCGGATGGAGACGTGCGGATGGAGACGTGCGGATGGAGACGTGCGGATGGAGACGTGCGGATGGAGACGTGCGGATGGAGACGTGCGGATGGAGACGTGCGGATGGAGACGTGCGGATGGAGACGTGCGGATGGAGACGTGCGGATGGAGACGTGCGGATGGAGACGTGCGGATGGAGACGTGCGGATGGAGACGTGCGGATGGAGACGTGCGGATGGAGACGTGCGGATGGAGACGTGCGGATGGAGACGTGCGGATGGAGACGTGCGGATGGAGACGTGCGGATGGAGACGTGCGGATGGAGACGTGGATGGAGACGTGCGGATGGAGACGTGCGGATGGAGACGTGCGGATGGAGACGTGCGGATGGAGACGTGCGGATGGAGACGTGCGGATGGAGACGTGCGGATGGAGACGTGCGGATGGAGACGTGCGGATGGAGACGTGCGGATGGAGACGTGCGGATGGAGACGTGCGGATGGAGACGTGCGGATGGAGACGTGCGGATGGAGACGTGCGGATGGAGACGTGCGGATGGAGACGTGCGGATGGAGGGGAAGAAAGGCACCAGGTGGGGAGGAGGGGAAGGGAGAGTGGGTGGATCTGTGTGTTGCAGAACAGGAACCGCAGGCAGGATGGACTCGGAACACTCACTAGCATGCGGGGCAGAGCACACTCGCTTGCATGCGGGGCAGAGCACACTCGCTTGCATGCGGAGCAGAGCACACTCGCTTGCATGCGGGGCAGAGCACACTCGCTTGCATGAGGGGCAGACGTGGGGTACAGAACAGTATACTTTTCTAAGAAGCACTCTAAACCCACAGCTTGATGGATTGAAACACAGCAGTCTCACCCGCTCTCTGAGGAAGAGGCCCCCATGGACGCCAGGTCCACTGCACTGCCTCTCACTCGCACGCGCACGCCCTCCCTCGTTGCGCCCTCCCTCGTTGCACCTTCCCCCGCTTCCTCCCCAACGCCCTTCCCCGCTGCGCCCTCCCCCCCCACCGCATCCCTCGTCTCACGCCCAGGTTGGGGGGGGAAGGGCGTGGAGGAGGAAGAGGAGGTGGAGGAGGGATGCGTGGAGGGTGTGGGTATGGCGCGGGCACATGAAGCGAGATGAGGGCACGGCCTGTTAGGAAACGGGAGGGCATAACAGGTGGACGTGAGAGGTGACTTCTGAGTAAATTTAAAAGTCGCCAGGAAAGGTGGGGCCAAGGGTAGGAGGGCAAGACAGGTGGGCGCGCGAGGAGGGAGGGGAAGCGAGGGCAGGAAGGGCCCGACGCCTAGGAGACAAAAGACAGGGCGGCCGCGCTGGTGGGAGGGGCGAGCGGCAGGGAGATGGGGCCACTCGCGACCAGGTGCTTGTGGGCTTGACACGGTAACGGCGGGGATTGTGATGGTGAGGAGGGGTACTGGGAACGAGGATGAGAAGAGAGTGGGGATGAGATGGCAGGATTTATCAGGGGAAGAAAAGCAGGGGATGAGCGAACTGCAGCAGAGGCGGTTTGTGCGGGAGCGGCGGTGCGTGCGTGCGTGCAGCAGCAGAGAGCGGTGAGCAAAGCGCGTGCACATGGCAGTACCTGGCGCAATGCGCCCCTCGCTCACATGCCACACCACCGCCTCGCTGCCCGCCCCTCCTCCTCCCCCTCCCGCCTCCTCTCTCCCTCCCCCTCCCGCCTCCTCTCTCACTTCTCCCCCTCCGCCATCCTCTCGCCCTCCTCCCACTCTCCCCCCCTCTCTCCCTCCTCCCTCGTCTCCTCCCCGCGCCCCGAAACCCTCAACCCTGCCCGCTCTAGCAGCCGCTGTACTCGCAATCCCACGACCCGATAAAGCGTCGGGACCTATTCTTCCACCACGTGGAATCCCCAAAAGGGCTTCTCGCAACGCAGCGGGCGCCGCGTTTGGTGCGGCATGCGTCGTTAGCAAAGCCGCTAGCAGCGCCGCTGCGGACGGCATGACAGCACCTGCGGACTCCACCACACGCATCTCGCCACCCATGCTGCCGCCGCCACTCGCTACCGCTCTCGCTGGCGCCACTGCTTCCGCCACCCCTCGTCTAAACGAACCTGACGCGAAAACTCTTCTGACGTAGTTCTCTAGCATTTTGCCGAGTCTAGGGTCTAACATCGAGGATATGGGTACGGTCGAGGTTTTGTTGTGAGGTTTGCATAGGCAACTCTTTCTGAAGCGAAGTATCAACCTGCTCATACTCCCTAAGGACTCGTTACATTTGGCCAATTTGCAAGATCGATCCTGCGCAAAATCGTTCTGCTTTTTGTGTAACACCTTAAGGGTGTCTCGTGCGGGTGGTCCGAGCTGACCTGGTCCTTGGCTAGCATTATATGCCTGGTCCGGAATTCTGGTCCGACTGACCCACTTCGCGGCCCAGTCGTGGTTCAGACACTGACGGGTCTGCAAAATACGTCGCGACTCGGAATGTACAGTGTTTGCGACGACGAGAATCAGACTTGGGTAGAATCGAGTTACCTTTTTTTTGGCTTAGTAGCATCCCGCCAAGCTCGAAAATCGCGACGGACGATTTTCGCAAAGAATATGTGGGAGCTGATACGAATATGGACCAGGTGCGGACTGGTCTGGCGACGAAAGCAATGACACCGTTGTAATGGGGTTAGGGGCATAAGCCCACATCTTGGTTCCGTCCGCTGCTGAGTCACTCGATGGTTCGTGAGCTGGTCCGCTGTGTTCGTTTCAGACCCGCGCACTCGAGCATTTGAGACGCATCCTTGAGGCAACTTGGGAAAGCCCTCCACTCCACCCGTTTGCAAACCTGCATACCTGCGAGCAACCACCTTACCGTTCAAGTTGCCACCCGCATCCATCCTCGCACTGCCACTCCCATCCAGTCTATCCTAGCTTCTATCCTAGCTCGCAGTCGAAGGTAGACTAAGGGAGAGCGTTAGTGGATCGGCCGTTTCCTCCTGCCTGATTTGCGTGTGCTGTCAACCGTCCAATCATGGGCTTCGACCCAGGTACGCAGCCTCAACGTGAGATCTAATCTCCTACGCTTCGCGATCGAAATGTTTACGGACTAAGATACTTGCTTATGTTTCTAAGCATTCCTGAGGTTCTTAATATCGGAGTTGCACGGTTAGATTCGGTACGTCGGTCGCAGCGTTCCTGGATTGATAATATGCTGCAGGCGAGTTCCGCCAATTCCGCGTGGCAGACGACGTGCTTCCTCGGCTCGAAATGAATGAAGGTTGCCGTTCCCCGCCTCCTCCTCGGCCTCCATCCGCTCGTTCCTCCCTCCCAACTCCCCACCTCCGCCCCTCCCCCAGTCCTTTGCGCTCAGTTTCTTTCACCAGCCACTCTCTTTCTTCTCTCTCCTCGTTTGTCCCTCATTTTCCTATTTCGTCCATGGCTCTTTCTCGCGTTCTCTCCCACACGCGCACGCGCCTCTTCACGCGCGCGCGCATTTCTTGGGGCCCAGATGAGGTGGAGGAGGAGGAGGAGGAGGAGGAAGAGGAGGGCGACGACGTGAACGGGGAGGACGACGATGAAGAGGAAGGTAGGGCGCATGCGAGGTGGGGTGCGCGGAGGTAGGTAGGTCGCGATGAGGAAGTTGAGTCGAGGATTCGGGAGGTAGGGCGCGCGGAGAAACGTAAGGCGCGCGGAGGAAGGTATGGCGCGCGGAGGAAGGTAGGCGCACGGAGGGAGATAGGCGCGCGGAGGAAGTTAGGGCGCGCGGAGGAAGGTAGGCGCGCGCAGGAAGGTAGGGCGCGAAGAGGAAGGTAGGGTGCGAGACGGGGAAGTTAGGGCGCCTGACATGGGACGAGAGGAGGGAAGTAGGATAGAGGAAGGAGGGAAGAAGGGAGGAGGGAGGTAGGTAGGGCAGAAGAATCTTGTATTCAATTGGTCGATTTACACGGCAGCAAAGGAGCCGTGAGTGGGATCAGCGTTCCGCTGGTCATGTGATTCTATCTATGTTGGAAGTGGCTATCAGTGGGTTTTTGAGGCGCCTCAAAAGTGATTCTATCTATGTTGGAAGTGGCTATCAGTGGGTTTTTGAGGCGCCTCAAAAGTGATTCTATCTATGTTGGAAGTGGCTATCAGTGGGTTTTTGAGGCGCCTCAAAAGTGATTCTATCTATGTTGGAAGTGGCTATCAGCGGGTTTTTGAGACGCCTCAAAAGTGATTCTATCTATGTTGGAAGTGGCTATCAGTGGGTTGCATCGGTTGCGCTGTTGGGCAGCCATGTTGCCAGTCCGTCTGATCGCGTGTGTTTTAGCCTTTCTTTTCTGATAGCTCGTTTGTGTCTCTTTCATGATCGTGTGTTGCTTTTTGTTTGCGGGCCGGGGCAGAGGAGGGGCAGGACGAGTATGAGAAGGACGGGTGGATGGTGGACGGGGATGAGGAGGAGGAGGAGGGCGGTGAGGGCGAGGAGGACGAGGGCGGGGGCGAGGAGGGGCCGGGGAGTGACGAGGAGCGCAGGGAGAAGAAGAAGAAGAAGCGACGGAAGAGGTGAGGGTGGAGGGGGAACGAGGGGAACGAGGGGCCCCAAGGTGCGTGTGCTTGGGATGGGTTGGGTATGTGGTGCTGGCTGCATGGACGTTGTCTTGTCACTTGCCACTTCCGCACTCTCTGGCCTCTCTCTGCTTGTGCATCACTTCTTTCGTGCGTGTGAGCAACAGTTAGAAAGTGCTCCACATGCCCCTCTCTCTTCTTCTATTCTCTCTCCCCCATCTCCCATGCCCCATTCCCAACCACCCCCCATGCCCCCCCCTCCCTCCATCCCGAACCTCCGATCCCCCATGCGTATGCCGTGTCCCGAGGAGCAGGGAGGAAGATGAGGACGAGTTGGATGAGGACGACTATGCACTGTTGCAGGAGAGCGGTGTGGGGGGCTTTCACCGCCCCGCAAAGGTGAGAGCGGTGTGGGCGGCAAGATTAAGAAACCGCTGTCATATGCTAGTTGGTTATCTTCTACCGTGTGAAAACGTGGGTGTAAAAACGTAGTAGGGCGGCTGCAGTGAAAATCTGAGCCTCGCATCAATAGGACGGCCGTGTAAACACCCACCTAGTTTGGCGAAGGTGCAGCGCATGGGTGCAGCGCATGGGTGCAGCGCATGGGTGCAGCGCATGGGTGCAGCGCATGGGTGCAGCGCATGGGTGCAGCGCATGGGTGCAGCGCATGGGTGCAGCGCATGGGTGCAGCGCATGGGTGCAGCGCATGGGTGCAGCGCATGGGTGCAGCGCATGGGTGCAGCGCAGCAGGTGTGCGGTTTGAAGGTCTGATATCTCTCAGTTGGTTGGACTCGTATCCTTCCCATGCATGCATGCACATGCGCACACCATGTCTTTGTTTTGTGGCTTTCTTTCATGATCCAAGCGGAGCAGGACGAGAATGTGTGTGTGGCGGTTGAACAACGTGTGACACATGGGGGGCGAGGAGGAATACGGGACTGCTTTGCCTTGCTCATTTGGCCTTCTGTTTTCCCATGTGTGTGTGACTGCTATTGCCGTGCATTCTATGGGAGGCAGAAGGACAAGAAGTTTCGGAGGCTGAAGAAGGCGAGGCACATGGGGGGCGACGAGGACGGGTTGCTGATGGACGACGAGGAGGACGAGGAGGGTGGCATGCGCGCGCAGCAGCGCGTTGAAAGGGAGATCTTTGGGGATGAGGGTGAGTTTGCTTTATTGGGATGAGCTTGGAAAGAGTTGGGATGAGGGTGAGAGGATTCTGGGATGAGCTTTGAAAGGGTTGGGGATGAGGGGAAGACGAGGAGGGTGGCGTGCGCGCCCAGCAGCGCGTGGAGCGAGAGATCTTTGGGGATGAGGGTGAGAGTGCTTTACTGGGATGAGGGTTTTTGGGATAAGGCTGCGAGGTTTCTGGATGAGGGTGAGAGGTTGGTTTTTGGATGACAATAAGTTGTTTTTAGGGACGGGGTTGTAAAGGGCTGGGGGGGATGAGAGTAAGAGTATACTGTGAATGACGACGAGTGCCGTTTCGATTGGGAAAGCATAGGTTCTATTTGCTCCTGGCCCATGCATCTCAACCTCTCTGCTCCCAGCATTCCCTTCCCACGCTGCTGCTCCCCACCATTCTGTGCACTCTTCGTTTTTGCCACTTTCCTCCTCTTCCCCACTTTCCCCGCTTTCCTCCTCTTCCCCGCTTTCCTCCTCTTCCCCACTTTCCTCCTCTTCCCCACTTTCCTCCTCTTCCCCACTTTCCTCCTCTTCCCCACTTTTCTCCTCTTCCCCACTTTCCTCCTCTTCCCCACTTTCCTCCTCTTCCCCACTTTCCTCCTCTTCCCCGCTTTCCTCCTCTTCCCCACTTCTTTCCCATCTCTTTCCCCCTCCCCTTCCAACTTTCCTTCCCGGTCCCCTTCACCCTCCCCTTCCGATCACTTTCCGCCTCCCCTTCCCATCCCTTTCACACTCCCTTTCCCATCGCATTCCCCCTCCCGTCCCCCCTCTCCTTCCCACTCTCTCTCCCCCCCTCCCTCTCCTCTCCCCCTCCCCCTCCCCCTTCTTTCTCCCCAGACGTGCCTGAAGATTTCCAGGAGAGGGAGGGCAGGGGCGAGGAGGAGGAGGAGGAGGAGGAGGAGGAGGACGAGGAGGAGGAGGACGAAATGGCAGACTTCATCGTGGAGGGCGGTGTGGACGACACAGATGAGCACGGCCGGCGCCGCCGCAAGAAGAAGAAAAAGGGCACGCGCATGCCAGGTGTCACCTCCGAGGCGCTTCTGGAGGCGCAGGATATTTTTGGTGACGTGTCGGATCTGTTGGAGAGGCGACGCGTGGAGCTGGAGAGGCAGAGGAGAGAGGGAGGGGAGGGGGGCGCGGGTGGGTATTATTACGAGGATGGGATGGGGGGGGAGGGTGGGGAGGAGTATGGGAGGGAGGGGGCGGGAGGGGCGTCGGCGCTGTCGAAGCAGTATGAGCCGAGCTTGCTGGAGGCCAAGTACATGACGGAGCGCGATGAAGCCATTCGGGCCAGAGATGTTCCTGAGAGGCTGCAGGTGGGTGCTGGGAAGCGAGGGTGAGTGAGGTGACGGTGAGGGTGGTGGGGAAGGGAAGCAAGGCAATATGAGCTGAGCCTGCTGGAGGCCAAGTACATGACTGAGCGCGATGAATTAAGCCATTCGGGCGAGGGATGTGCCTGAGAGGCTGCAGGTGTGTGGTGAGGAGTGAGAAGTGGAATTGTGAGTTGGGAACTGGGAGGTGAGAAGAGAAGTTGGGATGGAGCCGAGGCGTGGCTGGGTTTCTTCTGCCACCATTGCGTCCTTGTCTTCCTCTCCCCTTTCTCACCCCTCCCCCTCCCCCTCCCTCCCCCCTTCTTCCCTCCCACCCGCGTGGCAAATTACCCAGAGTCCCTTTGCAATGCATCTTTTCCCTTTTTCCCGGTGGAGAATTGAGAAGTGATATCGGGTCATGGCAGGAAACATCGCGCTGTGTTGTGTTGTGTTGCTGGCTCCCTCCTCTTCATTCTCCCTCCCCCCTTCCCCCTCCCCCTTCCTCCTTCCTTCCCACTCTACCACACTCTTGCACCCCCCCCCCCGCATGCGCTGCATCAGGTTCTTCTCTCTCATTCACACACCTTCTCCCTCTCTCCCTCTCTCCCTTCCCCTTCCCCTCCCCCTCCCCCTCCCCCTCCCCCTACCCCTCCCCCTCCCCCTCGCCCTCCCTCTCCCCCTTCACCTCCCCCTCCATCTCTCCTTCCCCGTCCCCATTCCTTTCACCTGCCTCAGCGCCTGGAGGAAGCGGTGGGGGTGATTACCAAAGACGCCCTCCCTTTCCCTCCCCCATCAGTTCCTCTTTTTCAATGCCTCACCTCCCCTCCCCCTCCCCCCTTCCCCTCCCTCTTTCGCTCCCACCCTCCCCTCCCGCTCCTCCCCCCCTCCCCCCTTCCTCTCCCCCTCTCCTCCCCTCCTCCTCTAATTATCCCCCTTCCACCCCCCTTCACCCACATCAGCTGCTGGAGGAGGTGGTGGGTGTAATCCCAGAAAATGAGGACCATCTGCCGGAAGCGGAGTGGATCTACGAGCGCGTGTTCGGCTCCTTAGCCCCCGACCACCTGCGGCGCACTGAGTTCTCGTACGTCGCTGATGCTGAGAGGCGGGCCGCCACGTGCGCAAGGGAGGACGTGGAGAAGTGCCGACGAGAGGCTGTGGCGGCGCGAGATGGGGCGATTGAGCAGATTGCTGCTGTGCTGGAGGAGCTGCATGACGCCAAAGTGGAGGTGCGGATGTGTGGGGATGGATTGAATGCGATGGGATTGGATAGGGTTGTGTGTATTGCTGCTGCAAGGGAATCTTGCAGATTGCTGCTGTGCTGGAGGAGCTGCATGACGCCAAAGTGGAGGTGCGGATGTGTGGGGATGGATTGAATGCGATGGGATTGGATAGGGTTGTGTGTATTGCTGCTGCAAGGGAATCTTGCAGATTGCTGCTGTGCTGGAGGAGCTGCATGACGCCAAAGTGGAGGTACGGATGTGCGGGGGAGGAGAGAGGGGATGGGGAAGGGGGAGGGGGAGGGGGGGGGGTGGGAGAGCGGAAGGGAAAGGGGAGGGGGAAGAGGGGAGAAGGGGTAGGGGAAGGAAGTTGAGAGTGAGGCGGTGTGTGGTGTATTGTTGGTGTGTGGACGAAGGTGCTGCTTACTGCAAAGCCTCCCCCCATCACCCTCCCCAATCGTGCCCCCCCCCCCCCCCTCATCGTCCCCCCTGCACCATAGCGGTGCACGAGAAGGCCATTTGCCACACCCTCCCTCGTGGACCCTGTTGAGTCGACTCTCAAGTCACCTCCCAGCATGTCCCTCCCCTCCTCACAGCTGCCCCTCCCCTCCCTATGCCTGCCGCCCCCCACCAGGTGCCATACATAGCGGTGCACAAGAAGGCCATCTGCCCGGCCCTCGTGGTGCCCGTTGACTCAACTCAAAGCTCACCTCCCCCCATGCCCCTTCCTCCCCCACACGACCAACCCCCTTCTCCCCATGCTGGCGCCTCCCCTTCCCCCACGGTTGCCCCTCCCCTCCCCGTGCCTGCCTCCCGCCCCCCCCAGGTGCCGTACATAGCGATACACAAGAAGGCCATCTGTCCCGCCCTCGTGGAGCAGGACAAGCTCGACGGGGAGCCGCAGCTGCAGACCTTCCAGGTACCCGCGCCCACCCTTGGATTGGATTTGCAGACCTTCCAGGTACGCGCCCTTGAATAGGATTTCCAGTTATACCCATGATAGTGAAATGTGAAATATAAGCTAGACTAGTAGTAGCTCCCCAAATGCATTGCACTCCTTTATGTTTCCTCTTGTGTGCTCGCTCGCTCTCCCTCCCTGCCTCTCCGTTCCTCCGCTTCCACCTCCCCACCTCGTTCCACCCTCCCTATCAACTTCCTTCCTCCTTCCTTCCTTACCGCTTCCCATCGGCCCCTTCCCTTTTCTTCCCACACAACCGACCCCGCCACCGGGCGCTTCGCTCCCTCCTCCAACTCAGGCCCTGTGGCCCACCCAGCAGTGGGATAGCGGCTGCCTGCTGCTGCATGATTGTACTCCCTTGCTATCCCCTCCCCTCCCCTCCCCTCCCCCACTCTCCGTTTACATTCTTCCCAATCAGGCCCTATGGGCCATTCAGCAGTGGGACCGCCGCTGGTTACTCCTGCAGCGCCGCAAGCGCTCTCTCCGCTCCGCCTACGAGCGGCCGCGGGTGGACGAGGACGAAGAAGCAGAGCGCCAGCTCGCCATGCAGGGGGTGCTTCACGCCCTCGACTGTGCGCTCTCCGAGCCCGCTGTAGAGGACGTAGACGCCAAATTCAACTTGCAGTTTCCGCCAGAGGAGGCGGTGGCGGAGGAGGGCGGGAGAGGGGGTGGGGGGCAGCAGAGGCGGCCTCGGAAGCGGTCGATGTACTCGGTGTGTCGGCGCGCGGGGCTCAAGGGAGTGGTGAAGCGCATTGGGCTGTCGGCGTTCCAGCTGGGGGAGAATTTGATCTCCATGTACAAGGTGCACGGGAGGGGTGGGGTGGGTGGGGTGTGGGGGGTGGTCAGGTGTGTATGGGGTGGCTGTCCTCTTTCCAGCTGGGGGAGAATCTCATCTCCATGTATAAGGTGCGCACCCGAGGTGGTGGGGTGTGGCGGGGTGTGTGAGAGGGATGTTACGGTGTGTAGTGGAGTGATGGGGTGTGGTGTGTGAGGAAACAAGTGTGAGGTCCGTGTACGAGGTGCACATGGTGTTGACCTGCTGGCTCATACTGCTGGCCTCTCGGTTCAGTAATCGGTGAACCTTCACATTGATTTCCGCTGATCGCCTCACAGACGGGTGTAGTCACTCACGTCCCTCCCCGCCTCCTTTCCGAATCCCCATCCCCTAACCGTGGGTGCGTTGTGTGTGTGTGTCCATGCAGCAACACGAGGTGGAGGACACGGCACTGTCACCGGAGGAGGTAGCAACAGAATACATCTGTGCTGAGTTCCCCTCGCCTGCTCTCGTGCTCAGAGGCGCCCGCCACATGGTGCGTGCGGATTGGCCGGTCTTCTGGTGAGCTTGCCTCGTACACTTTGCAAAAGGTTGCAGGGTTTGAAGTACAGCAAGCAAAGGGTATTTTCAAACTCTTGCATGCTCTATAATATATTGCTGCCAGGCCGCATGCATCCTGTTGCCCCTGTGGTACACAATGATGGACTGCATACTGAGCCACCGTTGTTCCTGCAGTGTGGAAGGTGGAGTGGAGGGTGTTTTGCTTTACGTTGTACGCTGTGGTCTGTGGTCACCCCTTGTGTGGCTGTCAATCTGTGATGTGTGCCACATGTCTGACACTGTGTGGGAGTGTGAGTGTGCGGAGGTGGAGATAGGCATCGAGCCCACCGGGTGCACGAGCATCTGAGGGAGCATATTATATGCATGGTGTGATAATGCTCAAAAGTCACTCCAATGTTGTGTGCGTGGCCATGGCAGGCGGAGGTGGAGATAAGCATAGAGCCCAAGGTGCGGGAGCACGTGAGGGAGATATTCAACAAGCGTGCCATCGTCTCCACCAACCCCACCCCACGCGGCCGCCAGGTATCCCACCCCCCCTCACTAACGCCCTGACCAACTGCCAGGTGACGCCCCCACCCACCCTGTATAAGGATCTGCCCGCCAGACAACTCTCCCCCTTGATTTTTCAGCGGCCAGGGGAACGGCCTTTCATGGAATCATGGGATCAAGCACCCCTACATCCCTTGAGCCCTCTTCAATGTCTGGACCTGTCAAACTCACTTTGAGTAGCATTTCATTGCAGCCATTCTTTATGCGCCTCAGAACCTAAGTTGCACAAGACGCTCGCGAAGACGCAAGACGCATAGGAGGAAATTTTCTGGTCAGCCCGGAAAAAAAAAATCGGGTTTAGGGTTTAGGGTATGTGAAAAAATTGCCTCAAATGTGGTATACGCACATATCCCCCCCCTCCCCATGCCCCATAGAACGTTTTTTTGGCTACCCGTACTTTTTTTGCCTGCCCGGGCTTGCGTCTATCCCAGCATCTAATCTGCCCAAGACGCGTGTCTAGCTTCTTAGACGCTGCGTCTAGATGCCAGCGTCTAAGACGCTAGACGCGTCTTCTGCAACTTAGCACAGAACATGCCTTCAAATTCTCCCGCTGCACTCTTGCCCTTCTCCCGCACCCTTCCACCCTCCTCACACTGCCTGTGTTTGACTGCAGGGGATCGACACATTTCACCGATTCGCAGGCATCGAATGGCTCAAGGACACGCCGGTGGGGGAGTTGCCTGGACGCATTTTTTCCCCACTGCCCCACTCCCCCCGTCCCCCACCCCCGTGCGCATGGCAGGTGATCGACACGTTCCACCGCTTCGCAGGCATCGAGCGACTCAAGGACAAGCCGGTGGGGGAGTTTCGGGACGACCAGTGGCTGCTGATCGCCAAGGCGGAGTCGCAGGGGCTCGTTCAGGTGGAGCTGGGACTGCCGCCCGCCGTCGTGCAGGAGAACGTCATCCAGGTGCGTGCAGGGTTTGGGGTTCAGAGTATAGGGTTTTAGGGCGTAGGGAGAGGCTTGCAGCTGTGCAAGAGGGTGGTGCAGGAAAGATGTGGGTTGGCAGGGATGTTGGGAATGAGGGTTGTTAAACGACGAGGGTTGTTTGTCAGGGTTCGCAATGAAGGGTTTGTATGAGGTCTGTGCAGGGCTTAGGGTTTAGTGTGTGGTGTGCAGGTGTATAGTGTGTGGTGTGCACGGGTATAGTGTGTGGTGTGCAGGGCTTAGGGTTTAGTGTGTGGTGTCCAGGAAAACGTGATCCAGGTAGGGAGAATATTTTGATGGTGCTGTGGTGGTGGCGTACAGCAGGTCAGGGTTTGATGCACCGGCACAGCAGCACAGCACACACACATGCCCCACAAGCTGATTCTCTATGGAACAAGCAGTGTGTTGTGTTCTTCTCATCATAACAAGCCAGCTTCTTGTCCCCCATCTTCTTGCTTCCCCATTCCCGTTTCCCCATGCCATGCCCATCCCTCCACATGTTCTCTCAGGAGTTTGAGGCGGCCTACCTCTCAGACGGCGTCTCCCACTTCGCCTCACTCTGGAACGAGCAGCGCCGCACCATTCTCCGGGCGGCAATCGCCGCCCGGTTGCTGCCGACCATGCACAAGGAGACGCGCCTGCTCCTCACCGGCCGCGCCAAGGCATTCGTTGCCGAACAGTGCGCCCTCGCCCTCTGGAAACACGTCTCTGTTGCGCCCCTTGACATCCGGGCCAAGGGGGGCGGGGGGGGCGGAGGGGGAGGGATGGGGGGAGGCGGGGGAGGGGGCATGCGGGGCGGCGGGGGGAGGGGAGGGAGGCATGGGGGAGGGGAGGAGCACGGGGGAGGGGGGCAGCCGTGGCTGCGAGTGATGGCGTGCTGCTGGGGGCCTGGGAACCCCGCGACCACCTTTGCCATGCTGAACGCCGCAGGGGAGATGGTGGATTTTCTCCATACTGGCTTCCTCTGTGCCCGCACCGGCCAGCCGAAAGGGGATGCTGCTGCAGCGCTGGGGGGGGCTGCTGGGGAGGCATGGGGGGAGCGGGGGGAGCGGGGGGGGGGGAGGGGGAGGGGGCGAGCAGCAGGTGATGGTGATGAAGAAGCGGGAGGATGAGCGGCGGCTGATGGCGTTTGTGAAGGAGCACAAGCCGCACGTCGTGGTCGTGGGGGGGGCTAACCTCGCGTGCGAAAGGCTCAAGGACGAAATCTGGGAGGCAAGTGGGGGATGGCTGGTGTGTGTACGGGGGATGGCATACTAGTATGGTATGTGTGTGTGTGAGGGGTGTGGTGGTATGGCATGTGCGTTTTGGTTGGCATGCGGGCATGTGTTTGTGGTGAGCGGCCCCAACCTTGCTTGTTAAATTCTCAAGGATCTGGGAGGTGCATGGGCTGTGGCATGGGGTTTGCAGGACGTAAGGCTGTGTGTGGCAGTACGCACTTGTTGATCTGGCTGTTACTGTGTGCGCATATGGTTGTAACCGCACAGCACTGAACAGGTGCGAAACTTGTGTCCGTCACATGTGCGTTTCACATATGTCCTCCTGTGCCACTTCTCCACCAGCCCTCCCCCACCCTGGCATCGCTCGTTAGCTCACACGGTCAGCTCCGTCCATTTCATGCGTTCACGGTTCTCCCATCCTTCCCACCACACCCCTCCACCTCAGCCGCTCATCTTCAAGATCAGTTCCTGCTCTGAGGAAGGGAGTGAACTTCCCCCAGGATCTCAGCCGTCCCTCTGGCAGCTCCCTGGGATTCACTTATCACAAGTCTCAAGGGTGAATCCCAGTTAACTCGCATGGCTTGCCTCCGTTCCATTCCCTGCACGCTCACTTGCCCCCCCCCCCCCCCCCCCCCCCCCCCCAGGTGATCTTCAAGATCGCAAAGCACTTTCCTCGCGACCTCAGCCGTGCCTCTGGCGGCTCCCAACTGAGCTCTCACGGCTTGCTCACTTACATGCCTCCTCTCTCTTCCCCTCCTTCACTCCCCCACACAGGTGATCTTCAAGATCGTCGAGCACTTCCCTCGCGACCTCACATCTGATGTTGACAACGTCCGCGTGAGTGCCTCCTTGCTGCTGCCACCTGCTCCCATGTGCTTGTGCCTGTTCAAGTGGCTGATTGTTTTTACAAGTTGTAGAAACTGTCAGCTCATGGCAGCACCTGCATGCTCTCTTTTCTCTCCTCTGCCTCCTAGCCACTGCCGGCCTCCACACGTCACCCTCCCACCCCACCTTCATGTCGTCTCTCACCCTCCTACATCCCGTGACCAACCACACCCTCACTTCACTCATTAACTCGCTGCCCTGCACCCGTGCATGCAAGCTCACAGCCTCCTCCATCTTTCCTGTCCTCCTGTCCTCCTGTCCTCCTCCTGCCCAACCCGTGCACCAGGTGGTGTTTCAAGATGAGACACTCGCTCTGCTCTACGAGAATTCCGCCATCTCTCAGGAGCACCTGCCCTCCCAGCCAGGCAAGCGCTTGTACCCCTATAAAGCTCAGGCACATGTTATGCCGTAACACTTGTGGGGATTCTCTTAATGTGCTAGCCTTGGAGAACTTTTGAGATGAGAGAGCCCTGGAAGGAAGGAGGATGAAGGAGTTAGATGGAGTGGTGGGAGAAAGGGTGGGGAGGGAAGGCAAGCTAGCCTGCTCCAGCCCACCCCTCCCCTTCCCACCAGGCATAGTGCGGCGCACGGTGGGGTTGGGGCGCTAAATGCAGAACCGGGTGACACTGGTTGTGATGAGGTATATGCATACACCCTTCCCCACCCAAGTCCCCGCCCTTCCCCACCCCCAGGCATAGTGTGGCGAACAGCAGGGCTGGGCCGCTACATGCAGAGCCGGCTGACGGTGAATGTAGGGCAGTACATACATGCTCCTTTGTTCCCCCCCTCCCTCCTCCCCCCTCTCATCCCCTCCCACCAGGCATAGTGCGGTGCATAGCACAGTAGGAGTCGGGCGCTACATGCACAACCGGCTGGCGGTGGGAGTGGGGCAGTATGTTCACAACTTTGTATGACCCATCCCCTCTTACACCCCTTCTTCCTCCCCCTTCCCCCTCCCCCCCCCCCCCCCCCCCCCCCCCCCCCCCCCCACCAGGCATAGTGCGGTGCACAGTACGACTCAGCCACTATATGCAAAACCCCTATCCGACCCATCCCCGTGTCTTTCCTCCCCCCTCAAACAACCCCCCCCCCCCACCAGGCATAGTGAGGTGCACGGTGGGGCTGGGCCAATACATGCAGAACTGGCAGGTGCTCTTTACCTCATGTCTCCCCTCCCTCCCCCACCCTTTTTCAGGCATAGTGCGGCGCACGGTGGGGCTGGGGCGCTACATGCAGAACCGGCTGGCGCTGGCAGCCTGCCTGTTTGGGCCGGCGAGGGAGGTGCTATCTGCTAAGTTCCACCGCTCTCAGGACCTGCTGCCGTCCGATGACGTGTACGACGCTCTTGAACGTGTCATGGTTACCGTTACCAACCAGGTGGGATTGCTGGGCAGGTGGGGTTACCAAGCAGGTGGGCGGATTCTTGATAAGAAAATGAGGGCCGTAATAGATGTGCTTTGTCTCTTGCATCAGTCAGAGGGCGATGTGATTTAATTCGTTGTCCCTATGTCGGACCTCATTCCTGTTCTTCGTCTAACATGAAGGTGAAGTTGTCGTTTTCCACTTCCCACGCCTTACCTTAACCATCGCCCGCCTCCTCTCTCGCCATGCCTCCACTCCGCCTGCTGCCCGCCACACACTTGCTCTACTGCCAGGTACGTGTTGTTGTGTTATGACGTGCGTGTTCTGTAAGACATCTCAAATCCCCCTCGCCATGCCATGTCTCCCTCTGCCCGTCCCCCTTCATCCTTCTGCCAGGTGGGAGTGGATGTGAATGACGCGGCACAAGAGGCAACTCCTTAATCGGCTCAAAAGTGCCATTCATTAATCACCTCGCCTCTTCTCCCTCACCTGCTCTCCCCATTCGCCCCTCTGCCAGGTGGGAGTGGATGTGAACTACGCGGCACAGGAGGCACAGGATTGGCTCTTTGCGCCGCTGCAGTTCGTGTGTGGCCTCGGACCCAGGAAGGCCTCCACGCTTAAAGTGAGCCATGAGCCTCCTTGCCCTCCCACCCACCCTCATCCGTGTCCCATGCGCCTTTTGTCCGCACGGACCACACCTGCCCGATCGTTTTCCTCACCACGCCTGCTCCCTCTCCCACCTTTCCTCTCACTCTCTCCCCCCTTGTCTCGCATGCTCCTTTCTTTGACCTCTCATCGATGTCCCCCGTGCCTCGCTCCCCTCGCCCCTCACCACCCTCCCTCAGGCCCTTTGCCATCGAATTGGGTTCTAAACTCTATCACTCTCTCCCTCGCCTCTCTCCTCTCTCCCTGTTACCTCTCTCCCCCTCGCCCATGTGCTTTTCTCCTCCCATCAGGTGCGCATACTGGGAGAGGGCGTGGTGCGGCGGCGCAAGGACCTCATCGACCCGCCCTTCCTGCTCGACCAGGTTCGCAACTCGCCCTTGCCTGCCTTGCTGCTCTGCCCCCCAACTGCCATCCCTCCTCTCTCGTTTCCCACCTCCTTCCTCTGAACGTTGCCCCCGTCCCACGCTTGTTCCCCCCCCCCCCCACCACCCCACTCGTTCCTGATCTCTGCGCGTCCCTCCCCCAGGTCGTCTGCAGCATGCATTCGAGTGAGAGGTCAAGACGGCGCCCTGCCTGATTCCCCCAATCGTTCATTGGACTTCAAATCCGCGTCCTGTTCAATGTCTCCCTCTTTCCCACCAGGTGATGATCAACACAGCAGCATTCATCCTCGCGGAGTAGGAGCAGGACGGCATGCTCTGCTGCCTGACTGACGGACTACCGACAGGTGCATGTTCATGATTCATCCCCCTTCCCCTCCCCCTTTCCCCCTCCCCCTTCCCCTCCTCCTTTCCCCCTCCCCCTTCCCCTCCCCCTTTCCCCCTCCCCGTTCTCCTCTTGCCCTTGTTGCCCCGCTCTCTCCCCAGGTCGTGTTCATCAACGCAGCGGCGTTCATCCGAGTCCGAGGGCAGGATGACATGCTAGATGATTCGAGAATTCACCCAGCAGACTACCGCCTGGCGCTCAAAGTGGCCACTGACGGGTACTGCGAGGCTCACCGCGGCATGACGCCGCACAGTGTGGAGGAGCGAGGCATAGATGTGGTCCTGGAGGCTCGGGACAACCCGGACTTGATCCGCAGGCTCGATTTCGAGGACTACGCGGTGATGCTGGCTCGGAAGGGGCAGGGCGGGCTGAAGGAGAAACTGCTGCTGATTCGCCGCGAGCTCATGCACGGGTTTGCTGAGTGCCGGGTGAAGTTTGAGCAGCTGAACGCAGACGAGCAGTTCTGGCTGCTCAGTGGGGAGACGGAGGAGAGTCTGGCTGTGGGGAAGGTGGTGACTGCGACGGTGAAGCGCGTGCTGAAGTTCAAGGTGTTGTGTGCGTTGGAGAGCGGTGTCATGGGCGAGGTGGATCGGAGGGATTTCAGTGATGACCCGAATGTGGAGCTGAGGGATGTGGTGAGCGAGGGGCAGCCGCTGACATGCCGCATCAAGGAAGTGAAGACGGAGGAGGCTAAGGTGCGTGTGGGGAAGATTGAGGAGGGCTTTGAGCAAGGTGTGTGTTGGGAAGATGTAGGAGGGCAAGGTGTGTGGTGGGAAGGAGAGGTCGAGGTGCGTGTTGGGTGGGCGGCAAGGTGAGATGAGAAGATTGTAAGGCGCCTCACAATGGTGTTTGTTGCTTTAAAGACTGGCGGGATTTTAGTGACGATCCGAATGCGGGGTTGAGGAATGTGGTGACAGAGGGGCAGCTGATCACATGCCGCATAAAGGAAGTCAAGACAGAGGAGGCTAAGGTGCGTGTGGGGAAGACTGAGGAGGGCTTTGGGCAAGGTGTGTGTTGGGAGGGCGGGCAAGGTGAGATGGGGGGATTTACTAGGTGCCTCACAGTTGTTTTTATTGCCTCAAAGACCAGTGGGTCATGAGTGACGATCCGAATGTGGATTTGCGTGATGTGGTGACCGAGGGGCAGCCACTGACATGCCTCATCAAGGAAGTCAAAACGGAAGAGGCTAATGTGCTTGTGGAGAATGTGGGGAGGGAAGGGGGGGTAATGTGTGTGTGGGAGTTTTCGTGAATGCTGTCCATCATTTACATCTACCACCTCCCACCCCCATCCACACGTGCAGGTGATCCTGACGTGCAAGGGCAGCGACCTGAGGAGCAGCGAGTGGAGGGAGATGCGGCAGTGGGACCCGTACTACCAGCGCGCTGCAGTGGAGCAGGAGGAGCAGGCGGCAACGGAGGAGAGGAAGCGCAAGGAGGAGGAGAAGCGCAAGACCGCCTTCCGCCCCCGCATGATCACCTACCCGCTCTTCCACAACGTGTCGCTGGAGGGCGCCAAGAAGGTGCGCAGTGGTTTCAATCAATGGGTCAATAAACACATTCTCTTGGATGGTGCCTTGCTGTAGCTGGTCCTTGGATGGTGCCAAGAAGGTGCGCAGTGGTTTCAACTGGTCAATAAGCACATAATCTTTTCAGCTGGTTTCAAACAGCGCTTCTTAATTGGCTCGCAATACCACATGCCGGCTGCTCTTCCCTTAATTGGCTCGCAATACCACATGCCGGCTGCTCTTCCCTTAATTGGCTCGCAATACCACATGCCGGCTGCTCTTCCCTTAATTGGCTCGCAATACCACATGCCGGCTGCTCTTCCCTTAATTGGCTCGCAATACCACATGCCGGCTGCTCTTCCCTTAATTGGCTCGCAATACCACATGCCGGCTGCTCTTCCCTTAATTGGCTCGCAATACCACATGCCGGCTGCTCTTCCCTTAATTGGCTCGCAATACCACATGCCGGCTGCTCTTCCCTTAATTGGCTCGCAATACCACATGCCGGCTGCTCTTCCCTTAATTGGCTCGCAATACCACATGCCGGCTGCTCTTCCCTTAATTGGCTCGCAATACCACATGCCGGCTGCTCTTCCCTTAATTGGCTCGCAATACCACATGCCGGCTGCTCTTCCCTTAATTGGCTCGCAATACCACATGCCGGCTGCTCTTCCCTTAATTGGCTCGCAATACCACATGCCGGCTGCTCTTCCCTTAATTGGCTCGCAATACCACATGCCGGCTGCTCTTCCCTTAATTGGCTCGCAATACCACATGCCGGCTGCTCTTCCCTTAATTGGCTCGCAATACCACATGCCGGCTGCTCTTCCACAATGTCTCTCTCCATGGCGCCTAGAAGATGAGCTGCTCTTTGCTTTCAACCGAGAATGGGTGCGTGGTTGTGCTCAGAAAGAAAAGGCATGCTTGCTAGTTTGAGGTGACTTGAAGAAAACGACAGGCTCCAGAGCAGTCGACTCACTCGTCATATGCATCTGCTCGTGCTTTTCCCGCCGTGCTTTTCCCCTGTGCTCCCATCCATCCGCCCCCATGTCAACACTTCAGGTCCTGGCGGACAAAGATATAGGCAGTGTGGTGATCCGTCCCAGCAGCCGCGGCCCCACGCATCTGAGCATCACCATGAAGCTGCCGGACGGCGCATTCACACACGTGGACGTGCACGAGGGCGGCAAGGACCGTACCAGCGCCACCAGCTTCCTGCGCCTCGGCCGCACCTTGACTATTGGGGACGAGAGCTATGAGGACCTGGACGAGGTGAGATGGGGTGCAGGCGTGGGTGCTGTCACAGCTGTGAGCTCCTGGACTGGACGGGGTGCTTTGAGCTGAGAGCTACCGAACAGTGCCTTCACTGTGCTGCCTTCACACACGTGGACGTGCACGAGGGCGGCAAGGACCGCACCTCCGCCACTAGCTTCCTGCGCCTCGGCCGCACTCTCAATTGGGGACGAGAGCTATGAGGGTTTGGACTAGGTAAGATGTGGTTTCAAGGGGTGAGGTGAGGTGTGTGGTGAGGGTGCACTCGGCCTCGGCCTCCTGCACCTTGGCCGCACTTTTACTAATGGAGATGAGAGCAATGAGGACCTGGATGAGGTGAGGTGGGGTGAGGTGAGGTGAGTGGAAGGGTGAGGTGAGTGGACGGGTGAGGTGAGTGGAAGGGTGAGGTGAGTGGAAGGGTGAGGTGAGTGGACGGGTGAGGTGAGTGGAAGGGTGAGGTGAGTGGAAGCGTGAGTTCTGTGAGGACCTGCATGGGTTGAGCTGGGGAGCAGGGGTGGCTGTCAGATGGGTTGAAGGGGTGAGCGTGTGCTGCTCCTCCCATGCCACCAGCTTCCCACGCCTTGGGATGAGGTGAGAGGGTGGGTGGGTGTTGTGCTGTGAGCACGTGGACGAGAGAGTGGGTGGATGAGTGCTTTGAGGACCTAGTTAAGGAGATGTGGCGGGCAGGGGTGGATGGATGAAGGGGTGACTGTGACGCCTCTGCTTCCTGTCACGTGTACCATGCCTCATGGCCCTCTCCTCGTCATGCCTTTATGGTACATGAAGCCCTCAGCAGCAACTTTTTAGATATCTCAAAGAGATCCCTTTCCACCCCTCCATGCCCTGCTCCACCCCTCGCCACTGCTACCCACCCCTCTCCACCCCTCCCCAACAGGTCATGGCGCGGTACATCGAGCCCTTGGCAGCGCGCATGCGAGACATGGCAGCCTACCGCAAGTTCCGCCTTGGATCCAAAGCCGACATGGACGCCCTTGTGCGCTCCGACAAGGAGCGAGAGCCCGCGCGCATCCCCTACTACCTCTCGCTCTCCCACGACCACCCCGGCGCCTTCATGCTCACCTACATCCGCTCCGCCTCTGTCTCTGGCCGCCCCGTGCATGAGTATATCACCGTTTCGCCTGAAGGGTTTCGGTTCAGGAAGCACACTTTCCCGTCGCCGGACCGACTGGTGAAGTATTTCCAGGCGCATTTCAATGATCCGGTGGAGGGTGGGGATGGGGGAGCGGGGGGTGGGGGTGGTGGGAAAAGGGAGACGCCTCGCCGAGGAGCTTCTGGTGGTGGTGGTGGGCTGGCGTTGCCCCCGCCACCCCCAGTGCCGGCAGGTGGGAGGGGTGGTCGGTGGGATCAAGCTGGGTCGGGTGGTTGGGGGACTGCGGGAGGTGGTGGGGAGAAGGTTGGATGGGGGGGAGGGGTGTGGAGTGCGGGAGGGGGGGAGCAGGGAGGGGGGCAAGTGTGGCAGTCTGGGGGTGGGGGTGGGGGTGGGAGTGGGTGGCAGAATGCAGGTGGTTGGGGTGGTGAGGGAGGAGGCGGGGGAGGAGGGGGGTGGGGAGCTGGGAGTGGTGGTGGGTCGGGAGCGTGGGGAGCTGGAGGGGCTGATAGGGGGGGTGGTGCAAGAACTCCACTCAGGGGATGAAATGGAAAAAAAAAAAAATAGGGATGACAAATATCGCTTATTAAATAGCAAGGTGTATTGAGTATTCCTGCTATTCAATATATTTGGTCATTACCACATTGTCCTTGGTTTATTGCCCTTATTTTCTGCTTCATGGTGAATGACTAAATGGTCTATCGTAATCTCGATTCTTGTCACCACTACTGTAGTGTTTTCAGTGGGCAACGTGGCGTGGTCAGCTAGCACACGTCGACTTCTAGCCGCAACTTTCGGGTCACTCCGCCGACGTGGAGGATTCCCTGAGCTCCACGGTGTCCTGGAAAGTCACTGAACAATGCCTGTTCGGCCCAGGTGGTCAAAGGTCCACGTAGCGACGCGCATTTGTAACGCTGTAACAGACAGCGTGGCGTCACGGTGCCAGCAGCGACACCACCCGTGACCACGCGAATTCTATCCACTGGCCCTCGCGATTGCATTCCATCCCACCCACCCATGGTCCATCCCATTGGAATCTCGCGCCAAACCACCCGCACCCCACACAACCAGAGTGTGTAGAGTTGTCCGTGGCTGCAGCATACCACACTGTGCCTCGAGATTCGCTTATCTCCCAAACCCTCTTTTGATAGTTGCTACTTTCCGCTGGTGTAATCGCTATCTCCAGCGATTTCCAGTCAGGGCCGCGTTCCTAGAAGCACTTCTCACAGCGCTCCCTAACTAAAGCTTATCTCGTCGCAAACAGCGAAACATGGCATCCTCGCTCGCCAGCTGTCCGCCAAAGGTCACCAGCAGCGTCGCAGCACCCGTCGCAGGCGACAGGGGCAGCGCGGTCGCATCGAGCAATGCGGCGGTCGCGGTGCCATTCGTCGGCCTCAAGGCCGGCAAGGATCTTCCCGGCGCCGCCAAGGCTTCTCAGGCGAAGAAATCCGCTGACCGCAAGATGCGGACCGTGTCGCGATCAGTCGCCGCTGGACGCTCGCCCGTGATCTGCATGGCTGATGGAGGTGCGTGTGGGCTCGGCTTCAGACTGCTCTGATTGGTCGAAAGAATGTGCGCTCAGTGCTCGTACCGTGCGAATAAGATACTAATTTTAGTCACACTCTAGTCCACCACATGGCTCGTCCTGGTGGTTTCGACGCTCCCGTGAATCACGCAAGGTTGTAGGCGAATAATAATAATGCTCTGCAAACCATGAAGCTGAACGTTTCCTCTCGCGCGATTCTTTAAGTCTTCTTGACATTCGCGGTCCCGCGTAAGATGCAATGTGCTGACGTGCAACGCCTCATGAGCTCTCCTGCAGACCCGCAGGTACTATTGAATGAATACCATAACATCGACAATATGGCGCACATCAACGCGTTAAAATTTGCCTCGTTACCTTGAACAATTGCGTCTTTTACATGGTTACGTGTGCGTCCCGCAGGCCGCGAGGTACCGCTGGAGGACTACCGCAACATCGGCATCATGGCGCACATCGACGCGGGCAAGACGACGACGACGGAGCGCGTGCTGTTCTACACGGGCAAGAACTACAAGATCGGCGAAGTGCACGAGGGCACCGCCACCATGGACTGGATGGAGCAGGTGAGCTGCGGCTGCGTCTGTATGTGCCGAATACGAAACAACACCTTTATTGGATTCCCGAACCACGTGCGATTACCGCTTGCCACGTGCGATCACCGCTTCTGAGCCCACTGGTCCCCGAATTGACTTCTCATGGTGTTCCAACGCATGGCCCGATTGTGTCGCACCCCCATACCCATAGTTCGCCTCTTAAGACGACTTAAAAGGACTTGGTTGTTGTCCAAGACGTAACGAGACCGCGTCGCACCTCCCATGCGCATGTGGAGCGTGCACTTCGCGCCTCACTTCCTCCCCCCCCCAACCTCCCTCCTTCCTTCCATCCCTCGCAGGAGCAAGAGCGCGGCATCACGATCACGTCCGCTGCGACGACGTGCATGTGGAAAAACCACCGGATCAACATCATCGACACGCCCGGCCACGTCGACTTCACGCTCGAGGTGGAGCGCGCGCTGCGCGTGCTCGACGGCGCCATCTGCCTCTTCGACTCCGTCGCCGGCGTTGAGCCCCAATCCGAGGTACGCCCTGCCCCAGATACGCCCTGCCCTTCGATATGACATGCCCCGCCCCAGATACGCCCTGCCCTTCGATATGTCCTGCCCTGCCCAAGATATGCCTTGCCCGAGGGGCCCCAGATGTGCTCTGCTCGATGTTCGCCCTGTTCGAGGTACGCCCTGCCTCAGGTACACTATGCCTGAGGCGGAGTTACGCCCTGCGCGGTCCAAAGCCTTTCCGATCACACGTTCAACCTCTCTGTCCCCCCCACTCCCTCTGTCCCCCCCGTGTCTCACCCGCCTCTCCCCTCCCCCCCTCCCCTTTTCTCCTTCCAGACGGTGTGGCGGCAGGCGGACAAGTACGGAGTGCCGCGCATCTGCTTCGTGAACAAGATGGACCGCCTGGGCGCCAACTTCTACCGCACGCGCGACATGATCGTCAGCAACCTGGGCGCCAACCCGCTGGTGCTGCAGCTGCCCATCGGCGCGGAGGACGCGTTCCAGGGCGTCGTGGACCTCGTGAAGATGAAGGCCATCGTGTGGACGGGCGAGGAGCTGGGCGCCGCCTTCGAGTACCGCGACATTCCCGAGGACCTCCAGGAGAAGGCCGCCGAGTACCGCGCGCAGCTCGTCGAGTCGGTCGTGGAGCTGGTGAGTGGAGGGAATCAGAGGGGTGTGGCTGGGGTATTCGGGGTCGACTTAGAACGCTCGGGGAGTCCTTCGACGAGCTGGGGAGCTACTGGGGGAGGAGACGTGGGGGGGTGGGAAGTGGAGGGCGGAGGGTGGTGGGTTGGGTGGAGGGTAGATCGGGGTGGGAGGGCCACGCAGGGTGCGGTTGAACCTCGCGTGTGATTGGTGGAGGCTGTGTTGTGAGCAGCTCAACTAACGCGCGTTGTGTGCTCGACGGGGTACACTGATCAAATTCGAGAGAGCAAACGGCTATCGAGACAACCAAATTAACCAACCCTAAACTCGTCTCCCGTCACTCGTCCCAGTTGGTAACCCTTCTTTCCAGTGCATTGCTGAAGGCACACATGACTGATTGTCGTGTCCTGCATCTCTTACCCTCCCTCTTCTGCCTTCATTCCTCATCACCTGGTCTGCCTTCGCCCTTCCCCGTCCCCCTTCCCCGACCCCTCTCATCTCCCCGCCACAGGACGACGATGCCATGGAGGCGTACCTGGAGGGCGAGGAGCCGGACGAGGCCACTCTGAAGCGCCTCAAACACCCTTCTAACTTCCAACCTTCCCCATTCCGCCCTCCCCCATTCCGCCTTTCCCCCACCGCAGGACGACGACGCCATGGAGGCGTACCTGGAGGGCGAGGAGCCGGACGAAGCCACGCTCAAGCGCCTCATCCGCAAGGGCACTATCGCGTCGGCGTTTGTCCCGGTGCTGTGCGGTACGGCGTTCAAGAACAAGGGCGTGCAGCCGCTGCTGGACGCTGTCATCGACTACCTCCCCTCCCCGCTCGACCTCCCGCCCATGAAGGGTTCCGACCCGGAGGATCCCGAGAAGGCCCTCGACCGCCCCCCTAGCGACTCCGCTCCGTTCTCCGGGCTCGCGTTTAAGATCATGACTGATACGTTTGTCGGGTCGCTGACGTTCGTGCGAGTTTACTCGGGCGTGCTGACCGCCGGGACGTACGTGCTGAACGCGAACAAGAACCGCAAGGAGCGGATCGGACGGCTGCTGGAGATGCACGCAAACTCGCGCGAGGATATCAAGATCGCGCGCACGGGCGACATCATCGCACTCGCAGGGCTCAAGGATACGATCACGGGCGAAACGTTGTGCGACCCTGACGCCCCCGTTGTCCTTGAGCGCATGGACTTCCCGGATCCAGTTATTAAGGTCGCTATCGAGCCTAAGACTAAGGCGGATGTGGATAAGATGGCGAACGGGCTGATTAAGCTTGCGCAGGAGGACCCGTCGTTCCATTTCTCTCGTGACGAGGAGACGAATCAGACGGTCATTGAGGGAATGGGGGAGCTGCATCTGGAGATTATTGTCGATAGGCTGAAGCGCGAATTTAAGGTGGATGCTAATGTGGGCGCGCCGCAGGTTAACTACCGTGAGAGCATTGGCCGGCCGGTGGAGGTGAAGTACACGCACAAGAAGCAGTCGGGCGGGCAGGGCCAATTCGCGGAGGTGGTGATTAAGTTTGAGCCGCTGGAGCCGGGCAGCGGGTACGAGTTTAAGAGCGAGATTAAGGGCGGGACCGTGCCCAAGGAGTATGTGCCGGGCGTGGTGAAGGGGCTCGAGGAGTGCATGAGCAGCGGCGTGCTCGCTGGCTTCCCTGTCGTGGACGTGCGCGCCACCCTCATCGGTACGTGTTGGGTTTGCCGTTCTCGTTGGTACTAACATCTTGAATTGATTCTTTTCCTTCCCGTTTCCCTCCACACCATTCCAATTTCTCCCGTCCCGTGTGCCCCAACCTTCCCCAACCTTCCCCTATCGTCTCCAACCTGCCCCAACCTGCCCCAACCTGCTCCAAGCTGCCCTGAATTGCCCCAACCTAGCCCCATCCATCTGTCCATCATCCACCCCTCCCCCAACCCTCCACCTTCCCACCAACCTCATCTCTCTCGCACCCCTCCGCCTCCCGTAACCCCCATCCCTCCTCCTTTACCCCCATCCCTCCTCCTTTACCCCCATCCCTCCTCCTTTACCCGCCTTTCTTCCTCCACCTCCCCCCCCTCCTTTCCCAGAGGGCTCATACCACGAGGTGGGCTTGAGCGTGCTGGCGTTCCAGCTGGCACAGCGAGGGGCGTCCCGTGAGCCGGTGATGAAGGTGGAGGTGGTCACGCCCGAGGAAGACCCTTCGTCCCTTGAGAAGAATTGCACTGCACGGGATTATCTTGCTTACTCAGAGACCCTTACCCCCCACCCCCCCGCACCCCTTCCCCCTCCCCACTTCTCACCTCCACCAGAGGGCTCCTACCATGAGGTGGACTCTAGTGTGCTGGCGTTCCAGCTGGCGGCGCGCGGGGCGTTCAAGGAGGGTATGGGCAAGGCCTCGCCGCGGCTGCTGGAGCCGGTGATGAAGGTGGAGGTGGTGACGCCCGAGGACCACATGGGTGATGTCATCGGTGACCTCAACTCGCGCCGTGGGCAGATCAACTCCTTTGGAGACAAGCCGGGCGGCATGAAGGTGAGCGAAAGGGAAGAAAGGAAGTGGGGGAGACGGGACGGGGTGGGGGAGGAAAGGAGACAATGTGGGAAGTAGAGGAGAGGGATGGGTGAGAGAGGAGGGCTTAGGGCCAGTCTGAGCAGCTGCCACGGCTGCTGGAGCCGGTGATGAAGGTGGATGTGGTCACACCTGAGGACCACATGGGTGACGTCATCGGTGACCTCAACTCTCCCCACGGGCAGATCAACTCGTTTGGGGACAAGCCGGGCGACATGAAGGTGAGTGGTGGGGAGTGAGAAGGGGGGGAAGGAGAGAAGAGGGAATGGGGAGGAAAGGTGAGGGGCAGGGGCTGAGATGAGACGGCATGGAGAGGAGAGGAGACGGATTGAATGGGTAAGAGTAGAGTCAATTTCTGAAGTTGCCAAGGCTGCTGGAGCACATGGTGGAGGGTGTTCAACTGCAAGAGAAACCTTTTCTCATCCTGGTTATCATCAATCTCATTCCCAGTTCTCTCCCTAATGTCCCCCCCCCCCCTTTCCTTCCCCTCCCCCTTCCTCTTCCCCCCCTCCTTTCCTCTCCACGCCACGCTGGTGCTGCATCATAGTTGTTAATGTGTTGAGCCTTCCTCACCCCTCTATCGTTTCCCCCACTCGCTTTCTCCATCTCTCCCCTCTGCCAGGTGGTGGATGCGCTAGTGCCCTTATCGGAGATGCTCAACTACACGTCCAACCTGCGTGCCATGACCAAGTGGCACTTGTTAACCTCGCATCCTAACCCCCATCCTTCCCCCCTCTCCCCCCCAGGTGGTGGATGCGCTGGTGCCGCTGTCAGAGATGTTCAACTACGTGTCGAACCTGCGCGGCATGACCAAGGGGCGAGCCAACTACACGATGCAGCTCGCACAGTTTGACATCGTCCCCACCAACATCCAGAACCAAATCACCGCCAAGGCACAGGGCACCGCTGTCTAACTCCGTTGTTGAGTGCTTGGGATCTGATGCACTAGCACTGCCAGTACCGTACATTGTTTGCTTAGCATTGTTTTTTTAGGTTTCTCTTTTTATGCAAAGTTGCATGGTGTGAAGTTGCAAAGTTTTGTGCTGCCTACACCATACAGTAGCTGTAAGATTTTCACACTGGTGAACCATGTCCTCCCATACTACCATGACCTATGACGACCCGTCGACCCTCCATCAATCCATTTCCGCTGAGATATTCAGTTCAGTACCAGATCTGAACCTGCCATTGGTGGGCAGGCTGGGCTGAGAGAGACCTGTGGTCCATTTGAAGAGTCCAGAGGAGATTTTGGAGTCCATCCTGTACAAGCTGCACTGCTCACAGGCAATACACATGAGCAGGAAAGCTTGACAGCAGCATGCCAGCAAATTTTGTCAGTGTGCTCATTTAGTCTACAAATATGATATAATTATGTGCTTCTCACAGCAAACCCTCTCAATGATGGCAACCATCATCATACAGAGCATTAAAGGCCTACTCAAAGCATTGAGTTATTCATATATATGCTACGAGGCTCTACATACCCATCACGATCCAGCAACTGCCTGCACCCCAGGCAGCATCTTCAACTCAGCCATATCCCGAGGCAGCTCCCTCAACCGCCAACACCCATCCAAGATAAGCCGCCTAAGTCCAGCTAGCCGCACGAAGTGGGGAGGAAGCGAGGTGATGAGGCTGGACGTAAGATTCAGCTCAGTCAGGCACGCAAGAGAGGTGAGAGAAGCAGGCACCCGTTTCAACTCCTTGCAGTCTAATAGAATCAGCTTGCGCAGCCTGGTCAAGGCGCCAATGCCCTCCGGAATGTGAGTGAGCTTGCACTCGTGAACCTCCAACAACGTCAGCTGCTGAAGCTGCGTGATGCTCTCTGGCAGCTCAGACAACTCCTGAGCATCGTGTATCAGCAGCACCCTCAGCTGGTGTAAGCTTGAACCGATGCTCTTTGGAAGACTGGCAATCTTGGCAGAGTGATAGATCGCCAAGGTGCGCAGCTGGGGCAGGCACGTCAGCGGGAATGGAGGCTCGGTTGCAGAGTTTTCCAACACCAGCTCCAAATCCCTCAGAAGCGGCAGGCTCTTGCTGAATTCCAGTGCTTGGTTGAGACGAACCCGAGATAGCTTTAGATTTCTCAGCTCTGGAAGCATCGGGATTGTCAGCAGAGGCGCAGTGTCGTTCCTGTTCGCTAGACTCAGCTGCTCAATAAACGGCGGCAGAAATTGGACCGATTCAGGCTGCAACAGGCACTCGACGATCTCCAGGTGTTTAAGCCTCGTGAGTCGGTCCAGATGCAATGGAGGCCAGGAGAGCCATCGACACGAATGAACGGACAGGAATTGGAGGCATCGGAGGGCTGAGAGGGATGCAGACAGCTCACATAACCGATTGCACGAGGCAATGTGGAGCTGCTTTAAGCTGCTGAGATTCCCCATGCCCTCCGGAAGGATCTCAATCTCGGACTGATTCAGCTCAAGCCTGGTTAGAGATCTCAGCTGGGTGAATGAGGGTGGGAGTGGCTGTTTCTGAGAGTTGCCGTCCAGCAAAAAAGTATGCAGTTGCAGCAGCGCGCCAATGTCTTCTGGAAGTATCAGCTGCTGCAGCCTCACGAGGCAGAGAGTGGTGAGGGCTTTGAGGCTGCCGAACCCTGCTGGCAGCTGCTGAAATTCCTCGCAGTCAAGAATGAACAGGGTCTCCAGGGATGTGAGTAGGCTGAAAGAATCTGGAAGGCTCGTGAGTGCGAGATTTCGTACAACCAATGTTCGGAGGGCAGGAAGCTGCCCGAAATTCTCAGGCAGGTTGGAGAGACTGCGGCAAGTTGAAATCGTCAAGCTTGTTAGGGAACTCGGAAGAATCAGCTGCTCCGATGAGTCAGGAAGATTCTCCAATGGCAGAAACTCCAGCACCAAAGTCTTGAGCGCTGCCAGCCGTCCAAAATTCTCAGGTAGGCTCGGGAACGAGGAGCAGGAAGATATCGTCAGGCTCTCCAAAGCACTGAGGCAGGTGAACTTGTCGGGCAAATGTGAAAAAGTTTTTGCAGCTGCTAATACTCAGCTCGCGAAGGCACGGAAGAAGCTCCGCGATGTTTCCAGGAAGCTGCTCGAGCTGGTCGGAGTTGGTAATCAGCAGCCGCTCGAGACGGCTACACGGTCGATCTGACGGAATCGTCAGGCAAGTTTCTAATGTCAACAGCGGCAACTGTGAGAGGATGAGAGCAGCAGCGGGTTGATCGCGGGGGGGGATATCGATTCTGTCTGAGATCGTAAGGCTTGTGATGCTCGGAAGGCGAAGAAGACTTGCCAATCCCTTGGCATTGACGTAATACGAGGCGATCCGGAGAGCTGTCAGAGAGGAAAGGCTTGAAAGGTGAGGCGATTCGAGCATTGACGGTGTTGTTAATGTGAGGGAGCGCAAGTGCTCGAGTCGGAAAAAAGAAGCCGGTAGTTCCATGAATGACTGGAGGCAGAAGAGCGAAATATGCTTCAGCTGCGTGCAGCCCTGGAATAATCGATCCAGTCCGGATTCTGTTACGGGACGGCTGTCCTTGCGCATGGCTAAGTTTTCGAATGTGTTTCTCTCTCCCACGTCGAGAGACGTCAGCTTAGGGCACGACGACGCGAGGCGATCCAGGAAATCGTCATTGATAGTCGTCACGCTGGCGTCGCACAGCTGCAGACGGGTCAGATTCGGGAAGCAAGCAACGGCCGTCGCGAGGAATTCGAGAGGAACGTCGAGGTCTTCTCGGAGAAAAAAAGTGGATACGGCGAGCTGAGCGAGTCGCCTCCAACGACGGCAGACCGACGCGACGAGGAGATGGTAACCGGCGGAGGTTGCGGAGAGAGAATGGTGCGTTTGCGCGAAGTGCGACTGGAATGGCCGGTTATTGAAGCTAGGTGTGCGGTGGGGATGAAGGTACCTCCGAGGTACTACCTTCAAGGTTGGCGACACTGGGGTATCACTAATCGGGGTAACCCTGATGTGACCTTGGGGTAGAATTTTGCAGAGGACTTTTTTGGGAAGACTCGGCTTGGGTCCCAGGGAGGTCCATAGAGCATCGCTTTCGACTGTGCGGGTGTCGGGATTCGTGGAGTGCCACAGGATTCGAATGAGAAGATCGTCAGGGAGGCGGTTGATGTGTGCGCGGCGCTCCATAACTACTCGAGCTTCACGACTCACGAGTCACGAGCGTTCCATTGATAAGGTAGTAAGAATGTGTGAACTTATGACCGTTAGCATGAAAGAATCTGGGATGACTGCAACACGTGCCCTAGGCGCGATGGATCTGGGGGAACCAAAGCTCCACAAATTCCCTTGACAAGCACAGACTTCCTCTCGCCAAACCCAAACCTGTGCACATTGGGTCAACCAAACCTGTGCACATTGGATCAACCAAACCTGTGCTTGTGGCGAGGTGAACGTGGGTGATTGGTTTGGCGACCCGAACCACAGATTCCAAACCTATCCAATTCCCAAACCATTCTTTTCAGTTGTTTTTCTCTTGGGTTCCCCACGGTTGAAAGCGGTTAATTGATACATGTAATGAAATCAGCCCTGACTCATTGCATTAAATCTCTCTTCACCGCTTTCAACTGCGGCGAACTTACGAAACGCCAATGATGACCGCCATGCACGGCTGGGGGGATGGCAGGTTCTCGAGTTTTTCGTGTGTGCGTGAGGCTCCACGAGGACTCCACCAACCTGGTCAGCCAAAGTCTTTAATTTCCTCCAGCGTTTATTCAAAGCACACCGGCGGTCTGTGCGGTGCAGAGCGTTCTGAGCAAATCCGGCGGGTGAACAAGCCATTGACATGGGCGAGCTTTTGATATCAACCAAGTTTTGCAAGCTGGTTGACTGTACCATTGCACTTTCCTTGCGACGCAAGACGAGTACCTACGTGCACGAAATTAAATATTCGCGTTACTAGCCATTTGATAGCAGCTGGAGTCGACTTTCTGTTACGCTAAAAAATCTCGATCTCCCGCGCTGCAACGCGCACACGGCAACGGGCTCACAACTCGCAGCAACAGAGCCACGCACGCGGTACCGGCAAGGCGCGTGCGTGTAGGGTTCGGGCGACGGGAAGCGCGTGCGGCAAACGAGCACACGGGCAACGCGCGCGGAACCATCGATGTGGTATTGGGCCGCGATGGGAAAGCGCGACGACGTCATGGCGGCGAGAGCGGCGGTGGTGGCGCTGGTGGTGGCGTGCTGCTGCATGCCGCGGCTCGTTCGCGCTGCACCCGTGGTGTCCGCTGAGAGTAAGCCGTGCGTGCTGTCCGCTGAGAGTAAGCCGTGCTGTATGCGGAGAACAAGCCGTTCTGGACACACATTCTTCCCTCCACCTCCTCTTGGGGGACAGACGGAGGTCCCTGACAGACTGTAAGCCGCGTCGTGCGCCATAACGCCTCAGGGCCGCCGTAACCCTATTCAGCAAGCACAACATGAAGTCCGTACCGCAACTAGTACCCATCACTCCTGCCATCCCCTCCTCGATCGTTCTTCCCTCTCCCTGTTTCTCTCGCCTCTCCCTTTGTATCTTCCCAACACGTTCTGTGGCATGGCATGGGTGAGTGGCATCATGGAATGGATGGAAGGATGCCCTGGATGGGTGGCATGGATGGATGACATCGATGAGCCATGGAATGGATGGATGGCATGGATGAATGGATGCCATGGATGGACCGCATGGATGGATGACATCGATGAGTCATGGCATGGATGGATGGATGCCATGGATGGATGGCATGGATGGATGGATGGCATGGGTGGATGGCAGTGGAAGGTTTGGAGAATCTAGCTCGGAAGGAGGTGTCGGTTATGAGGACATGGAGCAGGGGCAGGGATTGCGACGACATGGATTCTGTGCAGTGTGATGCCGATGGGCATGTCATTGCACTGTAAGCATGTCATTGCACTGTAAGCATGTCATTGCACTGTAAGCATGTCATTGCACTGTAAGCATGTCATTGCACTGTAAGCATGTCATTGCACTGTAAGCATGTCATTGCACTGTAAGCATGTCATTGCAATGCAAGCATGGATGGCATGCCATTCCCTCTGATTACTTCCTTTGACTCTGTGAAGCCTGTATTTGAGTCGACTTCCTTTCCTCTCCCTCCATCTATTCCATCCTTCTCCTCCCTCCCACAGCTCCATTGACCACTGCGACCTCAGCGTCGGCTCACTGACCCCTGCTCTCCTCGCATTGACCCATCTCAAAGACCTGTGACACTCCTGCTATCTCACTCTTTTCTCACAGATGGTCCTCCCAATTCACCCAAATGAACTTCTGTTGCTTGTAATGAATTGCCCTTGCTTGTAATGAATTGCCCTTGCTTGTAATGAATTGCCCTTGCTTGTGATGAATAGCCCTTGCTTGTAATGATTTGTCCTTGCTGGTACATGACTCTCTTATCATCGCTTGTACTGACTTGCATGTGACTGACTTGCATGTGACTGACTTGCATGTGACTGACTTGCACTACATGCGATTGACTGAACACGGCTTGTTTTGTCTCGCCTGCCTTCTCTTCTATTCTCTTATCTTCCCTCTCACCCACTTCACCCTCTGTACCGCTCCCCATGTTTCATCCGTTTTACCACAATTCCGCCCCAACCCCTTCGTCCATCCGTTTCCCCTTACTCTTATGAACTCCAATCCATCCACCCACCCATGTTCTTACTGCCTTTTCCACCATCTTTGCGTGTGTTGCCTCTCTGACTGCAGTGATTTGAGGTACTGCTATCGATTCTGGTTGCGCCCGGATACCCTAGGTAGAAAAACTTACCCCTTGGGACATCTGCAGCAGCTCACTCGCCTGTGAGTGCACTCGGGGAGGGGGTGCAGCAGGTGGGGGAGGAGTGAGTGGGTGGGTGGGTGGGTGGATGGGTGGGTGAATAAGCGAATTGCACGGTGAGAGGATGAGGGGGTGAGGTGGTAAGTGAGTGAGTGAGGTGAGATGAGATGAGAATGAGTGTAAGTGATGCAACAAGATGAGGGTTGCATATTTGTTCTTCCATCAGACTCTGCGTGAAGTCGACACCATGTACGTCTGGTGTTTTGAGACGTCTCAAAGCACGTTTATTATCATGTCACGTGGCTCTTCTTCCACCAGACTCTGTGTCGACATCTGCCCACGTGGGTGTGGGTGTACGTGTACATCTGCCCCCTCCTTCCCATATGATGTAACCCCTCATATTCCATGTAACCCCTCATATCCCATATGACCCCTCATATCCCATGTGATGTGACCCCTCATATCCCATGCATGGTGCATGCATGGTGGGCGCTTGGTGCATTCAGGCGTTTGTCCAAAGCCCTTCTACTCCCCTCGCTTCCAGACGACCTCTCCCAGCTGCACAACCTGCAGTCCTTGTAAGGCCGGGTGAGGGGCACGTGATGGCAGAATGACATGTGATGGCATGGGATGGTATGTGATGGCAGGATGACATGTGATGACATGTGATGTGATGGCATGGGATGGTAAGTGATGGCAGGATGACATGTGATGACATGTGATGGCATGGGATGGCATGGGATGGCACCCCATCTTGATGTGCGAAGCCTGAAGGTGAAGTGGTGTGTACAGCTTGCAGCATAAAAGGGTGATGCATATGCTCCTATAAAATCTTTTTCCATGTTCCCCCCTCTTGCCATGCTCTCCCCTCTTGCCATGCTCCCCCCTCTTGCCATGCTCTCCCCTCTTGCCATGCTCCCCCCTCTTGCCATGCTTCCTCCCCTCTTTTGTGCTCCTCGCTCTTCATTTCCACCTTGGCCACCCTTCCCTCTTGACGGCTCCTTCCCTCTTGACGGCTCCTGCTCTCTTAACTGCGCGCATCATCAGGCACGTGTCGAACCACCGTCAACTGTCTGGGGAGCTGCCTGCGTGGATCTTCAGCTTCACAGACTTGACTTCACTGTGCGTGCTGCCGTGCACCATCTCATCTCCCATGCACCATCTCATCTCCCATGCACCATCTCATCTCCCATGCACCATCTCATCTCCCATGCACCATCTCATCTCCCATGCACCATCTGCCATGCCATGCACCACGCCCGATCGAACATCCTTTTCTATACAATGCGTGCCCTTGTCACCTTTTTCTTACCTCATCTTCCTGCTTTGGAATGCTAATGCAGTCCATTATACCCTTTCAGTTCGCGTCAGGATGCTCTGATTTCATAGGTGGCATTCAATTCAAAGTTCACAAATCCGCACTCCTCCCAATCCCTTTCCATCTACCCCCTTCCATTCTCTCCTCTTACCCATGCATTCCCTCCCGGCCTTCTTTCTCCAATGGGTTCCCCACCCTCTCTGCCCCGCCCTGCTCCCTGTTTCCACCCACCCTCTCTGCCCCGCCCTGCTCCCTGTCTGTTTCTACCCACCCTCTCTGCCCCACCCTGTTCCCTGCTTCCACCCACCCTCTCTGCCCCGCCCTACTCACTGCTTCTACCCACCCTCTCTATATACAAGGTCTATTTCTGGAAACAACTTTTCAGGCTCCATTCCAGAGACAATTAGCAACCTCAAGCAGCTACGGGAGTTGTGAGTGGTGATGGGGAGTTGTGAGTGATGATGGGGCCAGCGTGCAAGGTGCTGTGGGACGACCAGGTGTGATGTCCTGATAGTAAGAGTGCTTGTGTGGATGACTGGCTGAATGAGTGAGTGAGTGAGTGAGTGAGTGAGTGAATGAGTGAGTGAGTGAGTGACTGAATGCATAATGATGGCACTGCAGGGTGAACGGGAAAATGTGCTCTCATCATAACGAATGCACAAAGACCTGCAGACACATGCACTGCTGACACGTGCACTGCTGACACGTGCACTGCTGGTGCTGCAAGCACTGCCAATGCATGCAAGACCATGTGTTATCAACCTTCCCACAACCAACCTCCACCGTTCCACTTCACCGTTCCTCTCTGTACCACACTTCACCGCACTGTTCCGCACATGGTTGCAGACGCCTTGGGGAGCAAATGCTGTCAGGGCCCATCCCCGAGTCAATCGGAGCTCTCACCAACCTGGAACTCATGTAAGGAAGAACGATCTTTGAGAATTCTCTTTCATTAGGCACTGATGGAGACTTGCTAGGGGCTTCGTGTAACGAAACGACCAACCTGGAACTCATGCAAGGAAGAATGCTGCCCGATTTAAAGCAACCGAATCTACACCGGTTCATGTGTGCACCTGCAGACATGCCTTGCTTTGAATAAGTTGCAATATTTGTGCATTATGATTCCTGCAAACAGTTGTTTTTTTATTCCAGAACCCACCATTATGGGTCAACCGGACTCGAAAGCATTGCAAACCGTGAATCTTGAGAATGACTGTGTTGGTACTGTTTCCTGTCCTTTTTCAAAAGTCTCGTGTGCCATGGCTCCTGTGTGTAAGCATTCCTAGTTTCACTTTGTCATTTAATAATGTGTCGTTGTTGTTGTTCCTTTTTTTTTTTCCTCTCTCTCTCCTTTTGGAGCTTCTTTAGCGTCGTGGCTCTTTTGACTCATTGTTTTGACTACCCCGTGCTGCTATGGATGCACCATATCCACCCATTGTCATGAGCTGAGCTGCAACACATGCTGCAACTCAGCTTTAAAGCCATGCCATCCCATGCCATCCCATGCCATCTCACGCATTTCATGCCATCCCATGCCATCCCATGCCATCCCATGCCATCCCATGCCATCCCATGCCATCCCATGCCATCCCATGCCATCCCATGCCATCCCATGCCATCCCATGTCATCCCATGCAATTTCATGCCATCCCATGCAAGCCCATGCCATCCCATGCCATCCCATGCCATCCCATGTCATCCCATGCGACGACATGGCAGATGGTTGGAAGGCAACGGTCTGAGTGGCAACGGTCTGAGTGGCAACAGTCTGAGTGGTAACGGTCTGAGTGGCAACAGTCTGAGTGGCACCATTCCGGCCTCCATTGCCCACCTCACCGCACTCACCACCTTGTGCGCCCATTCTCCCTCCACCCGCCTCTCTCCCATTCTCCCTCCACCCGCCTCTCTCCCATTCTCCCTCCACCCGCCTCTCTCCCATTCTCCCTCCACCCGCCTCTCTCCCATTCTCCCTCCACCCGCCTCTCTCCCATTCTCCCTCCACCCGCCTCTCTCCCATTCTCCCAACACCCTAAGCTTCCCATCTCTGAGGTATCGGCAGGAAATTACCACAACACTACATGCTTACCACCTGTGAACTTGACAGTGTGAATCGGTAGTGCAACCATGTTGCACGAGAATTCTTAGATCCAAGCACAAGCCTCAATGCTTGGATCCACAGAAAATAAAAAATTCAGCACTGCTCCCATGCATCCACCACGTCAGCAATCCACTTTCCATTCACTCCTATCAATCATGATCTCCCTCCCTGCATGCCTTGCCTTGCACGTCCCTGCATTTAGTGCCTCCTCTTCCCCTCTCCGCCCACCCCCCATCATCGCCATGCGTCAGGAAGCTCATCCACAACAAGCTCTCAGGCTCCATTCCACAGGCAGTCAGCAGCCTTAAACTGCTGAAGGAGTTGTGAGTGGTGATGGGGAGTTGTGATTGGTGATGGGGAGTTGTGAGTGGTGATGGGGAGTTCTAGCTTATGCCGTAGCTGTGCGACCAGTCCCATCCCATCCCATCCCATCCCATCCCATCCCATCCCATCCCATCCCATCCCATCCCATCCCATCCCATCCCATCCCATCCCATCCCATTCCATCCCATCCCATCCCATCCCATCCCATCCCAACCCTAAACCCATCCCACCCATCCCATCCCATCCCATCCCATCCCATCCCATCCCATCCCATCCCATCCCATCCCATCCCATCCCATCCCATCCCATCCCATCCCATCCCATCCCATCCCATCCCATCCCATCCCATCCCATCCCTTCCCATCCTTCCCATCCCATCTCTCCCCCTCTCTTCCCTACCGCCCTCTCTCCCATTCTCCTCCACCCCACACCTCCTTTACCTCCATTGTTAGCAGAAAACTACCATAAACGCTGTAAACGTTTTGTTAGCTATTGGAAATAGCTATGTTTCATGAGAATGCGTTGAATCAAGAAAACGCATGTCTTCCCTACTTCCATCCATCCATCCATCACTTCAGCCTTCCCCTTTCATGATTGATTTTCCTGCCTTCTACCTCCAGTACCTCCACTTCCCTTTGCCACCCTTCTCCCCTTCCGCCCTCCTCGCCCCTCATTGTGCACCAGGGACCTCAACCACAACAATCTCTCGGGCTCCATTCCAGAGCAACTTTTAAGGCAAATTTTGAGGCGACTATTGAGGCGACTATTGAGGCGACTCAAACCTCCTCCCCTCTCATTATGCATCAGGGACCTCGACTACAATGATCTCTCGGGCTCCATTCCAAAGGAAATTGGCCACCTCAGGCAGCTATCGGAGCTGTGAGTGGTGATGGGGAGCTGTGAGTGGTGATGGGGAGCTGTGAGTGGTGATGGGGAGCTGTGAGTGGTGATGGGGAGCTGTGAGTGGTGATGGGGAGCTGTGAGTGGTGATGGGCAGCTGTGAGTGGGATGGGGTAGTTCGTTTTTAGGTGCCTCGAAAATTACCTCAGACGCAATTGGCAACCTCAGGCAGCTATGGGAGTTGTGAGTGGTGATGGGGTAGGCACGCAAGGTGCTGTGGGATGACCAGGTGTGATAGCCTGATATGTCCCCTCCGCGAGCAAATGAGTGGGAGAGTGAGAGGCCGAGAGCCGGTGGGCGAGTACGTCATGAGTGAGTGAGTGAGTGAGTGAGTGGGTGAGTGAGTGAGTGAGTGAGTGAGCGAGTGAGTGAGTGAGTGAGTGAGTGAGCGAGGGGATGAAAGAGTGAGTGACTTGGTGACGGGTTGCGTGCGTGAGTGAGCGAGTAGAGGTATCCCTATGGGCTAATGCCTGGCCGTCCGTCCCATCCCATCCCATCCCATCCCATCCCATCCCATCCCATCCTATCCTATCCAATCCCTTCCAGGCCCCCAGATTTCCTATTTTGTACACTGATTCCAGGAAAAATACAATGATTTTCCCTGATGAAATGGCATTTTTTAATTATTATTCAAGTAAATTCGGGTGTTGTCAGCCTGATTTAAATCCAATCTAGCGGCCTGGTCCCATCCCATCCGATCCCATCCCATTCCCTGCCATCCCATCCCATCCCATCCCATCCCATCCCATCCCATCCCATCCCATCCCATCCCATCCCATCCCATCCCATCCCATCCCATCCCATCCCATCCCATCCCATCCCATCCCATCCCATCCCATCCCATGCTATGGCAGGGAGCTGAAATACTACAGCCTCCTTCCCCTGTTCTCCCTATTCTCTCTTTCTCGTGTTCTTCCATTCCCTCTCTTCCCCTCTTTGTCTCCTCCCCTCGCCACCACTTTCCCTCTTCCCCTCCTCTTCTCTCCTTTCCTCCATGTCCTCCCATCTTCAGGAAACTTAACGACAACCGTCTTGCGGGGACTATACCTCTTGCAATCACCACGCTCACTAATCTCGCATACCTGTCAGTGTTACCTCCTCAGTTGTCACCCACACTCACGCGTCATTTATGAATAATCTAAAATGTGGCTACCATCGTTTGTGTAGAGCCATGTTACTAATACTTCCTCCGAAGCGCCGCGTCCACGCCGAAGAAACGATGGGAGGAGTCACACAGCACTTACACAACTTTTGAGACGTCTGGAAAGTCAAACTGCACTTACACAACTTTTGAGACGTCTGAAAAGTCACACAGCACTTACACAACTTTTGAGACGTCTGAAAAGTCACACAGCACTTACACACTCAACTCATCTGCTCCCACACAGGGCTGAAATTGGATTTGCTGACTCAACACGCACAGCTGATGCTACACAGCGTACACCGGAAGAGGCGCCCCATTCAACACGCACATGCTGCTCCTGTCGCATCACCTGTCGCATCACCTGTCGCATCACCTGTCGCATCACCTGTCGCATCACCTGTCGCATCACCTGTCGCATCACCTTTCCCATCACTCCCCTTCCCAGTCACTTCTTTTCCTCACCTCTCCTCCTCCTTCGCACCTCTTCCCGTCCCGCCTCCTCCCGCACAACACAGCCACCTTGATTCCAACCAGCTCACGGAAGAGCTGCCCTCCTTCCGCCACATGGCCCACCACTCCCATTCCAACCGCTCCTCTCCCTTCCCACCTCTCTTCCTCTCCCGCCTTCCCTTGGCATCACCACAGCCACCTTGATTCCAACCAGCTCACGGGAGAGCTGCCCTCCTTCCACCACATGCCCCACCTCACATCGCTGGACAGGCTGTCGGCTGCCTACAACTACCTCACAGCCACAGCAGACGCCTTCCCGTTCAACACCACCAGCCCAGACCCAGACGACCCGTCAGAAGGCCATAGCGCGTGCCTGTTCACCCGCAACTGCCTTGAAAGCAGCCGGATCTTCTGCGGCCCGAGGCTCAAGCAGAGGCGTGACAGCGAGTGCCTGTCATTCTGTGGGGTGCAAGCACAACCCCTCACCCCGCCGTGCAGCGGTCATGGCATGTGCTCCTTCGTGCCGGATCCGTCTCTCAACATGGCTCCCTGCTATGATGATGAGGATGAGATCCCGCCATCCTACTGCGATTTTGAGGGACAGTGCACCTGTGATGAGGGGTATACGCCAGGGACTGCTGCTGGCATGTGCGTCTCTCACGATACCCTGCCAGTGCCTCAAGGTATGCTTGCGGATTGACGCCCTCACTATCTGATGGTTATTTCCTGTTCCTTTTTCGGCCCTTAGCTCGTCCTTGCTGCATCTTGATGGTAATTGCTTGCCAACATGCCTGCTTGCCAACATGCCTGCTTGCCAACATGCCTGCTTGCCTGCTTGCCAACATGCCTGCTTGCCTGCTTGCCAACATGCCTGCTTGCCAACATGCCTGCTTGCCTGCTTGCCAACATGCCTGGTTGGGAGAGTGGTCGTGTGACAGTGGCCATGGGAGAGTGGCTGGTAGAGTGGCCATGGGAGAGTGGCTGGTAGAGTGGCCATGGGAGAGTGGCCGTGTGACAGTGGCCGAGCGACCCACCTCCTAGCCAGTTGAGCCCGTGGGATCGTGCTGGGTAGTGTTACTTGCGCTCCCTCGCTTGCCACACTGAGTCGGTTTTGAGCCGCCTAAAGAAAAGTGGAAACGTATGCTGACGTGTTGGACCTCTTTCCTTCCACTCAAGCCACACCTGCATCGTGTGTGCTTGTGCTTCTGTGAGCCTCTGTGTGCTTGCTCTTCCTCCGCATTTGTTACTTACCATCCCAAACACCTTGAGTTCAGCCCACCCTGCCTTATATAGGTACTCCAGATATTGGCTACAAAATCGACTTATCACACAGGGCTTGTCGCGCTACAAGCTTGCTTTGTTCGGTGTGTACTTTGCTGTACCGTGCTGTACGGTGTTGTGCCGTGCTGACAAGAACAATAATCCAAAGCCCTACTGGCCATCCTGACTACCAGCTAGACAGAATCAAGAATCCTCCGAACGGTAAGTGGCACCATACACATACCTCTTCTTCCACATATGCATAGCAGTTGCCATTGGGGCGCCCTTTTTTTTTGGGGGGGCGCCTCAAAAGGCAAGTGGCACCACAGCTGGGGCGCTTGTTCCACATGAGCATAGCAGTTGCTATTGGGGTTGTGCTTGTGTGTTTTGTGGGCCAATGCACCCACCCACAACCGTCAAGACCTCACTGCCCTTAACGCATCCCGACTTGTATCACGTGCAACTCAACTCCAGTCCCACTGCCCCGTCTCCATCAAAATCGTTGTGAACCATAATCACGTCCCACTGCAGTCCCACGTCATTATGCTCCTGCTTCATAACAGTAGAGAGTTTTTTGAGAATTCTCAAAAACTCTCTATTTTCACGTGAACCATAATCACGTCCCACTGCCCTCCCACTTCGTTATGCTTCCCAATTTATGATAGTAGAGAGTTTTTGAGACGTCTAAAAAACTCTCTATTATCACATGAACCATAATCACGTCCCACTGCACTCCCACATCATAATGCTCCTGCTTTACCTGCATCTGCCCCTCCCACCCTCCCACCCTCTCTTCATCCATCCTACAGGCACCAACTTACCCTTTGAGCCGCCAGTTTTGAGGCGCCTCAAAACGTCGCTCCTCCCAGCCTCCCGCCCTCTCCTCAACCATCCTGCAGGCACCAACTTTCCCTTTGAGCCGCCAGGCACTTCCGTCGTGGGGGTGGTTCTGTCTGATCTCCAGGCGCCTAAAAACCACCTGCTGCTGCTGCTGCTCCTCCTTCCACCGCTGTTGCTGGCCTTCTCACTGCCACATTTACTGAGGCGCCTCTGGGATCGACCCCCCACGCGCTACTACTTTTCAAAGAGAGCCCTCGCTGCCCGGCAAGCTGCCATGGGTGTGGAGATCTCTTGATGGTGCAGGACTGCCATACAGGAATCTTTTGTACACTTGCATACGACCATGTGCCATACGGGAATATTTTTTTCAGCAAGATGTGCCTTCACATACTGCATTGGACTTGATTATTTATTCCTTAGAAGCGTACCGTATTCCCCCGGATATACCACCCTAGGGTGCTATGATAACTACACAAAAAAAAGGGGGGGGGTCTTGTCATCGGAAAAAGCTACATTGCACCCAGGTCTTTACATAATGTATATTTTTTTTATAGCGCAAAACGTTCAGTACTAAATGTACATCTGTGCCGTGGTGGTAGATTGCTGGTTGGGTGCGCAAAACCGAGGACTGGGCGAAAACGTTTTGCGCGAGGGTTAGCTGCCACATTGCAAGCTCCAACAAGGCCCACTGTCAGGCCCTGATTGGACGAAATCACACCCCCTCGTCGCACGACGAGGATTCATGCAGGTGACAATGGCGGAGTCCCCGCAACAGCCTCGGTTGCCTCGCTTGGCGGGCACGTCATTGAACTGTGAAGTAGTTGATCCTTCTTTCTGTGCAGATGGTAGATGGTAGTAGGCCCCTGTTGAATGTAGCAAAGACTGTGTGATGGGAGTGTTAGCGCTGTATTGCGTCATATGTAGCTTGTTTCTGCTAATGTTAACTTGTAGATGGATTATCATTGGAAACCCTGTGCTACTTAGGCAAAAACTGCAATTATACCCGTACATAACACCCCCCCCCGGGTGCTATATAGGATGCCCCCAAAAGGGGGGGTATAGTAGAAACGAGGCCCGCTATAGCACCCCCCCCGCACAAGCCACCCGGGGGGTGCTCTATTTCGGGGGGTGGTATGTCCGGGGGAATACGGTATGCCTGGATTTTTTTTTTTTTTTTTTGTCATTTTCACTTGTATTCCATCAATAGCATAACATTCATGGGTAGCCTCAAGCTTTCAGCTGAACTCTTTACTTCAAATTTTTTTGGGTTGCGGAGCAACCTATTACAATCGTTATGTACAATTTTTTTTTCAGTCCTCTATAAAAACGACGGAAAATATCTAGCGAATGGTAGCTAAGTGACTAAATGCTACGTATTTGCCACCATTTGCTAAGTGACTAAATTTACCACGTGCCGTAGTGTGTTCCTTCTAGTTTGCCTTGATTGAATCTATATTGTCAAAGTGATGTCACCGTGAACGTTTGATTGTGTATCTCGTAATGCATATGCCGGATTATACTATGCATAGATGAAGTATATGGATGGATATAATGAACCATATATTTAATGAAAAATGCATAAATGTAATGTATGTGCTACCATGGTGAAATATTACGATATATTCGGTACTTTAGTGAAATAGATGCATAGCATGATAAAAATGCGTAACAGTTAATTGACCCAGACCCTATGCTACCGCATCCCCTGCCTAGCATGGGGGGGAGGTCGATAGCATAGTTGCTGAATCATCCAACTGCTACATAAAACAACACAATCTGTGTAAACTAAAAAAATGATCAAAATCCATCAAATCCAGTTCAAGTGAACACACTCACTGAGTGGGCAAAGAACCTTCTCGGAATTGATAGTTTGATCATTTTTTTAAAAGACACAGACATGCATTGTTAATGCAATGCAATATACATATGGATGTGTTAAACTGTATTATGTTTGTAGGCTGTAGTGGGATAGCCAATATGGGGTACAACCCCAACTAGGGTTTGCTACTTGTACCCAATTCTTCCATTCAATGCACCATTCTTGCCTAGTTCTTTTGACATGGTATTCAGAGCAGGAGGTCCCTAGGACCTACCGACCGTTTTTTTAAGGGCCCACCACCGCTCGCATGCGGTTACCACGCTACCCCGTGCCCTAGCCTCGTAGCGCCCTCGTGCGCCCTCGTTAGCGCCCTCGTGCGCCCTCGTTAGTGCCCTCGTGCGCCCTCGTTAGTGCCCTCGCGCGCCCTCGTTAGCGCCCTCGTGCGCCTCTCGTTAGCGCCCTCGCGCGCCCTCGCTAGCGCCCTCGCGCGCCCTTGTTAGCGCCCTCGTGCGCCTCTCGTTAGCGCCCTCGCGCGCCCCTCGCAGCGTCGCCCGCCCGCCGAGCCGCCCGCTCGCAGCGTCGCCCGCCCGCCCGCTGCCCGCTTCGCAGCGTCGCCCGCCCGCCGTGCTGCCCGCTCGCAGCGTCGCCCGCCCGCCTCGCTGCCCGCTTGCAGCGTCGCCCGCCCGCCCGCTGCCCGCTTCGCAGCCCGCCCGCCGCGCTGCCCGCTCGCAGCGTCGCCCGCCCGCCCGCTGCCCGCTTGCAGCGTCGCCCGCCCGCCCGCTGCCCGCTTCGCAGCCCGCCCGCCGCGCTGCCCGCTCGCCGCGTCGCCCGCCCGCCCCGCTGCCCGCTTCGCTGCCCGCTTCGCAGCCCGCCCGCCGCACTTCCCGCCTGCAGCGCCGCCTGCCCGCCGCGCTGCCCGCTTCGTAGCCCGCCCCCCGCACTGCCCGCTCGCCGAGTCGCCCGCCCGCCGCGCTTCCCGCCGAGCTACCTACCTGCAGCGCTGCGGCAGCTTCCTTTGCTCAGTCGCACTGTCACTATGGCTTCCATCCGCGTGCTGTCGTTCGATGCTGAGGGCCGCCCTGTGAAGTTCGCCACTTGGCTGGATGACCTGCAGCTGTTCCTTCTGAGCGATAGCAAGGAGCATGTGTCGCTCTATGATTACGCGTCTGGTGCTGCACCTGCCCCTCCTGCCACAGCTGAGCTTAGTGTTCGTTCCCACTGGCAGACTCGTGACGCAGCTGCTCGCCTAGCCATTCGCAGTCACCTCCCGCTAGCTGAGCTCGAGCATTTTGGCGACTGCAAATCCGCTAAGGCCCTGTACGATGCTGTCGTTGCTCGCTACTCCTCGCCTGCCACAGCCGAGCTTAGCCGCCTCATGCTGCCGTACCTGTTCCCTGAGCTGTCCACCTTTGCTACAGTCGCCGATCTTATCACCCACCTTCGCACTAGTGATGCTCGCCTGCGTGCTGCCCTTCCCACCGAGTTCTGCGCTAAGAACCCCCCTCCACTGTACTGGACACTCCACTTCATAGTCACCCGACTCCCTGACACCCTCAGCTCAGTTCGAGACCACTTCCTTGCTCGCTGTCCCACTGAGCTCACAGTCGCCCTCCTAGAGGAGCAGCTGCTAGCGGCCGAAAAGAGCATTGTAGCTGTCGGTGCTGCTCGTGGCGCTCCTCGCACCCCCATCTTTGAGGGGTGTTCTCCCTCTCCCCTCGCTCCCTCCTACGCTACTGCTGCTGCTGTTGACTTCCTTGGTGCTGAGTCTGCTGGCGCTGCTTCTGCTCCTGGTGGGAGGCGCCGCACCGGCAAGGGCAAGGGGGGCAAGGGTGGCGGGGGTGGCGCTGGGGGGGGAGGAGGTGGGGGAGGTGGGGGGGGAGGCGGTGCTGGAGGGAGCGGTGGCGGGAGTGCTGGTGGGAGTGGGGTCGGCAGCGGAGGCGGGGGCGGCGGAGGGAGCGGTGGCGGTGGTGGCGGCGGCGGCGGCGGCGGTGGCGGTGGTGGCGGTGGCGGTCGGAGCGGTGGTAGTGGTGGCGGCGGAGGTCGGAGTGGAGGCACTGGCTCGGGCCAGAGCTCCCAGCAGCAGCAGCGTCCCCAGTCGACCCAGCAGCTTCGTGAGTGGCTTGCTCAGCGTGGGACGTCGGGGGGCAGTGGCCGCTGTTCCTATGTCATTCGCACAGGTGACCGCAAGGGACAGACGTGTGGGAGGTTCCACACCCCGTACCGCTGCTTCTCCCGCCTTGACGACGCTTGGCGTGAGGAGATGGGCGAGGATGTTGAGCGCCCCCGCTGGGCTGAGCTCATGAGGGCTGGTGTTGATATCTTTGCTCTTGACTATGATGCTATTATTGCTGCCATGTATGCATTGACTGTTAGTGCCGAGGGAGACTGTTACTTGTGTGTGCCGCCTGACCCAGGTATAGAGCCCGCTGCCCTGGGTACTAGTGAGTCTGCTCTCTCCGGTATGGTGCCCCCTGTACTTGCTCCCTCCAGTGCTGTCCCGGCTGTTTGCGAGTCTGCTCTCTCAGGTACAGCACCCACAGAGACTGCTCTCTCAGGTACCGCACCGGCTGAGGCCTGTCACACCTTCACCCTTGACTCAGGTGCTTCCCGCTGTTTCTTTCGTGACAGTACTGAGCTCACACCGCTTCCTGCACCGGTCCCAGTCTCCTTGGCTGACCCCTCTGGGGGCCCAGTCCTTGCCCAGTCCACCACTGTGCTCCCTTGTCCGGCGGTTCCGTCTGGCTCGTTGTCGGGTTTCCACCTCCCCTCGTTCTCGACGAACCTGGTGAGCAACGCTGTCATCCAGGATCAGTGGGTTGACACCTTTACCCCTGGAGGACAGCGTGTGGCGATCTGCACGTGCTCCAGGACCGGCCGTCACCTGGCTACGTTTACCCGTCGGCCGGGGTCGAGTCTCTACACACTGACCACTGCGTCTCCTCAGGTCGCTGCTGTCGGTCAGGTGTCCGCGTCAGGTCTGGTGGCCCACGCCTGTGAGTGTCGTTCCCTGTCACACCAGACTCTTCTCTGGCACCACCGCCTGGGTCACCCCTCCTTGCCACGCCTCCGTGGCATGCACCGTCGCCGCCTTGTGTCTGGTCTTCCCAGGTCTCTCCCTCCCCTCCCTGCCTCGCCTGCGCCGCCTTGCCTTCCTTGCGTCGAGGGGCGGCAGCGCGCCGCTCCTCACTCCTCCTCGTTCCCCCCGACAGAGGCTCCTCTGCAGACCCTCCACCTGGACGTGTGGGGCCCAGCCCGCGTTCGTGGCCAGGGCGGTGAGCGGTACTTTTTGCTGGTTGTCGACGACTACTCGCGTTACACCACGGTCTTCCCCTTGCGCACCAAGGGTGAGGTCCCTGCTGTTCTGATCCCTTGGATCCGCACAGTTCGTCTCCAGCTCCGCCGCCGTTTCCGGACGGATCTTCCTGTCCTGCGTCTGCACTCTGACAGAGGTGGTGAGTTTTCCTCCGATCTCTTGA